CAGCAGTTACAGGTTTACCAAATACCAACAATTAGTTCTGTGGTGTAAGATGCAAACAGCGGCATTTAAATGTTTAATTTCTCTTTTGTTAGTGCTTAAAATAGTGGAAAAAGGTAAAATAGGTGTTGAATAGAATTGAATTGAATTTTCAATCAATCAATCAAATTTTATTTATATAGTGCCAATTCACAACAGTCGTCATCCCAAGATGCTTTTCAAAGAACAAGAGCAGGTCTAAACCACTCTCATTGTTTGATGAATTATCAAGAACCAACCTAAGATGGGTTTTGGCCTATCTCATCTAACATGAATAACAGTGGCAAGGAAAAACTTCCTTTTAACAGGCAGAAACCTTTGGATGGACCAGACTCATGCCAGACAGCCACCATGCCGCTGTTTGGTTGGGGAGGACTGCAGAGAGATAGGGGGAGAGAGGGAGATCAATATACTTCTTATTATCTGAGACGGGAAGGAAAATAGAATAATGTGACAAACATTCAAAAATGTATATCTAATACCTCAAATTTTTACAATAGACAATTTGAATTCAACTCAAGTATTTGTAGTTGAACTAAATATGTTCTGTGAGGTTAGAGGGTGAGTAACTGAATGGGTAAAGGTAGTAGTTATCATATATTCATGGGTGTTAGTGCATATAATGCTCCTCCTGTGAAAGCAAGTGGCCTAGGCCCCCTCATCTAAAAAGTCTGGATATGCCCCTGGTTTTGTGCAGAAGTCATTACTTTTATGTCACTTATAAAAGATCAATCGTAATGAGATTTTTGAATAAAACTTAATCAATGACATCAATGGATTGCATGTTTTTTTTCTTTCCTAACACGTCTTGTCTGTGAAAACTTGAAGGCCTTTTTTTTTTTTTTTGCCATTACTCACGCTTCAGAAATGCGCTGTGATCTATAAATACTTACATATCTGAATTCAGGGCTTTCAACTGATACCAACAGCTTTTTTTTTTTAAGTTTCCTGAACGTCTACTCTCAAACCTTCATTTATTTATTTATTTTTTATGTCAGGTTTTTTTTTTTTAAATGCCCCAGATTCCTTTGTGTTTTCAGGTTTTTTCGTTCATGCATAGCAAACAGTAAAACATCAGGATGTGAAAATATCAGAGGGGAGACACAGGAGATTGAATATCTGTACATTGAGTGCAACACTTGTGTAGCTGTGCAGCATCAGAACTAGTTTATTGGGATTTTATTACAGAGGCTGTAATCGAGCTGTATGCTAACCTTTTGGCTGCAAGCTGTTGAGAATTAATTGAATTTGAGTGTGCAAGATATACTGCAATAAAAAGATTAAATTGAGTCTTACATATCTGTTCATGTTATGTATTTTAACATTTAACAGTACCACATATTAAAGTTGACTTTGTTTCTGGTTTAAAGAACGAGTTGTTGTGATTACATCTTCTGTTTCTTTCCTCCTTCTCATCAGAAATCAAAGAATGAATCATTCTGAACAAAAAGCAGAAAAAGTGAAGGCTTAAGATGAAGACTGCTCCTCATCTCCTTCTGTCCAGGGACAGAGTGTCTTGAAATGGAGACTTAGCAGCAGCAGCACCCAGGATTGAATTTGGCCACAGGAGATACTAAGATTGGATTGATCAATAAGATTAGATTGCCTTTCTTCAATGCACCAAGAAGCACATTAATGTGTTATACTGAAAAATGTAATCTAATTCAGCGTGCAAGATGGGTTATGTTCAGGATTTAAGAAGGGCAATGTCACGCTTTTGTGTGTTAAATCCAGATAAAAGTTGCTGAATTCTCCAGCGAGGTCTCACTAATGATGTTCTCTTGGATCTGATACAATTGGCAAATGATTATTGATTTGAGCACTGGAGGAGGCTGGCTGCTTTACAGCCTGATCTTGTGCTGGGTTGCAGTCTGTGGGTTTTTTAATTACATTCATACATGCATATCAGTTTAACAACCTCAAGTTTCCTAAAGAGCACCAAGACAAATTGCTCGCCTCTGATAAATTTTGATATTTTTTTCCCTCCATAAAACCATTTCACAGCTCCATGGTGCCACCGGGGATTTACAAAATTTCATCACTTCTCTGACCGCACGAGAGGTGAGAAGTGAGAGGGTGAAAACGTAATTCCCTAAACTGATGACTGTTATACAAAATAATAAGAATAGAAAGACAAAGAAGGAGCATTAACTCTTAATACGCCCTGCCTTGGGCCAAACTAATAAAACCACAATTGAATCAGCTCTAAATAAATGATGGTGCTGTAGTTTAATAACATATCATCTCCCTGGCTGGCAGAATCGGATTTGACAGTACTATATATCTTAATAATCCCACAAGTTCAAATAGAAGGGCATTTCTTGAGGACAAATTCATGCTTTAAGTGTTGCTTTATTTCCTTACTCAATCTCAATATGACCACGGCGGTTTTGAGGTGACCACTGAGCTCCACCAAGTGGAGAAGAAGAGAAATGGTAAAAGAAATACTGTAAAATAAGCAGTAGAGTATTCTCAATGTAAAACAAAATGTCAACAAAAGGTAACTTGATGGCATAAATTTATTTTGCTGTTATTGTTGGTTTTTGCATTGTCAAATCAATGCCACCACATACTGCTACCCCCCAGAAAAAAAGATCATCACAGTACAGTTTAAAAACGACGTATCAAAGAATAATAATGATGGAAAAATAAAAACTTTCATGCATTTGTGGAAATAAATCATCCCACAGTTTTATGATGAGTACACATCCCTTTCATTCCATCACGTTGTATTAAAGTGACATACAAATTCCAGGTTTAATACTGCATGTTGGACTTTATAGCACAGCATGGACACACTGTTGCCCCCAGGCACTGATGATAAAACTTTGTAGTACTCTGCACCAGAAAGTGACGGAAAGTTTAATGAAGAAGTTTGAGGTCCGGATGTTAGAGTTACTGAAGAGCTCTCCTCCTCACTGACATTCATAGATCTCTACTTCTGATGCATATTATCAAAGCTGTCATTAAAATCTGAAACTGAGGGGGTCCTAAAAAAACGAGATAATAATGCATTCAAGTGCAGTTTTGACAGTGATATTTGTCTTTGCAAAGATATCAATGTTGTAAGAGTTTTTGGGGGACAGATTTGCACAAGAATTGACTGAATACTCTATCATTTTTCATATTAGTTTTCTTGACTTAAGAAAAAAAACATAATTCAGTGTTGTCATAAAGGCTGAGTCATGCCTGTTTTTTTAAAAAAGACCTTCTTTGTCGTATTGAGAAAATATTTAAAAGCAGACAACAAGCCTGTCAATAAAACTGTTTTTTGGACCATTTTCACTTTGTTTTCCGGTAAACCTTTTCACATTTTCTATAAATGTTCAGATGAAAAATGAGAGTTATGCCACAAATTGTTGACAGCAGACATGTTTTGTTGGCAAAACCAATGATAGACATCTTGTAAAAGTTATTAAAGGTTGGGAGATGTGAGGAAAATGTGAGACAAATGAATACAGAAAACATCAATTTCCAAGTGAATTGATTTACTTTGTTGAGGGTGAATGAGCAATACTTATCATTCATACAAAATGTATATATTACTTTGAAGAAATGTGCAAACAAAGCTTTAATAAAGGATGCCTTTACATGCTCTCTGATGCTGGCATTTTGGAAAAATATACAGTTATAGAAATATATACACATCCAAGAGTAGCACGTCTACATACTCAGTGTGGGCATTAGCAAGAGTCTGCTTGCATAGTTCAGTGCATGCATAAGCAAATTTTGTTTTCATGCAACATCTGTCGTATAGGTCGTAGAGGATGATCTTGGTCTAAGTCGGTGTGTTCAGTGTCGGTCTACAAGCTGAAGATGTGCACAAGCTGTGATGGCGGCTGACTCAATCATACCGTAATGCTCTATGTACACGTATGGTTTGAAACAAAGGCATCCCAGCTGTCTTTGAAAGTGTCGTCTGTGTGTGTGGAGTGGACTTTTTAATTTCTTACATTTTTACAGTAACCCTGTGTTCATCTGAGAGGAATGTTTGGAGATGTCTGGCAGTCTGAAGAAGAAGAAGAAGAAGAGGCTGATCCCCTCCTCTGAGAGGACGATCAGAGGTGGTGACTGGGTGGGACTGGTTTGTCTGAGGGGTAACAGGTTATTAACAGGTAAATAAAAACACAAACATTTAAAGGACCACTACAAACAAAGATCTCCAGACGTTCAACACCAATGACACATGCGACATTCCTTTACTTCTCCTCCCTAACCTCTCTCCACGATGTTAGTCTTTGTCTTCTCTGCACAAAAATACTTAAAAGGCTGTTGCACAACTACTACATCAAGGAGCATATGTAAACAGCAGTTCAGGTTAAATAGGCTTAATTGTGGTTTACTTGAAACAACATTTTCAGTGCTTAATAAATATTAAAATCGAGTTATAAATTTACCAACATCTGCAGTTATACAATTTAGATTAAATACGTCTTTGTTTATCTGAGGCACTGATGTTTGTAGTTGACAGGTGGCTCTCGGTACTGAAGGAGAGCTGTACATAAAGACTTTTTTGGAAATAATTTCACTGCATCATCAGCGTGTTAAAAATCACCGGTAAACTTCCTTTGGTGACTGAGTAGTCTGTGTTGGATGTCTCTTGCTTTCCATCTTTGTGCAAAGTCACTTTTATTCCCACCTCTTGACGGTAACGTACCTCTCTCTCCTCTATGCTACAGACAGAACAAGGCAATCATTTCATTACATGTGCAGTCCATGCGTATTTACAATACAGTAGAATATTCCTCAAAATCAATGCAATCCATACAAAGTGCTTAGTTAAAATCCATTCCTAAATAACTATTTAACAACATGGACTGTGGGCGTCCAGTATGGCAGCTGGTTTTCAGTGATCACTGAAAAGCTACAGGTGCTTCAAAGATGGTTCGATGGTTAAAACACCCCGGAGCTGCACGAGAGAGAGAGAGAGTGTGAGAAGGAGATTGTTGTCAGGCTGTAAAATGTCACTTGGCCTTCTGGCTAGTTGGTGTGGGGTTGATGGGGATCTTCCTCGACTGCATTGTCTTTTTCGCAGGCTCTTTCTTTGATGGCTCTTTTGCGTTGGCAGAGGACTGCTGGGTGTTTGTTTCTGCTCCAGAAAGCTTCGACTTTGTGGAGGGCAGCAGTGAGTGCTTAGCTGTCGCAGATGCTTTTGACGACTCCTTGTCTTTGGCTGTATTCGAATTGGCCTCTAAGGCAACATTCTGGGCTTTCTTACCTGCTCCTTCTCGTGCCGCATCCCCGTTACCATCCTCTGGACTTCCTTTAGTCTCTCCTGCCCCTGTTTTCACGCCATCGCCTGTTTTACGAGCGTCTTTGGGCCTCAGAGCAGTTTTGAAAAAGGATAAACCTTTCTCCTCTGTTTTACTGTTCCTTCGAGGCCCTCTTGATGGCGGGGCTGCGCTTGCAGAGGAAACACCTACACTAGAGGATCTGAGACTCGTCATAGAGGAGCTGCTGCTCGAGCTACGACCTGCTGGTCTATTCTCAGCACCCCGACCTGGTCTGCTCTCTGCCCTGCTTGCAGCACTCGACCTAGAGGAAAGACCTCCAGAGTTCGTCTTCTTTTCTGGGACAGCACTGGTCCTCGAGGAATCCCGGCTAGTGCTCCTGTCTGCTGCTTTAGTCCTTCCTGAGGCAGAGCTTCTCTCACCTCCAGTTCTTGGCGATGTCCTTCTCGGAGGGTGAGAGTTTTGTGATCCCGGAGAACCGCTTTTCCTCTGTTGCGCCGAGTCAGGACGTAACACCTCCGGGGTTTGGGAGGAGGCTTTCTTAGAGGGAGTGGCAGTCCTTGAGGAACTTGCCTTGCTAGCTTTAGCCGCACCATCATTCCTATCCTTGGGGCTGGACACCGACGCCGTGCTTTTGGTCTGCGATCGAGATGTTAGCTTGTCAACAGCTGGAGACGCAGGGGACAGGGAGCTGGAGGATGTAGAGGAGGTGGCAGGGCGTTTTTTGGGACTCCTTTCACTCTCTAATCCCGTCTTTGCTGAGTTCCTTTTCACACTGGCGCTATCTCCTGCCCCGTTTCTTTGTTTCTGCTCCTTCACCGCTGCCCCATGCCGAGGACTGACCTGTTCGGAAGAGGTGACCACATTGTTGTTCTCCCCAGCCTGGGTGGAGCTCCTCTGCTCCGCCTGGGCCACAGCTTTGGAGTGAACCTGCTCTATCAGCCTCCTGCTGCTCAGATTACTGTCCAAAGCCGTGAGAGCTGACCGACCCCCGGACAGTTTGTCCGGTTTCGGTGAGCCAGGGAAGTTATCCACCACCTCTCCTATCATCTCCAGAGTCGGGGAGGAGGAGTGGGACTCCAGGGAGAAGCGTGAGGGCGAGTTGGATCGAAGCTGAAGCTTTGTGGAGTGCGGCCAGGATGGTTTGGTGCCGTTTTCACTTAGCACAAGAGGACTGGCGATAGAAGATCTTGACGAGAAAGTTTGTCTTTGCATGCCTCTTACTGCCTGACGGCTCGATAAACCTGCGCAGTAAAAAGACACATTTCAGCTGAAGTTTCTCAGCGATTCTTTGAGATACTGTGGTTTTTAATGAGCTTCTCACCATCATCCTCGCTCCGTTCACCAGCAAACTCAGCTGACTCTGAGAGAGATGCCAAGGAGGTGCGTCTGGAGGAACCGGATGAGGCTTGGCTGGGTGGACGGCTTCCTATCAGCCGACTAATCCAGTGCTCACACAGAGAAGAACTCGTGGACCCTAAAAGCAGACAGTGCTTAGCTGTTAATCATGTTTATGAAGGAAACGCTTACACGTGATTTTATGAGCTTGAACTGATGAATTACCTCCCACAGAACTGTTTGCGGACCATGATGGGATTGTGGCGCGTCTTTGATAAAACAGGATGTAACCAGTTGGCTTACAGACCTCGTCTTCAGACATGGGATGAACATCGCTATCATCAAAGCAGTACCATTGTCCATCGATGGAGTTCTTACAGTGAGCTAAAAGACGAAACAAAACTAAGAATAAATATTTTGGAGAGCTGAAACAAATCAACATCAGCGCTTGGTTCTTGATCCTCTTACCTGTGTAATGCCCCCCCTGCATGGTCCCGTGATGGTTACACACAGCGTACAAGTCATAAAGGTAGTCCTCAGGGTCACGGCCCATCCCATAAGGCCGTCTCCATGGTGACCAATGGGAGGGGAGACTCCAGCTGCTCTGGCTCCTCTTCACCATGTGGGGTGCCATGTCCATACCAGTGAGAGGGAACTTCACCATGTTCTGCATCTTCATTCTCCGATCCCCGTCCTGAAAGTAGAGCACATTTATCTTATTTTATCTGACAGCGAGTTCTTTTGAGTTTAAGTGTAAAACGTCTGAGCTGCTACTAACACCAAGAATTTCACATAACTTGCCCCGCCCTCTGCTCTGGCCTTAAGGGATACTCAGGGTACTAAGGGTAGTTCTTCTGCCTTAGTGTCTCGGTCTGATTGCATTTCCACAAGGAAATGATCATAAATGTTTATCCTTGAGCTGTGTCACCCCACTGCCCCGCCCCATTCATGATCGTGAGGAAACGATCGTGAATGTTCTTCCTTGAGCTGTGTCACCCCACTGCCCCGCCCCGTCAATAATGGACTGGCCCGGAGGTCTGCGTACAAGCAAGCACTAGAATGTCCCTTTAAGGTCCAGTTTGCAAAACACTTTTTTGCAGCTCTGTGAAGCTGTCAGCATCTCTAACTTACATCCTGGAGCAGCTTGATTATATCAATGTCAAAGAAATATTGACAGACTTTGGGTGCATATATATTGTTTTAGGTCATTTTAAGGTGGATTGTCATCATTGCTGAATAGTTATATACAATATGGCACAGTAAGCCCCTTCTCTTAGCAAGCTGATGTATTGTGTTTTGGGTTTTACTTGTATACTAGAGCATATTTTGCCCAAAATTAATGCATAACAGCTCATTTAATATATTCAAAGCACACATTGATGCTTTTTGTTTATGTTTTGTGAATTAAAGTATCTTTTTGATGTCTACATAACCAGGAAGTATTCGACAGTCAGATAGTTCAAATTCCTTAAGGAAAGGAACCTCACTTTTTTTCTTTTATTATTTCCTTGTGCTTAAGATACATCAGACCAGACTGAAAGAATAAAAACCAACGATTACTTGCGTCATCTGTATCTGAATAACACACCTTTCATCTGTGCATGACATGAAGCCATCCAAATGAACAAAGTAGATTTAAATCTGATCTGCGCTGCTTTGAACAATTATTTTCTTTTGATCAAACTGATTATTTATTTGAATATCAGATGAAAGACAGGTAAGGAGAGTCACATTCTCAATGTGACAACTATTTCATATTATCTTTAAAACTTTTATCCTTTTGTTTATTCCAGCCTCTATTCAAACAAGCACTTCATTAATAAAATACTTTATCGTCACCTGGTTTTTCACATTTGTGCAGCTGCTTAAAACAGGAGCACACTTTGTGACTATTTGTGGTCCATCTTCTGAGCAATGTAGTTTTTCCACAGCAGGCCTGTATGCAGGGTCTCTGCAGGTTTCAATAAGTTAAATTTAAGACTTTTAAAGACTTATTTAGACAGTAATAAATACAATTTAAGACCCATTTTACATCCAAAAAGTACAAAAGACATGAGGGAAAATCAATTCATTTTAAGTTACTTCAAATCAATCTTTATTTTTATGGCAAGTTATTTATTCATAAGTTGAGTGAATACATTTTTAATACCTTTCAAAATCGCATTTAAGACAGTTTATGAGATTTTGAGAGAATTTTAGATATTTTGAGGCCTTAAATTCAAATTGTTGGATTTTAGACTTTTTAAGAGTTTTTAAGACCCAGCAGAAATCCTGTGTATGACTCTGAAGTCAACCTCATATGACTTCATACTGTGGCGATCCTCTTCCTTGACCCAGGTAAGTTTTTCATGCAGGTCTAGTAAATGATTTCAGAAGAGACACTGGAATTTTTTTTTTTTTTTTGCAGCCTGACCATTTGTTCATGTGTGAGTCGACATCAGTACCTGTCTGAAGCGCTTCAGGTGGAGTATAAGGATGTCCGGCAGGGTCCACAAGCTGAGCTTGATGCTGCCCTGCTGAAGCTGCTTACAGTGAGGACATCTCCATGCATCATCAGGGGCCAGCTGAAATAAAAATGAAAAGATGACGATTGTAAAAATAAAATAAATAAAACAAAATAAAGAGTGTTTGATGTTTTTTTTAACCTGTAAATTCACCAGTTAGTTTTTTAAATAATGGAGACAGGAATTTAAGCCAGCCTTACTTTTTTTTGTTTTTTGTATTCTTATTTGATTTATGTGTGTTTTCAGAGTCATGCTTAAGTTTTTTACAGTATGGCTTTGTATCATACCCGTTTATATGAATATGAGACAAAGAAAAGTCTTAAATATCAAATTTCTTAACACGTTGTTAACAGTATTAACTTCATAACTCCCATGGAAATGTAATTGCTCTGCCACAAAACCCTCAAGATCGGTACGAACACAACTGCACACTTCCTCAGTGGGAGGGACCCGCCTACCTGCTCCTCTTTGGTGTAAAGCTGAAAGCACTGGGCCAGGGAGCATGTCTGAGGCTGCAGGTGTTGCTCTTTCACTTGACGCACACTCTCAGCATCTGGGATATATTCATCCTCGGTTCTTTTGAACAGACTGCAAGCAGAACATGATGCAAGTCACCGAAGGATCAGAGGAGACTTCAAAAGACTTTTTCTATACCTTATTTATGTTTCACACAGGCCTGAAAGTAGACATCACGTATGAGCCTGGAGTCTGATAAAGGGTGTAGAGCAGAGCTTCAGATGTTACTCACTAGTCTTTCGTCTCCTTGTCCCATTCAACAACTATTTTGACATGAGGTGGACCTCCAGGACCGCAAGACTTAAATGCCCTGATGAAGAGGAGAAATCAAAAGAGGACCAACATGAGTAATTCAGATGACACTGAGCATCCAAGACTTTGATGAAGACCATATGTTTTGAAATTGCATCTATTGCATCTAACATGATGAGAAAAAAAACTTTCTGCGAAAAGGTCAAAGTTTCATGTCTGTTTTTTCGTGCCGCAGCAGTGCAGCAGATATTATTTTTGTCCCATTCCCCTCATTTGAAAAAATCTATGCAACAAGCTCAGAGGTCAACACCTTCTGAGAGGAAAATCCATAAAACCAGACAGGCTGTTATACATCTCAGGAGGTATTTTTACATCAATACAGCCAAAGAGCTGGCCTGCATACTGTAGCTCCTCAATCAACATCAAGTAGATCGAGCACACTGCAGGGTTTATGTAATGAATGTTCATGTGAATGGAAACACTGCCCCCTAGTGGTGATGAGTGTGGTTACCTTTCCACCGAGGGGTGACATAGAGGCTGCTCCTCCTGAGGTAAGAGATATGTGATCCCAACCACCCCTACCACTCGCAGAGTGAAGGGCCCCACCTGGAGAAGATTAAAAAAGGGGCATTAAAAAAACAAGGAAAGTTCAAAAATGAAAATCTTAGAAAAGAAAGTGTCTAAGTGGATGTAATGAGCACCTGCACGAAAACTCCCGGGCGCAATAGATGCCTCATTTTCTCTAGTATCTCTTTCTGGAGTACATCCCATGTCACTGTTCGCTCCAAATACAAGATGAATGGATTACCAAACCTGCAGAAATAACAAATGACAAAATTTGTTCGCTGTTTTTTGTAAAGTTAACAGAGCAAAGATAGGTACTCAAGCCCAGTTTAGAAAGAGAGTACATCAACACAAAATATCACAATACTCATACAATCAAAAGTTGAGTAAATACATGAGTTATTCTCTTTAAAAAAAAAATAAAGCTAAACAGATTAGGGTTGTCCACAAATATTCTTAATTCAAATGTATATTCGAATATTTAAAATAAAATGAGATTCGAATGTGAAAATTAATATTGGAATATAAGATAACCAGTGGAAAAAACTGTGTGGGAAAAACACTGAAAAAAAAAAACAGTGGCTGCTTTGCGACTGAGCGCACTGTAACGGGTCAGGGACGGGTCACAGGAGCTGCACATGCAGTGAGACTCAACAAAAGCCGTCCGTGGCACATGCAGAGAGAGATGGCGGGATGTTTGGAGCCAAACTCGGAGGAGTGGTCTGGACTCCAACGAACTTTAGAAGCTCGGTTTGGAAATTCTTCAGATTTTGGGCAGACATGGTAGACGGAAAAAATGCTGAGTGAGATAAAGTTATATGCAAGCTGTGTAGGCTAGATATTGGAATATGTTCGAACCTCTGTGTTATTTTCAGAACAAATATTTGAACACCATTTCGAAGCAACTTTGACAGCCTTAAAACAGATGAACAAAACTTTAAGTTAAACATGTTTGGTTATAGAGCAAGACTGTTGGATACCTTCTTCCCTGCTGTCCGGCACAGGCTCTGTTACACACCAACAAGACAATCTTCTCAGCCTGGCCGCTGTTCTTGTTCGGACTCTGAGGTGGAGTTGTTGGCTCTTGTATTTGTGTGGATATCCTGTTGTTATCTGTGCCATACTTCAGGTTGTTCTGGTTTAGATTGGCATGTGGGCTCCCTGTATTGATTAGAGACATGAAACGTTAAATTACAAGTGTAGGGAAAAAAAAGGTTTTTGTGCTGCTTTAAAAAATAAAAAAAAAAACCTGTCTGGTCAGTGTACGGCACAGCTTCCTGAATGAACTGCTTCTCCAATAAAAGTCCCTTTCTTATCTAATCTCATCTCCTCTTGGCATGTGATGAGGAAGCACTAAACTTATATTACTTTATATATATACTTTATAAGGGAGTAAACAGGATGCTGTACCGCCTCGCTTGGAACGGATCTGCTCCGGTCTGAAAAGCTCAGGTGTTTCAAAGGCAAAGATGGAGTCGCTCTCCTGAATGATCTCGAGGTCATCGTCATCGTCACAGAAGGAGCGGTGAAAGCCGTCAAAGTACATTTCAGTGAGGACAATCTGTAAACAGACAGAGAGGGAAAGAGTTTTTCATTCATGCTTGCTTATTTGTAACTTGAAGATAACTTTATAAACTCTTTTTCTATTACTTTCATAAAACTTTAATCTTTTTATAGAAGGAAAACATTCCTGTGTTATCTGGTTCTGTTGTAGATGTTTGACTCTCTTCATTTATATATTGTTAGCTTTAAAAAAGTGCAGCCCTAATAAGACGTCACCTGCTGGGCAGGGATTTTGGTCTCTTGAGCCACAGCTTGTCGCAGCCTGGACACAGTGCCAGAGAGAGGTACCGCCACCCCGACTCTCATACAGTGGGAGCACTTTCCTTGGTACACCACTGTCACATACAGCGGCCTGCAACACAGAGACACTAAAATTAATTGTCTGTTTTATAAGCAACTGCTGGACAGGCTTTCAAAGATAGACGGAAACTTCTAATTTTAGCTTCGTCCTGTCAGAAGTTTCATGGTGTTTGTCTCAGCTGGGTTTGACACTCTCTTTAATGCTCCGCTCAGACTGTATCTTGTTTCGTCGCATTTTTGGAAACAAGGACTTTTTCTGTCTGATAAATATTTTCTTACCTGCGCACAGAGTCAGCTTACCGTGTGTGAGGTACCGGGATTGGCAGTGAAATGCAGAGGAAAGGATCAAAGGTGTTGCTCTGTTTCTGGCAGTGAGGGCAGGTCAGCGAGGACCTACAAGAGGAGAATAATAAAACAGACACATATTATTGTCAGTGGATCATACTAAAGGAACAGAGATATGTTTTTGGAGTAACAATAGATCACTTTTTGGAATAATGGGTAAAAAAAAAAAAATCACTTTATAATGCACATTAGCTTAGTATACCCTTAATTTGAACAGTCTGCTCTATACAGTGATAACCCCACAACTTTTCAGGCTAATTCAGCTGAAAAATTTATGACTTTTGGGGTACTTAGAGTCAAATCTTGTTACTAGATTACAAAAATAGGTTTTTTATTTAAAGGGATATTACGGCGTAAAATTAATTTAGAGTCAAACACACTGTAACACCGAGTTAGACACCCCCTCGAGAGATAAATGTTGCAGACTGTTTGCTTCTCTAGTTATACCAACTTAAGTAATGACTGCAGGATAGCAATACACAGCGATCTGAGGAGCCATAAACAAACCTCAACCAAAACACCACTCTATAGCCACAAATAATGCTCAGAACAGCACCTAACTCCATCAACACTACACATAGGGTTCCAGCCACAGCACTAGCCACCAAATATCTTTTTAAATTTGCCTGATTTCTTTAGCAAAGAGACTAAACACAACTCACCCACTCTCTTCCAGCAGCCGCTTGTTTGTAGTGAGACCTCAAGCCAGTCCATTACGGACTACAGTGGGGTGACGCAGCTCAAGGAAGAACATTTATGATCATTACTTTATCATTTCCCTGAAGTAATGATACTATAGTAGTCATTTTGCAACGCAGATGTGGTAGTTCTTCTGCCTCAGTCTGATTGCATTTCCATGAAGAAATGATCATAAATGTTCTTCCTTGAGCTGTGTCAGTCCACAGCAGTCCATAATGGACTGGATTGAGGTCTCACTACAAACAAGCGGCTGCTGGAAGAGAGTGGTTGAGTTGTGTTTAGTCTCTTTGCCGAAGAAATTAGGCAAAGTTAAAAAGATGTTTGGTGGCTAGTGCTATGGCGGGACACCTATATATACTGTTGATGAAGTTAGGTGCTGTTCTGAGCATTATTTGTAGCTATAGAGTGGCGTTTTGGTTGAGGTTTGTTTATGGCTCCTCAGACCGCTGTGTATTGCTATCGTGCAGTTGTTACTAAAGTTGGTATAACTAGAGAAGCAAGCGATCAGCAACATTTGACCCTAAATTAATTTTATGCCGGAATATCCCTTTAACTCTTCAGTCTTATTTTAAGCTAATTCAACTGAAAAAGTTATGACTTTTTGGGTACTTAAGAGTCAAATCTTCTTACTAGATCCCAAAAATAGGTTTGTTGTTTAACTCTTAGTCTTTAACCTATGCTATTTTTGTTGCCAGCTGAGGCTTCACTTCACACAAAACTCTCAAACAACTGATACAACTGCATAATGGTGTTTCTAAAGATTTCAGACCCCCAGTATCTCTTAGACATGAGTGTTATTGATGAATTACAGAGTTAACTTCCAGAGGCAGGCGGCTCACAGTGGTGCTCTGACAGAGTTAATTTAGCTGTAAAGACATTGAAGCCCTTCTCAGAATTTTTTTAGCCCACAATGAAACAGGCTGAAATTTCTATTAATTCCTCTCCATGACCATGAAAGCAGAAAAATGAACCATCAGCATAAAGATTCACTGTTTCCACATAGTTTTTTCTGAAGTAAGCACTGCTTTGGGGCAGGCGTTGGATCAAGTGATAAGCTACACTGAAGAGACAGCCTTTGTTTACATACTCTACAGCAAAGTTTCTCAGTGATGTACTTAAACGACTAAAAAAGCAGGATGAGATGTCTTTTTTTTTTTTTTTTTATAAATATGTACAATTAAGAGTTAAGTTAAGTTGTAATACTTTGTCCACCAGGAAGCGCCAAAATTAACACAAACTACAAGCTACTCAAAGGAGCTTTAATTTTAGTAGTAGTTGTATTATTGAGTCACTGTGCAAAATAAAATACAGACTATATACCATTAATTACTTAGTTGTTACCTGTATTGTGCCTGAAACAGCTCCTGTACAAAAGAGCCAGGTGCTGGTAGTGGAGATCCTTCAGGGGGATTTTCTTCTTCTACTGGAGGCTGAAAAAAGACAGACACAATTATGTCATGTACAAGAACAGTTTAATGCATGCACTGACTGTGAACAGTTTCTTAGAATACTACAATGTTGTTAAATTGGCTGACAGAAAAGGGACAATTTCAGTTATAACATATCATCACTGTCCAGATATTCACTTTATGTTATGTTGTGCTGTTATATAGGCATTGTTTACTGTGCACTTGAATCCTCTGAATGTGCAATAAATACATTGTGGTTCACCTTCCTGGGAGGTCTGCTTTCAGGATGGGCTATGTGGTTGAGGTCTTCATGTACTCTATCCAGCAACCAGAGCAGAAACTCTTGGGCATCATGCTGGGAGTTTCCCTTGAACTGGAGAGCGCTCTTGGATACCACATTCTGCGGCACACAACAGGAGCAAAAACACATTGTGGTTAAAGAGGACCCTTTCTGTTTGTGACATCACTGGCTTATAAAATATTCAGCATGTTTGTGCGTCCTGATCATCAGCACAATCCTAAAGGTCAGCAGAGTCAGGGTGAGGGTGAGGGTGAGACACAGATGTAGAGAAACCAGGACACAGGTGTAACCTCACTGACTCTTAGCTACTGGAGATGAAAACAGCGTGTTCTCAACAGAGCCACGCAGGCTGGCAGCTATAAAGTCACCTCGATTGGCTATCAAATGTCACGCAAGGTCAAAGATAGGAAGGGAAAATGCACTCTGAGCCTGCCCAGCCTGCCCCATGGGACTCTCTGCCTCATTTTGAAGGCATTACCAGGGCAACCTCAGCATTTTGAACCAATAAAAAGCTCGCACTGCCTCTAGCTCAACCACACAAGTAAAGGGTTAAGGTCTGTTATTGAGAGCAGATCTCAATCTTGGCCTCCGATTCATACCAGTACAATTATGAGACAATTTTAAAAAGAGAACAGTTTGCATATATTATTGAAATGTGAGCTTATTTCTTTTGGATACCTGTATTTTCCCTTTATTTTAGCAAAATTTTTTCATCAATGTAAGTAACAAAAACACCGACCAAGTATTAAATTACACAAAAGGCTGAGAGGAAACGACATCAACCAAATTGAAGAAAACAGGAACTTGTGAGTGATATCAAAACATACAAGGGGCTGAGAGAAAGAGATGTTGATCAAATTGAAGAAAACCAGCCACAAAGCGACCATAGTATGGACTCTAGCAGTGGTGCAGGACAGAGAAGGTCCAGGGAGTGGGCAGTTTGTCACTTACCCTGCAATATAAAAGAAATAAAAGAGAACTTCCTGTTGCTGCTAAACTGGTGATTGTCTGCTGTAATGTAAAATGACAATTTAGGTCTTCTGATGCATTTGGTCTAGCATGTAAACAAAATAACCGCTTCTGGGGGAAAACTGACTCTAGAGTGGATAATTCCCTTTGGTTATGAGTTTGTACATCTTCCTAATGAGCTATAAGTGCTCTCAGTTTGGGCTCAGATTGTGGTCGGAGGGAAGAGAGACAAAAGCGTCATGCAGTTTGTGTACACTAAGCTCTAATGCACACGTACCTCCGAAATGGTATGTTTTTCATAAAGTTCATTTAGCTGCATGTAAGGTTTGGACATATAAACAGAAGAGAAGAAACTAAAATCTCTAAGAAAGAAAGTCTGGGATTGTAAATTGTAAGTAAATTAAATACTGAAGCTGCAGATAAATAAATACCTCAGGATGTTGTCAGTGAAACATACAGAGAAAGAATGAGTCACTTCAGTTAAATGGATTAGACAAAATTTGTATATATAGAAGAGGATTTTGATGAAGAATCTTTGTCTAAGAGCCTTAGTTTGTACTTTCCCCCCAGACTGAGTTATACATGTTCAAGGCCTCTTTTCTCCAAGCAGAATTATCTATATCCAATCAGACAGTTTGTACTCTGGCTGGCAACCAAGGTAGAGAAAAAGGACAGAAATAGTAACACTGTCAAGAATAAGCAATGTGTTTAATGGCCCTGTTCAATTTAGTCCTTCTCTTTTGTGTATTTTCAGCTCTTCAAAGAAGAAAATAGGTTATTGAACCAAAAAAGGCAGGAAGAATAAAGTATCCTTGTTATGAAAGAAGGAACCTTTGTGACTGTGGCTGCGACAGGACAACTTTTACTGCTAGGATACAGGTTTGTAAGGTAAGGAGATGAGAAAGTAGACAAGGCTTTAAGAATGGCTGATCGTGCGTACAGAAAAGAGTGGTTAATAAAAACATGAGTTTCTTTACAGCTTAGCAGACCACTCACAACAACCAACAAAGAAAACGCTGGCTTTGCTTAATTCTAGGGATGCACCTTTTCGAACCAATACAAATATCTATGTTTAAAGGAAAACTTAAGGGATTGTCAAATCCAATGGTTTCTGCATTATCCTAGTGTCTGATTTTCAAATGGGCTATGAAATTTAATGTTTTCAAATTGGTACTACTTGAAAATCTTAGGAACATATCTTGCAAACCGTATTTCTCAGAGGGTGTAATACTCCCACACTGCCTACATTTGATCATGAAATGAAGCAGGTGATGTCTTCTACCCAACAAAGGTCCTTCACTGGATCAGCAAATAGGTTCATAGTTTAATCTCCTATGATAAGGTTGGTTTAACTGTAAGAAAAGATATCACATAGCATGAGAGATCTGCGCTCACCTGAGTTAAATTTAGGACAGGGGCGCTCTGCCAACACCAAATTATAAACTAGGATTGGCTGTTTACTTTGCAGGAGTAGGACATATGTTATGTGTGTTGCCACAAGCTGCTTGTAGCTTTCTATGACACTTAAATTAAAAAAAAAAATTCTATTTCAGAAGGTGTGTTTGGATTAGATCATCAAAAATGAAAACAAACCTCTGTATGGTGGCAAAGTTTTGGTGCCAAATATTGTTAGTCAATGTATTTTTGACTGGTAGGGAGTTCACTTAAATATATTTTGCATTCTTGAAATGTTAAACCTACAAGATTTGCATCCAGTCAAACCATTGCGTCACTTTTTAAACTGAAAAAACAAAGAAATACAACATCTGTATGATGTTTTGTTTGTGCTCGATATGATTGATGGAGACAGAGTGGGTACAAAAATGTATTATATCCATGTGTGTGTGTGTGCATATTCTTATAGTGCATAGTGTGCATCTATCAAAAGTGTAACAGGAAAACTTTCATGTGATTTGGGCCTATTGACATCTGTAATTATTCTGACAAACTGAAGAAAATCATTCAGTAAGTCTACCATATATTGAAATTTCTAGACTGGATCATAGATATCCAATGTAGGTAATACAGCTAATTTGGCTCGAATGGCTTCTTTTGCCATGCATAAAACTTAGCAGTGCACAGACAGCACTTATCAGTGACAATCTTAAACTTGAGACTTCTGTTCAGGGTTACATATGAGCTGCTCACATAGATTTATTGAAAATATAACTAAGATTCAAGCTATGCTCTGAGTGGGAAACAGCAAAACTCAACAAAGCTGTACTTGAAAGTAACCTCAACATCTTCTGTTTTCTACAAGTCCCTGTGAAAGTTTCAAAATAGCTCAGGGGCACAGAAAGTCTATCAGGAAACTTTGTTCTAGGCAGGTAAATGGATCTAATTTTGGTCCTTTAAAAAGTCAGTTTCTCTACATCAGTAGGTTGTGTGTCTTGTTGTTGTTTTACGGCCCTTCTTTTGTACAAAGTGTACCCACTCAGCCCTTGACTCTCTTCATTTGATTACCTTGAAGTCTCTGCTGTGCTGAGGTGTATACTCGAAGGTCCACAGAGCCCTGACCAGCCCGGACAGCTGCTCAGTCACCTCCCCGGAATCCTGCTGCTGCTGCTGCTGCTGGCTCCCTTTCTTCTGCACCAGCACCCCGTTGGACTTGGCCTTGTCGCTACTGCTGCTGGTGGTGGTTTCTGTCCCCTTGAACTGCTCCAGAGCCAGGTACTCTGCGAACAGCTCCGTGTTGCTCAGGCACTGCAGGATAGCGTTCATAAAGCAGGTGTTGCCGTGATTTTTCAGCCCGGCTACACCTGGCACTTTATCCCCGAACGGGAAACCCCCACAGTCGCTGTCGTCTGAAGGTACCGACCCCCCGGTAGTATTGGGGATCGAACCCGCGTCGTCCTTCTCATCCTCGGCGGCCTGCTCGTCTGTGCCGAAATGAGACAGAGTCGATAGAGTCCGGAGAACTCTGTTCATAAAGCTCCCCACGGAGCGGACCGAGCTCCTCCGGAAGAGCTTTTTACTGAAGGATTTCTTCTCCTTGTTACTGACAACTTTCGACATGGTTGCTTTGATGGTTTTCCCGCTTTTTTATGCCACAAATCCAAAAATAAGGGCCGCTTTATTCAGCGCATCCTGGTGCACGGATAGCTCCTCCACTTTCTCAAAGGCCTCGTATTTCATAGAAACATAAAGGCCTGGCAGTTCTGGGGATCATATCATATGGGAGCAGTAGAAGAGTAACACCAAATCAGCCCACTTGCAACACTGCGTCGGATTGCATAAACAGCCTCCATGGAGAGCCGCTCTCTGGGCGTTTTATTTTGACGCTCGGGGTAGTCCCGCACCAGCCTGCAGCCATCATCTCTAACGGTCCGTCCGGTGACATAACATCACCTGTGTCATTATTTAGAAACAAAAACAAGGCGCTGAGGTTGAGTATCACCGGGAACAATGTCTGCCGGACATAAATAACAGCGTTCACAATTAGGCTGAGAGTGACGAGCTCATCATTTATTAAAGAAACCGCAGCTCCACCCTATTAAAGGTATTTCTCCCCCTTTAATATTCACACCCGCGGTGTGTCGGTGATATTTACCCGGAGGATGTCTTCGCTAAATCGCCTCCACAGTAGGCGCGCGTGCAGGAGCCCTGCCAAACTGAGGAACACCCCGACCGGAGCGGCACAGCCCGCCGCTCCCTCGCGCTCGGCTGCTGCTGCTGCCGCTGCTGCGGAGCATCTCTTCCGGTGCCAGACGTGAAAGCTGTCCCCATTCGAAAGTGTTCGATATTATCCCAATACTTATTTCACTTTCAGTGCTCCTGAATTCCTCCTCTTCCTTGCGAAGCCGGATGGGATTCACGGGGAGGCCGCTGCTTCTCCCATCTCCATCATCATCATCATCATCTGTAGGCTGGGAGACTGCAGGCAGGCAGGCAGCAGGGCGGTGACGGCTGACGTCAGGGCCAAACACTGGTCCATGTTGGAGGAGAGCAGGTACAGCGGCATGTGATGCTGAATGATGCTCAAACCCCGTCCCTGGACAGCATGGACACTAATGGGCGCCAGTTGGTCAGCAGTGGCAACATATCATCACATCATTAAAACTAAATATAGAAATATCGTGCCAAAGCTAGATTAAAAAAAAAACTCTGGAGAACAAAGACCCTCATACCAGAGACAGGGGGGTTTAATCTACATTTGATGATCTGTTTTTGATAGACCCAATTAACTGTGAAAAAGTAAGAATAGGGACTCCAAGAGTACTGCTTATGATTACTGTCTTTTTGTGTTTATGATGCAAACATTTTAACAAAGGAAAGCTGCAAACTATAATCATTACAAATAGTAATTCATCTGCTGATCATTTTGAATTTTTTTTTTGTTTTTATAAATATCTGAATTTTTCATAAATAAATGAACATACATTTGCAGGATTTGTGCAAAGTATAATGTTTACTCTTGCATATACAGTACATTTATAAAGATGTGAGTTGGTCACTAGAGTTGGGCAGTCAAATGAGTATCAAGCTTTTAATATAAGACTGAATAGAGAAATTTGGCTAATGAGAAAGGGATTGGATTTAATAAATTTAATATCTAAGTCACCTAACTCTTTAATGGATGTGAAAGTAGTTTCACAATTTTGTTTTTGTAAATGTTAGGTTTACTTTTCTTGTTTCTTGTAAAAAAATTTGACATATTAAAATCACATTTAAAAAATAGAATTGACAATTAATTTGATCCATGAAGAGTAAAAATGGGTAAAATGCCAATTTCTGATACTTTCATATCAAGAGCATCCTCAAATTTTGTGTAGTATCAAAACAAATTTATAATTGATATAGCAAAGCAAATAATCTATTCATGAAGTCATGACATCAGCATAAAAAAGATTATCGCGTTGTCTAAGATAGTGAAAATGCCGATCAGTTGACAGTTTCATGTCGTAATTCTCGATTTAAAAATAGGATTATATCACTCAAATCTCTGAGGACCCACAGTGCCACTCTTCTCAGTCAAGACTCTTACCTGTGTGTTCAAGAAAGTCTTCTGTCTGCATGCTTTCCCTCAGGGACTGAATGTGACAGACATGTCAATTATCATGACTTGAGGGTGCAAATGCGTTCAATATCAGTGAAGAAAAAAAAGAAGGCAAAAACAGGGCACTTCAAATACACAGAGAATGTGAGAATGTGAAAATAGATTAAGGAAAAAAGTCAACACTTAAATAAATACTATAGAGACTGCATGAGAATACATTTACTTTGGAGTTAACTATTAAATAAAATCACAATTGACTCATTTTTTGTGTTTTTATCATGTTTTATGTGAAGACTTTCAATATACTGCATGGGAAAATATGGAACAACCCATATTTGTCAAGCCTCTCCTACAACAACAGAGCTGGAGAGTAAATAACCTTCACCTTTACAGTTTTAGTCAACTGTTTGAACCGAAATAGCCACATATCATTTACTATTAGAGATGAATTGTGTTAGTATGATAAATAAAACAAATATTACAGTGTTAAAGGTTTGAAATGCTTGCAAACAACCCCTGATGTACCTTTAGTTTCTCCTTTAAATGCTTCAAAAACTTAAAGAAATTAAAGTTGCACGGCCAGGAAATTTTGACCTTTTGGCTTGACTTGAAGGCATTATCACAGGTAAGACATCATTGAAAGCCACGCGTAGTTTAACAATAATCAGTATAAAAAGTCTCTACCAACCCTGATTTTAACCTCAGTCCCATAAAGGACTGTAATCCCAAAATGCTGAAGCCCCAAACTAAATTTTAAGGAGCTGAAAATTGTAAACCCTTCATTATCACATTCTTCTTTGACAACCCAGGAAATGGGTCAAAAACCTGCCTGAGTCCAGGACCCTGCTCTGAGAGTCACTTTATATACAGAGCCCATCTCTCTGCCTGCCTGTTGTCTTTAGTAGTCGATGAGTCGGAGGGCAGCGATGGTGGAGGCCAGACGGCGGGGCAGCAGTTTGGTGGTCTGTCTGTAGTCTTCTGGTTTGGCCCTGAGCAGGGTGACGATGTGCTGTAGGGTTCGGGATGGCTGCAGGCCCAGAGCGTCCATCACGTTACTCAGATAGTCTATGGAGAAGAAGCAGGAGTCAAATGTATAAAAAAAGATTAATGATATGACAGTAACATTTGGAGCTCCCCCTACTGACTGGCCACGGTATAGGTCATTAACTGTGCCTGCTCCATGTTGACAGACAGGATATACAGTGCATCCGGAAAGTATTTATACCACTTCACTTTTTCCACATTTTGTTATATTACAGCTTTATTCCAAAATGGATTAAATTTCCTTTTTCTGTCAAAAATTCTACACAAAATACCCCATAATGACAAAGCGAAAAACTTTTATTCAGAACATTTTGCAAATTTATTAAAAATAAGACACTCAAATGTTGCATATACATAAGTATTCAGACCCTTTACTCAATACTTGGTCGAAGCACCTTTGGCAGCGATTACAGCCTCCAGTCTTCTTGTGTATGATGCAACAAGCTTGGCACACCTGGATTTGGGGAGTTTTTCCCATTCTTCCTTGCGCATCCTCTCAAGCTCAGTGAGGTTGGATGGGCAGCGTCGGTGCACAGCTACTTTCAGGTCTTCCAAAGATGTTCAATCGGGTTCAAGTCTGGGCTCTGGCTGGGCCACTCAAGGACATTCAGAGACTTGTCCTGAAGCCACTCCTTTGTCTTCTTGGCCGTGTGCTTAGGGTCATTGTCATGCTGGAAGATGAAGCGTCGCCCCAGTCGAAGGTCCCGAGCGCTCTGGAGCAGGTTTTCATCAAGGATTTCGATGTACTTAGCTGCATTCATTTTTCCCTCGATCCTGACAAGTCTCCCAGTTCCTGCCGCTGAAAAACATCCCCACAGCATGATGCTGCCACCACCATGCTTCACTGTAGGGATGGTATTGGCGAGGTGGTGAGCAGTGCCTGGTTTCCTCCAGACATGACGCTTGGCATTCAGGCCAAAGAGTTCCATCTTTGTTTCATCAGACCAGAGAATTTTGTTTCTCCTGGTCTGTGAGTCCTTCAGGTGCCTTCTTGCAAAGTCCAAGCGGGCTGTCATGTGCTTTTTACTGAGGAGTGGCTTCTGTCTGGCTACTCTACCATAAATGCCTGACTGGTGAAGTGCTGCAGAGATGGTGGTCCTTCTGTAGGGTTCTCCCATCTCCTCAGAGGAATGCTGGAGCTCTGTCAGACTGACCACCGGGTTCTTAGTCACCTCCCTGACCAAGGCCCTTCTCCCCCACTTGCTCATTTTGGCTGGGCGGCCAGCTCTAGGAAGAGTCCTGGTGGTTCCAAACATCTTCAATTTCTTAATGATGGAGACCACTGTGCTTTTTGGGATCTTCAATGCAGCAGATTTTTTTCTGTAACCTTCCCCAGATCTGTGCGCTGATACAACCCTGTTTCAGAGGTCTACAGACAATTCTTGCGACTTCATGGCTTGGTTTGTGCTCTGACGTGCTCTGTCAGCTGTGGGATCTTATATAGACAGGTGTGGCTTTCCAAATCATGTCCAATCAGCTGAATTTGCCACAGGTGGACTGCAATCAAGTTGGAAGAACATTTCAAAGCTGATCAGTGGAAACAGGATGCACCTGAGCTCAATTTTGAGTTTTATAGCAAAGGGTGTGAATACTTATGTACGTGCAACATTTGAGTGTCTTATTTTTAATAAATTTGCAAAATGCTCTAAAAAAGGTTTTTCCATTTGTCATTATGGGGTATTTTGTGTAGAATTGTTAAGGGAAAAAAGGAATTTAATCCATTTTGGAATAAGGCTGTAACATAACAAAATGTGGAAAAAGTGAAGTGGTATGAATACTTTCCGGATGCAGTGTAGGCCGAACAATAAAATCAAAATACGCAGCAAATCATTTTTTAAAAATAGTTTCTGCTTATAATGTTAGTTTGCACCATGCTAAATTGCGAGCAAGAGTTTATCTTTATGAGACATCTAGTAATAATTTGTAATTTGATCCTAAAAAAGGGGGATGATGTTTTACTTGACAGCTCTGGTGACCAAATAGGCTCTGTATGCAGCAGGTCATTTTGGATTGATTTTTGCACATAATATACAGTCACTGCTTTATGCATATAAACTTCACTTACATTTTTGTCATATTGTTCCATGTTACCATCAAGAACAAATTTTTCAAATATTGTTTCTGTTTTTTTACCGATATCTGTGGCCAGCTGTTTGGTGGAATGGGGGCTAAGTTGAGGAATGAGCAGGATGGCGTCACAGTACGTCTGCATGGTTGCCCTAGCAATGGAGCCCAGCCAGTAGTCTGCTGTGTTGTCCAGCTCTGGAAGGTCATCACCTGAGACAGAGGGCAGGTGATGGTATTTAGAGGAATAAGAACAGTGAATTGTGTTAAGCACATTCAAGTGAAAGAAAAAAACTTAGACACATACATAACTTTGTAAAAAGAAAAACTTTACCGCTTATACTAAATTTATATCTAAATTATGACAAGTTGTGTACAATGTTAGAGCAATCTTTAGCCCTTTTCCCATATGAGGGCATGTGTCAACTAACTTTTGCTCTGGTAGCTCCTACTTTCTATAAAAAAAATTGCACAGTTCAGCCCCTTCAGCAAGCAGCGACATCCAGTCTTGAGATACAAGTAAATTCAGAGATGTTAAAAACTGCAGTTCCACTAGCGTCCACTTGGGGCTGGTTCCAAAAGCCGTGGAGCCACATACACATCCATTCCAAGGAGCCAAAATTTACTGGAAAAAGTTAACATATTTACAGCCAGGCACACCAAAGAGTTTGGTCATAATGGCTCACAGCTCTATCAATACAAAGTGGACCAAATTTTTTTCTTTGTTTTCTTCAAAATATAACTCATTAGTTTAAAGGTGTCAAGGTTATAAGTTTTGCATAATTAGGGAAACTGAGATAGACACAGATTTGACTGACAGTCCAGGCCAGCACACTACAGCTGTTAGCAAGAGGGCTGGAGGCTGAAAGTTGGCAGAAAGTTAGGTGGGGTTAGCATCCCAAATATGGTGAGAATCATCTATAAGCTCTCTGGTGAAATTAGCTGAACTTTGGTATACCAGCACGCTCACCAATGACAATTCTGCCTCTGGTTGAAAAAAGAACTTTGCCTAGATGGCAGTTTATTTTGTGCTGCTGGCATTGGATTTAAAATTAGCGTAGTTTTTCATCAATCAATTTTTTTATTGCAACATATACTGTCTCTGCAATTTTCCAATTAAATGTAGAGTTTGAATAATTTGTAAACCATCAAAATCCGTTTTTATCAATGTTCAACACAGTGTACTAACTATTTTGGAAGTGAGGTTGTAAATGCACTGAAAGAAACAGTGAAAAGAAGTGAGGCAGAAATGGTTTACATAAAAATAAAAAAAATCAGATTAACAGGACTGTGTAGGAACCTTGCTCTGGAGGAAAAGGTAGCTTTCCAGCATGCAGTGCCATTTCTAGAGCCGGGTCTTCCTGAGTCACAAATGGCTCCAAGTGAAGGGGCAGAGACATCAGGTACTGTCCTATCTAAAACACAGACATCAAGTTCAATATAAGCATAACTGAGAGCTACAGAGTAATAAGTTGAATTTTGTTTATGCAGTAAGTACATAAATCATTTGAAACATATCAGTTATTAATGAACTGTCACCAACATTTGTGATGTATTCTTGTGGTGAGAGGCTGAACGTCGGCAGGTCCTCTGTGTAGCTCTCCCCAAGACCAGGTTCCTCTTGTCTCTGAGCAGAAACAGAAGGCTTGGATCAAACAGTAAGAGCTGCGATTAAAATAGACACAGTACGCCTGACACAAATGCACACAGACGATCCAGAAGCTCTCTGCTGTGCACTCAAACAGTGTCAAAGAGGATTCAAATCCATTTATATGGAAACTTGACACTTAATCACCTCCATCTTGGAGACGAGGATGAGCTGGTGTTTGATCTGCAGGAAGACAGAGTCGAAGGCCAGCTGGTTGGCCTGCTGGTTGAGTCTGGTCAGAGCTGCTCGGGGCTCGGCTAACAGGCTGGAGTTACCTGTACCCTTCTCCTGTCAGACAAGAGAAGAGATGCATGAGAACAGCTGCTGAGTTCTTCAAAAAAAGACTTGAAGTTTAACATGACTAAATTTTCATCTCAGGCAGCTCTGCCTCTTACCTTTAATGAGTAGAGGACCTCCATCAAGCTGTTGTATTCAGCCATGTTCCCCTTCTGAAGATAGTTGTATTCCTGCCAAGGGTTCTTGGTGGCGCTCTTCCTCTCAGTGGAGCTCACCTCCTGGATGCCTGCGAGGCTGCGAGGGCTGTATGATTCTGACAAGTACTTTCCTGCTGTTCCTAAAATCCTGATGAAAGGAGTACAGAGTAAACATTAAATCCTTTACGGTCTGATCGTATGTGTTGTTGACTGTTCAGGGCAAAAGGGAGTTTACACAGAACAAATATTTCTCTTACTTGTTTGAGAGCTGCTGTTCAAAAGCTCCACATTGTCTCAGCAATTCACCGCAAGTGGCGATTATCCTGCAAAACACATCATAAAACGGTTACATTTAGGTCCCACTTGTTTCACAGCATATTCAGATGAGTCATAACTGCTGTTCAATAGGAGGGTTTAACTACTTCAAGCAGGGTGGATTCCTGTGGTGTTTTCTTCCTAAAAAGACCATCAAACAAATGTAACTTATTAAGAATGTGGCAGGGGGTGAACTATCCCGGTTTTGATAGCTCTGCACTGGCTTCCAGCTAACAATTGAACAAATAGTCATACAATCAGCACAGACATCTGGACAGTCATCTGCAAGCAGGACTGAAAGCTGGTGGTGCTAACGCAGGAAACATTTCTAACAATGTTCACCTGCACACTTAGGTACCAAAAGTAAAATTTAATATTTTTACATTTTGTAATATAAGGACATATCGGGATATAAAACATGCAGGAATTCATACCAGATAAATATGAGGTTTTTGTGAACTTTTTAATTATACAGTTTTACTTTTTAATGTGTGTCAAGACCTCCAGCAGCAGAAGGGAAGGATAAAAGTGTACAGGTAGGGCAACACATCATTTTATAAACTCTACTAATAAATGCAAGGGATTTGCAATCAATACAAATGATTTGATTACTTTTTGATTTTAGTATAGCTTTTGAATTGATTATACCCCTACCCTAGGGATGCAGGGCTCGACAGTGCAACCAAAAATAGATGTGTGTGAATTGTAAAATGGATTAAGGGGCACATGTGTGCATAAAAAAAAAGGTCGCCAGGGCAACAAATGATTTTTCATGTAAATACTGCAGTGAAGTTAGTTTTAGGTTGGATATTCGATGCACGTTCACTGCGGATCTACCAGTGTCTTCTCACTCTCTATAACCGGGAATGGCAAGAGGGGCGCCATTAAATCTACTCGGCACCCTTGCAGTCAATGTCGGGTGTTGAATAAGGGACCATCAATAAATTACTGGTTCATGTTCTCAATAAAGGCTGTTTTCCTTCAATAGCCCCCATGTCACGTGACCAATTGACCTAACATTGATTTCAAATAATAGTACTAAGGTCGTACAATAAGACACACCTTTTTATTTTCCTAATTTGTCCTCTAAAAAAATTTTGTGTTTAATTTAAAGGCAAATTTTGAACATTTTCTTCAATAGCATCCATGTCATGTGACCAAAAGACCTAAAATTGATTTCAAATAATAGTACTTATGTCGACCAATAAGACACACATTATTTGATCAATTTTTATTGTGCCCCTAAATTTCTTTGTGTGCTACTTAATTTTTGAACTCAGAAGCATATGTGCACCTTGTGAAAAAAGTTAGTGTCAAGCCCTGGGATGGATCTGATAACATAGGAGTCCACTTTGTTTCTTTAGCTATCAGAGGGCATCTATGATTTAACATTAAAATAACCTGTATCCAGAGGTGTAATAGAGGAGTTTTAACCTGACACAGTTCTGGAAGGCTGTCCAGTCCTCCTGGAAAACAGATGAGCTTGCAGTATCTTCTAGTTTACACTTTTTTCTGATGGACTGTAGTGTTGTGGAGAAGTCAGATACATATCTGGAAAGAGCACAGGGTTAATTAGCTTAGATAAAATCTGCACCGACCTAAAATAAAGCAAATTATGATGATGGATGATCTTTACTTGGTGAAGAGGGCTTTGAGGGCTTTGACGAGACCACACACAGCTAGTCCGTCAGTCAGTTTGACACAGCGGTCCACGGCAGCACCAGCCAAGCCGAACAACTTCCCCACAGAGTGACTCAACTCTTCTACACAATCAATGACCTCCCCATGTTCCTAAAGAGAGCAGAAACCCAAAGAGAAGAACTCAACAAGAAAGTCAAAAACAACAGCTGTGGCAAGGTTGAAAGAGAGATACTGAGTATGTGTAAGAGGATGTGGGCGCTAACCAAGGGTACAGCACTGATCTGGATAAGCAGGTGAGCTTCCTCCAGGTCTCCATACTGGAGCTGATAAGGTTTGTATGGATCATTCAGCGCACACACCAGCTCATTCACCTTCAGCAGGTTATTCTCGCCTGAAGAGGAAGCAACAACAACACAAAACTTAAGGACCAACTCGGATAGCTCCATCTGAAACATCTGCACAGCTTGTTCCTTCACCGACCTAGATGTGGCAGCATGGCAGCTTCTAGGCTATGTCCGAATGTAGAAACAGTGTGATGGAGCTCCAGGAGGGTGTCTAAACGCTGCTCCTGGGGTGCCCTCTCCACAGCGGCGCTCAGGCACACGGGGATAGAGGGGACCATGGCGCCAAGGGTTTGGATCAGCAACACTGTCACAACCTCGTGTGGATTTTTGAACACCTTTTCAAAACAAAGCACATGAAGTTTTTTTATTAAGGGACTACTTTTTAGGGTGACAGTTTCATAGACAAAGTGTTAGCATAGCTTGAAGTTGCCACTAAAGAGCAGCCTGTCATTTGTCTGTGTACTTAGTGTCACCTGACTGCTCCACTGCAGCTGGGCGTGCCACGTTGACAGCAGGGTGTCATAGAATTCAGACAGCTGCTGGTTCAGGCTGAGCTCACTCTGAGAGAGATCCTGCCACATGCTAACCAGCTGACCCTGGAGATGTACAAAACAGAAAAGCAATCTTCATTTAACCTGCGGAAATGCCTAAATCTCACATGTGAAATCATACGAAAATATAAATTTTTAAAGGCTTCACTGCTAAAAAGGTACCACTGTCTGGTAAAGGCTTGTAGCACCCACCTTATGGCATTTGTAGTAGTAGGCAAGCAGCTGTGGCATCCTGTCTATCTCTGTGAAGACTTTAACAAACACCTTGGCTTGGTCTGCAGAGGAAAGAAAAGCATGTGATCAGAGATAAACATGTGTACTTTGGGAGTGAACCACAGAAAATGAAAGATGTTTGTTTGAATTCATACCTAGAGACATAGAATTGAAGGTTGCCACTATTTGCGGGCTGGCCAGAGCCTCCAGTCGGTTTTTCAGAGCCTCTAGATGGACACACTTTTCAGAGTAGTCAGGTGTGTCGACCAGCATAGCCAGACTGTTCTGCATGCTGGTCAGCTTGGAGGATATGACAGTGAGGTCCTTGAGAAAAAAAAAGAGAGCATATCCAGATTTCTATCAGGGATTTCATGATTAAAAAGAAAAGAAACATTTACGACACAGTGACTGATTATAAATTCTTAATTTTACTACTTTACTACCCACTTAAATCAAATCAGTTCACATCAGCTGCCTGGAAAATGTGAGTAAAAGCTTGAGTGAATTCCTGTCGTGTCATCTTTTCCTCACTACCTGTGTTTTGAAGGTCTCCTCAATGTCTGCACTCAGGGTGCTCCATTTGTCCGCCTCCTGCAAAGCTTCAGCTGCTAGCTGCATGCGGCCCTTCACTTGATCTATCTCCACAAGGACCTAGAGGAATGACGCACCATTTAAAAGTCCAAAAATACCCATAAAACATCACTGAAGTTTGCAAGTGCTATGTATGTAGTACTGATGCGCAAATACACACCTGCATAGACTGCACAGTGTCTTGCTCAAACTTCTTAATGTCCTCTTTGACCAGAACCATTTGCTCCTTGAGGAAAGACGCCTCCTGTTTTAGAGCTTCCACATCTCGCAGCACTCTGGGCATGTTCTGGAGTGCCTGGTTACTGGTCTCTGTATACATAAAAAAGAAGTTTTAAAATACTATATCAAATCTAGTAAGTATCACCCAGAGAAGAACTGCCAGCAGTCGGTATATGCAGCTCTATTTGGTACGGCTTTTGACGCAAATTATACGAGACATCTGGTGTGACTTCGTCCTTGGTGAGTTAATGTTACTTTCTAGCCCCTCAGTCATTTTTTAGTGTAGCTCAGTCAAATCAATGATTGTAGCTTTCTGAAACACCTTTCTATGTAACACAGAACCTCCAAGATGACATTCATCTTACATGAAGAACTTCCTTATTAAGCATTACCATTTTTCTGATAACATATTTCTTTATGCAATCATGTCATTGACACGTCAGAATCAGGGGAACCTTTACTAGACAGAAGAACAGAGGGGAAGAAAGGTAGGGTCTGGCCTTGGAGCTGAATCTATGGATTCTGTGTTTGAGGATTTCACAGCTGAGCCAAGCAGATGCCCCTCGATATAGTTTCACTTGCTTCAGAACTACAACCTTTTTCTCGAGGCTGCACAATTCCAAGGAGGTTCAATATTATAAACAAAAAACCTTAAATGCCGGAGTACAGTGAAGGCTAGGGCTGCACAATGACTGTGTGTTGATTTGCATATGCAACAAACATCAAATCAGTTTTTTAACAGCATCTTCATTCATTTCTATGAAGCTTTAGCCAGCTGTGGAATAACCTCGGAAGAAGTGCTGATAACTAAGAGATGACAGAACTTATTTTAGAATTTATATGCATATTTCGCAGACATGTGCCATATGCAAAAGGACAGCATCCGGCAGAAACTGAGAGTTATATTCATTCTACTACACATGCTAATATCTCGTATTGGTATCATAATGTTATTTCACAGCTACTTTCAGCCACACAGTTGTCAATTTATTGATATGTCTACATAAACGCACACCAATTTAACAGTTTGATTTTCTAAATTTTTTCATATCACGATAAACATTGCAAAAAAAATACATAGACAACACTTGAGCAATCTAATGCAACCCAATACAACAGCACTCCCATACATTCTGCTTTCAGTAGTTTCTCTAGTTCCAATGTTAATGATAAGTGATTAATGGTAGAGCTGCTGTATTGGGCTGCATGAAAATATCAAGGTGTCCATGATATTGTGTCTGTTGTCCCAGTGCCAGGTTTTCCAGTACTGTGCAGCCCTAATGTGGTTTGTACAAAACTTTAAAAAGGTTTTATGAAATAATAGGGTAGTGTTAACTGTGTGTTCAGTTGGAGGTAGGGCTGGGCAATAAAACAATAACGATATACTGAAAATTAATTTCCCTCAATATATAACACATGGTCAATATCCTTTTCGATAGTCAGCATTCCATCATGTTTTGGTAGACTATACAGCCAATGAAAAGGCTGTTCTAAATTAGAACGAAGTAAACAACTGCGTAGTAGCAGGCTGCAGCTACACACAACCATAGCACTTTAACACGTGAAGCTGACAGCACTGTTGGTGAAATAAAAAAGAAAATGAGCGCTACCCCCAGCGGAAATAACGATGAAGGTTCAACATATGAAGAAATTGTTGACAGCACAGCATGACAATGCAAAATCCTGTAGTACATACGCCCAGCCTAAAGGTGACACTGTGAAATTGCCACAAAGCACCAAAACCAGAGAATGCGAATGCGCATACAAGGTCGACTTCCTTCCTGTCCATCCATATTTGTAGTTGCTGGAACAAGAACAAAATCACCCCAGCTACCACCATTGTTGTTGTTGCTGTGTGTGTGACAAAGTGGGTTGGGGGGCGAGGAGGAGGAGGGGTGCTATGAGGTCACCATCTTTTCTAGACGTATCTATTTATACCAACTACAGCATGAAGACAAATACCCAGAATCTGGGTATTTGTCTTCATGCTGTTGGTCTGCAGGTGGATATCTGAGATATCCACCTGCAGACCCGTATTCAAAAAAGATGCGGAGTCATGGACAAATACGTGTCTCCGTGTGTCAATATCACCAGATCCATCATTTATTTTACCGGTGTCTTACAAATTCGTACTCGTGTAAGGACCACCTAAATCTTTTTCACCACCCGAAGCGGTGCCACGCGGCAGAGCACACGCAAAGGTTACAAACCCTGAGCAGAGTAAAGAGCCCATGGCACCTGTGCAACCGAAACAGCCGACCATCAAGTCCACCTTCTCAACGCAACGTCTTACGACAAAACACCAAAGAGACACAGAGTCTCACAGAGTCCTCACAGATGCAGTAGCTTAACATATTGCAAAATACATGCTACCAATGAGCACTGTTACATTTCATTTTTTTTACATCGTTTTATATATATCGGTATCGATTAATATGAAACGAATGTATAGTGATAAACTTTTTTTCCCATATCACCCAGCCCTAGCTGCCTAGGTCATTAAAACATAAACGAAAAGACATTGACACATCGTCAGCCGAAATCGGAATAACACATGGGTGTTTTTTTGCGTTTATCCACTCACCTTCGATGGCATTGTTGACCTCCTGGATGAACAGCTGGAGCTTCATCACAAGTGTAGCTGCATGTGTATCCGCCTTCCCCGGCGCGTCCTTCTGCACCACCTTAAAGGCTCCATTCACCCAGTCCTTCACATCAAAGTCATCGTCTAAGAACTTAGAGAAATCCATTTAGCCTGTTTTGTTGTCGTACTTGAGCAAAAACCGGGTCTCACTCAGTCGAACTACTCTTCTGTATCTGTGTCATCGAGCCATCGCTAACGTTAGCTAGTTTTTCCCAAACAACGGCTTCGACACGAATATAAAATAAATAGCCCAAGAAAATGAAATAATCATTACAACTAAATATAGTTCCAACAAAGCGACGGCTTCCTCCAGAGTTAGTTTTAAATGTCTACGGCTCTAAAAGAAAAGCTTAAAGGCATATTACTAATGTTTGTTGCTGACAGTACCACTGACACTTGACAACAACTTCCTTTTTGTGCTTTCCATTTACCTTCCCCGGAAACAAGCGCTAGCACACCAAAGTGGCCGCATGAATGAATTCATGTCGTGAGCGTAAATAAAAGTATTTTTTTTTAAATCCTGAAGCAGTAAACTCGATCATTGTCAAACCTTGTATCCATGTGGACACGTAATATTTTGGGACTTCTCCTCCCTGACCTTGTTTCTCGAGCAGCTCTACCCTAACTAACTAACTAACTAAATTATTCAAAATCTTGAAATAATTCTCTGTAACATACACAATTCCCCCGTCATACACTCTTGTCTCGGTCCACATTCAGTAATCATCAAACCAACAGCCAGAAATCTGGGAGTAACCTTCATTTTGACCTCACCTTCTCCACCCATACCAACAAGATTGTCCAGTCCTGTTTCCTTCACCTTCGTTCTATTGCAAAGATTAAACAGATTCTCACCCCACCAGATCTCGAAAAAATAATCCACGCCTTCATTTTCTGAAGACTGGACTATTGTAACTCTCTCCTCCCTGGTTTAAACAAGAAATCACTCTCCCACCTCCAACTAGTTCAGAATGCAGCAGCTAGGCTTTTAACTGGTTTTAGTAGATGGCATCACATCTATCCAATTTTAGCCTCCCTTCACTGGCTTCCTGTCAGTTTTAGAATTGATTTTAAGATTTTATTGATTACTCTTAAAGCGCTCAAAGGTCTTGCTCCGAGCTACATTTCAGAGCTTTTAAAATCTTAAGAGCCAACTTGCAGCCTCAGATCCTCTGACGAAGGCCTCCTGGTCGTTCCAAAGTCAAGGCTCAAAACTAAAGGTAATAGAGCTTTCTCCATCAGAGCTCCTCGACTTTGGAACGACCTGCCAGAGGAGATAAGGCGTGCAGCAGAGACAGACGCTTCCTTTAAGTCAAATTTAAAAATTCAGTTTTATAGACTTGCTTTTATGTGATTCCATCTTTTCTCTTTTTTTCTTTTATCTCTTTTACCTCTATCTTATTTCGACTTACTATCCTTTTAGCCTTTGTTTTACTTATAATATTTTCTTAGTTTACCTTTTAAGTCCTTTATTGATATTTTTTCCTGCTCATTTTTATTATTCCATTTTATCATTAATATTACCATCATTATTTTATTATTATGTTTTTATCATCATTATGAATATCCCCTTATATACTTACTATCCTGTTTCCTGCTTTCTGTCCCCCTTTTCTTTTTCATGTCTTCTTCTTACCTATTTTATGTTTTTATTTTGGTCCTCGTGGTCTCATTTTTTGTTGTAGGTTTCTTGTATTGTCTGGGTTTCTTATGAAAAATGAAATTGGCCTTCAATTCGGAGGCCTTGTTTTTAACTGAGCTTTTGTTTTTATTTGTTTTTATTTTCATGTGCTGATGTTCTGTGCTTTGCAGCTGTTGTCAAAGCACTTTGTAAACTTGTGTTTTAAAAGTGCTATATAAATAAAGTTATTATCATTATTATTATTATTATTATTATTATTATTATAAGGTAGGTGTGAGTGTATTTGTGATTGTGACTGTGGATGAATGTACGCTTTAGTGAAGGTGTAGTAATTTATGTGCTTGTGGATTTACATGTAGGCTAAGTAGGTTAACTTTTGGGACTAGCTAAAACAGAAAATCAGGGCTTCTCTGTCCCCAGGACGTTTTTTAAACTGCACAAAAATTATTGTTCAGTTCATTCAAGAGTCTTGCTCATTGATTTTCAATCTTAGTTCAAGGAATAGAATTTTAACATCCATGAAACACTGAAAAATTAGCATTTATTGTCCCCATTGTCTAAACCTGCTGCTGCAGACTTTCACTATCACTACACATTTTATCACCTGAATATTATGCAAAACATAATGAGACCGCATGGTAGGTGAGCTTCTAGTGCATTACAGCGTCTGAAAACCTACATCAAACAGTCTTCGAGCAGTTTCCAGCAGCTTTGAGAAAGGAACTAAATAACTTATTCAGTCTGTTTGAAGCGATGGGGATCATTGATGATGTCAAGGACACCTTGTCAAAGGCGGTGTTTACTCCCTCAACTCTGCTGTCCGGCCGAGGTGGGCTGCACATGTGTCAGATCGTCCTGTGCCTGGTCACCTTTGTCCTGAGTCTCTTCAGAGGAGGAAGCAGCCACACCTATTGGAACTATGCCATGTTCACCTGGGCTTTCTGCCCCATTATGACCCTCATCATCACCATCATCGAGATGTTCAAACTGGATATTATCCTCAATATGTTCTGTCTGGACTGGGCTGACTTCACCACAGGGATGGCCATGTCTTCTTCTCTCATGACTGTCTCTGTGGCCATTTTCTACGCCAACTTCTACGCTTGCCTGAAATGCCTGTATGGCCTGATTGTGAGCGTGTTTGCTCTCTTGTGTGCTATTTTGTACGTCCTAGAAGTGGTGAAAGACAAATTCCTGGATAAGAAGCAGGGAAGCTACCTGGCTGCCCTGCCTGGGTTCTGGAAAGTTCTGGAGGCCTTTGTGAGCTGCATGATTTTTATTTCACTGTCTGGTTACAGAGACAAGGTTGCTCTGATATTTTGTGTTATAGCATATGTCATTCCTTTTCCTATTCTGCCTTTAATCATTGCTACCAACATCCTCAAGAAACTGAAGACCTGTTTACCTTTTAACCTGGACAGATTTGTCTTCATATTTCTGGTGATCTCTGTCATACTGTATATCTTTGCAGCCATTGTGTATCCCATTTTTATGTTCAAAAACAACCCTCGCCCCAGTGACTGCCCACCCAGCTTCTGTCTGTGGGCCATTCAGTTCATGGTGGCCTTTTTCACTTATGTGAATCTCATTCTGTTCACAGTGGATCTCATTTTCACTCTTCTTGGCATCTGTGGATTCAAACGCACATAGATGCGGTGGTGATTTTTGTGTTATCTTTTTTAAACATCTGCTTCTACATTGGGTCAATTCTCGACTTTCAGATTTGGACACGTCTTAAATTAAACTTTGGATTAAAGTCCAGTTTTTCTTACATATCAGTTCTTTTTTTGCCTTTATGCCTTTATGTGATGCCATCTTTCATCTTTTATTGCCTTTTACCGTTTTTATTTTTCTCCTTTTTCTTTTACCTCTTTCACCTCTTTCTTATTTAGACTTACTGCCTTTTTAGCCTTTGTTTTACTTATAATCTTTTTATTGATTTTAATGTTTTCATTTTCCTTTATTTTATATATATATATTTAATTCCACTTTATCATTTATATTACCATCATTTTATTTTATTATGATTTTATTATTATTATTAATATCCTCTTTTATACTTACTAGCCTGTTTTCTTCCCTCCTTTTCTATTTCTTTTTTGCTTTTATTTTGGTCCTCATGGTCCCATTTATTTTGTAGGGTTCTTGTATTGCCTGGGTTTCTTACGAAAAGTGAAACAGGCCTACAATTCAGAGGCCTGTTTTTAACTGAGCTTTTGTTTTTATGTGTTTTTATTTTCAATGTGCTGATGCTCTGTGCTTACAACTGTTGTCTAAGCACTTTGTAAACTTCTGTTTTTAAAGGTGCTATATAAATAAAATTATTATTATTATTATTATTATTTTTTTTTTTTTTTTAGTTATAATCGGTTTTGACTTCTGATCTAAAAATCATGAGCTGTGACATATTTGTCTGTATCTCAAATAACCAAATTTCCACATTTGGGCACATGTCATGTACTCAACAGGAAATGTTTTTTTCTACCAAAAGTACTGGGAACTTTTAGTCCAAGAAATTTCCCTTCAAGAAAAATAAATGGTCTCCGTGGGCTTTTGATGTTTCTATCCAGACCTAAAATCCTAAGAAGATCATGCAAATCAAGCCAATGTGATCTAGGACAGTTATTTTATAGATGAAGTTTGTCTCTCTCTGCTCAGCTGGTGTCTTGTAATGTAAGCAAGACTGTTTCTTGATGAGACTTACACTGGAAACTGTTAAAACATGCCCCAAAAATCCTCTTTTATAGAAAACAATACATTTAACAGTGTCATGGTTCATGTATGTACATATAGACATATAGATATATACATATACATATAGATCAATTTACATGAGATTATTTGGGGTATGATCAACAATCTTGTTTCCTCACTCCTTTGTGTATGTGTGTACATGTCTGTGCACCCAACTGCCCTTGTTTTATATGTTCACTAACTTTTAATCTACATTTAGTGTGGCCTTTTTAAATCAGGAAAAAACATTTTGATTGCTGTGTCTTGCAAGGCCCAATTCATATGCTTGAGGGGAGAGTGGGGTAAGATGAGCCATTTTTCATATTTCAGATCACTACATCAAGACAATCATAGTTTTGTCTCTAACTAGTGTATCTGCATGTATTTCAAGATGTTGTGCATCCCTGCAAACCAACAGAATGAGTGTAAACATAACTGTCTTGATAATATAGCATGCCAAAAAAAAGTGGTCTCTCCAAAAAGTGGTCTCTCCAACTTACCCCGTGTAAGGGGTAAGTTAACCATAGGAGTGGGGTAAGTTGAGCTGTATCCCTACTACCCCCATTCTCCACCCCAGCCCTCCCTCACCTTCTCTCCCCCTAATAGGTTGTAGATAATGAAATAATTTAATGAAATTTAAAAATAGAATATAATTGCATGAGCTTTTTTGGTCCTTTAGAGGGTTCACTCTTTTGAAATGACATGTTATCTTTTACTCCTCCTCACAGTATGACTCTGTATGTGTGTGACAGTATACAAATATAAGTACTTAATATAGAGAGTCAAAAAGGCAAAGCAGCCTCCTTCCACTTCACATATTCATACCAACCCTGTATCCAATGAGAATTTCAAAATTTAGGTCATTTGAATACATAAGCTTAAGTAAACAAAGCCTATCACAAAGGACCCCTGATCAGTTTATCAAGGGGGATAACAGTTACTGTAGAAGTAGCACCACAGCAGTCCACCTGTGTACAGCGTCACATACGAGGCTTTTTGCCCTGTTTTTTGCCTAAAAATTCTGGGGTTTCTCTTTGAGCACCATGTGTGGCCCATTCAAGAACCTCCAGAGCATTCTGCGCCTATTGGAAATAATCTTCAGCGCTCTAGCCCTCATCATTGCCATCTTCAGGGGCAGGATGGTGAGCCCATGGGGCATCTGGTGCGACTTTGTCTGGGTTTTTTGCTTCACCGTGCCACTTGTCCTGACTGTGGTGGAGGCCATGATGTGGCATGTCTTGCTGGCTGCCTTCCTCCCAAACTGGGAAGACCTGACCTGTGGGCTTACCTGCCTGTGTGCCGTGATGATCATCTCAGCAACAGTGATCTTCGCAGCTATTTTCGTGTGCCTTTCCTGCATTGCCAGCATCTTGTGTGTCATTGCCTCCCTGGTTGCAACTATTGTCTTCCTGATTGACGCTGTGATGCAGAGAAAAAACTGTCCAGCTGGGTATCTATGCAGTCTGAGAGGGGGACTCCGCACATCTGAGGCTTTTATAGCTTGTATTATTCTCACTGCAGCTGCTGATCACTTTGTAACAGCTGAATGGTTTTATCGTCCTTTTGGGATGATTTGCAGCATGATTGTGTTTGCAGTTTGCCTCCTCGTTACGATTATCATCATGGTTCTCAATCTCCTCAAGCTGCTGCAGTGTCTCCTCTCATTTGGTCTAAACATGATGGAGCTTGTGTTTAACATTGTGGCAGTGTTGTTGTATTTGCTCGCTGTCATTCTCTGGGCTACCTTTGGTTACAGACGCTCTGGGTACAATCCTTACATCTGTAACCAGAAGTGTTCCTTTGCAGATGTGCACACTGTTACTGTTGGGAGCGTTGTAAACCTTGTTTTTTACATTGTGGATCTGGTTCTATCCATCAAATCTCGCTAGAAATGTGAAGATAAAAAATGTCAAAGTAAAAAAAAACATTAAAAATGATGATAAACATGTTTTCAGCCATGTCTGTTCATTTTTTTTTAAGTTTTGATCCAAAGTTTATTATACAGTTCATGTGAAAGTAAAGAAGAAATATGCATTTGATATTTTGTGTTTGCGGTCAAATTAAAATGACCTTAACTGTAAATAGATTTGAAATAAAGTCATAAAGCAACAATATGTTATATTTAATCAGGTAGACTATGTACATACCTGTCATATTCAATAGTTTTATCTTATTGTAGACTTATCATTGGAGGACATTTGACTACTACTACAAAGTTTTACAGCCTCTGCTAAAACATGACAACCGTTCAGAGACGGTATATTCAAATGTTACTCTGTCAGTTAGACACCATGAAGCTGAGATAGTGAACGCAAATGTCAGGGCCAACTCTCACTGCTGCTACCAAAGGACAGTAATGGTAACGCTTAACAACACATACAGTATGCATACACTATTTTTGTTTTAATTTGTTGGGATAAGAAGAATACTGGCACATCAATAAAACTTTATAGTCCATAAAATCAGTTTCTTTAGCACTCAGCTCCCTCAGGCATCTTCCGGTTCCTCAAACTCCACAGTCTCCTTTAGACCCTGGAAACAGAAGTAGTGCGAGTTACTGAAGAGAGGGGGCTTGTTGGGACATGGGCCCTCCACTTCTGGTTTCAGCGATGCAAAAGGATTGGCTCCACTTCCCTTCAAGTCCATCTCCAACTCCAGGAGGATCTGCAGGGAGTACGTCATCTCTGTCTCACTGCAGGGGAGAGAAGAGGCATCGGGCCCATTACACTTATTATGTCTTCAATATCAGATTAAGAGCAAGTGGTTGACTTAAAGTCAACTTTTGCATTACTAAGACTTGAACTGTTAGCTATGTTTTTTTTTTTAACTTAAAGATACTGTGAGGAGTTTTAACCGGTTGAAACTGACACTGATGCCTCATTATGGCCTCTAAAAGCAAACAGGATGATCAACAACAAGTCAAACCATTTCACTTTCCCAAATTTTAGTGCTTCAAGACCATGTGAGGAGGTAGGTGTCTGACCAGATGATTGACAGCAGGCTGAGAAAAGAGTCTTTTTGACTTTTTACACAGCAAATACTCACAGTGAGTGATAATTTGCATTGTTAAAAGTTTTTTATTTTTTTGTTGTTGTTGCTAAAAACACTACTTTTATGTGTACTGGACAACAGGTAACAGGTATCACTTTGTCAGCAAGGTGTGCCAACACCAACACAAACCAAAAATTCCTTAAAGCAGCTTTAATTTAAATTAATTTCCATGTGCCAGTTTCAAGAGTTTTCACTCACAAATTGACTTGCTTGTTGTTTACATACATTAATGTGCAGAAGCAAAGTTTGAAATTCCAGTCAGATGTGATAAATCATTTGTTTTGTATCCTGATTTTAGTTTTACAATGAGATAATAGAGGAAAGCTTCCTTTCCCCACCATTCAAAAAAAAAAGCAGTTTAACTGGTAACAACCACAATTCTCTTGCATCAGTTGTTTTTATATAGAACTTCAAAGCAACATTTTTATGAGTTTCAAATTTACCTGCTGTGAGAAAAAGGCAATACTAGCTGCTTCAAAGATATCATGGGAGGGATATGATTCACACAAATTGAAAATGTTTATATGTTTGTATCATGATAATCTTAACTGTATCACGAGTCAATGGGGTCTTATACCCCCCACCCCAAAAAGAAAAAAAAGACTTCTTTCAACTTAGGGACTAAACAAGGAATCCCACGTTTGCAGCACTTAAGTACTTTGCAACTGTTACTTTATTCCCCTGTGAATAATAAACATCACTATATTGTAACTTCTATTAATGATAATGGTATGAAATTTTAAACTTTATTTTCTAAGGTTATATAATATTAAAAATATATTTGCAACTGAGACGTAACTTCTGAAAAAGAAAATGCTGGAGCTTTTTTAAATGTCATGCATTTTTGTTTTGTTTTTTACTGTTAACGATGATACTTTGTAAGAAGAATACATGCCATTTATGATGAGATCCACAGGTCAGTCATAACAAAAATGTCTTTTTTGTTTTAAAGAATATGACCATGTTTTGTAACTATATTTTGTAACACTCACCTCACAGTAGTAAACATGGCAGGGATCTCATAATCCCTGAGCAGCAGAAGTGTAGGAAGCCAACCCTGGTCCAATCCCTGACTGGCATCAAATCCTTTGCATAAAAACAGTATGAGAATAATATGAAGCACACAGCACAAAAAATCAGACCCCAGAGTGTAAAACACAAATTTCTCACCAGGATTAAATCCGATTACAAGGTCCGGTTTGGCTGCCTCCTCTTTCTCAACCAGCTCCTCCCAGAATTCATGATAGAGACCCTTGTAGGCGCTGATAAAGACCCTCTGCCTGGGTCCAAATGCCCTCAGAGGAGGCCTCACAATAGGGCCAGCCACTATCTCTGGTCCCACCATGACAATCTCAATACCTTGATGTGCAGGAAACATTTTGTTCAGCTCGTCATAGTCTGTGAGTCTGGCTGCTAGAGTCTCACTCTGACCAGCTCCCACCAGGTGGATGGTGAGAGGTTTGGAGAAAGGGTGCAGGCCAAAAATCCTCATCCCCCAGGCGATAGTGAGCGGTCTGGAGAAAAACTCACTGCAGACTCTCCATAGAGACTGCTTCAAGTCGTCGTCATCCGGCTTAGGTCTGCCAGCATTTGTCCACAAGTCCTTCATTTTTGCACCGTTCAATACAGGACTGAGGTGAAGGGTGAGATCTCCCTGCATCTCAAGCCAGTCATCCCAGCCTTTGACTTCTGACTGAGGCTTTGACCATTTTGCTGTGGCAAATGGAAGGTCTCCTGATCAGAGACAGTAAAAGATAACATGAATTCAAACCTAAGGTCGAGGAAGATAAAGTTAATAACTTTTGGTAGTTTTTCTGTACTTTGCTTTATTGATGACTCCAAAGACAAAGAACAATATGATCAATGACTCATTAAAGGGAAAATTAATTTAGGGTCAAACATCATTTCTTTATGGAAATGCAATCAAACTGAGACGCTAAGACAGAAGAACTACCGTGTCTAGTACAAAATGTTTAATATGGTGAATATTACTTCAAGGAAATGATCATAAATGTTCTTCCTTGAGCTGCATCAACCCGCAGCAGTCGATGGACTCGCCCGGAGGTCCCCGTACAAACTAGCGGCTGCTTGAAGAGAGAGGGTAAGTTGTGTTTAGTCTCTTTGCCAAAGAAATTAGGCAAAGTTAAAAAGATGTTTGGTGGCTAGTACTATGGCTAGGACCCTATATTTACTGTTGATGAAGTTAGGTGCTGTTCTGAGTATTATTTGTGGCTATAGAGTGGTGTTTTGGTTGAGGTTCATTGATGGCTCCTCAGACCACTGTGTATTGCTATCCTGAGGTCGTTAGTAAAGTTATTATAACTATAGAAGTAAGCAGTCGGCAACATTCATCTCTTGAGGGGGTGTCTAACTCAGTGTTGTGGTGTGTTTGACCAAAAATTAATTTTATGCAGGAATATCTCTTTAAGCTGGGTCTAAAACAGTTGCAAATTAGGTGAGAAGGGAATCAGCCCTAAATACCGTAATGCATTGTACTTAAAGAAAAAAAAAAAGTTATAATCAACTGTACAGGGAGAACTATCCAGTGCTATGTGAAATGGGGGTCACGAAATAGTCCTCTGCATAATCTGTTAACTCTGTTCACAGTGAGTAAAATGTTGTGAATGAGTGACATTTCCATCACAACCACTGTCTTAAATATTCATTTACCTTTTAACAAAAGCCACTCCACCACTCTGTCAATGGCAGCTAGGCGCAGCTGTGAACAGAACTTCTTGTGTTTGGACCAGTCCTCTTTCTGACACTCTTTACAGCAGTAATAGACATGCAGACATCTGTGCAAAGAGGAGGCAAAAATGAGGAACCTGAGATAGCAATAATGACTTACACAAGGAAAGGACACCTTTGAAAGTCAGCTTTGGGTCTGGGTTTTTGTTACCTGGCACAGCGCTTCAAGCTCTGTGGGTTTGAAAGCTGTTTGGGCCATTTCTGACAACATGAACAGAACTTGAAAGAGTCCTCCATCTTCTCAAACATCTCTTTTTGAGACCGGAAGGCCATGGGTTTGCCCTTAGCCTCCACGGCAGCTCTGCTGAGACAAATAAAACAACTTTAAAATCCTAGAAAGACACAAAAATGACCAGTTACTGCCAATAAGTTTATAACTGAGAAACTCAGTTGTAGAAAACCTGTTAGTTAAAAATAAAATCTATACAACTTGGCTACCCCAAACCAAAAGACACATTTAGCTTGTTCCTTTCTATTCTTAGACTGTGCCATTTGTTAGAGAGAAGTGTGTGGGGGGCCTGCAGGAGGAAACTCATAATGAGGGTAAAATGTTGTAGAGAACTTGTCTAAAGCTTATGACAACCCAGACAGAAGAGCCAATGAAACTGCAGGGGGGAGAAATCTGAAACATGCTGTGTTGGCATGTTAACGTCTTAAAATGCCGTTTAAATAACGAGCCGTCACAGTTAACGAGCATGAGGCGACTCAGTAGCCGCGCGCCTGGCAACACGTGGAGTGATATAGTCGTTAGGTGACACGTTAAGACACCTCTTCAAATTGAATGTTCATGAAAGAATCTGAGAATATCTCGGCCAAAACCATCTTACCTGTCGGTTTCCGTCATTTTTAAACGAGTCTCGCGCTGGTTCAGTGACTTGCCCTGAAGCTCGCGTAGCTTTGTCATCTGAGCGGACAGCTGGGGGCTGCTAGTGCCAGAAATAGCACCTGTGCTTTAACTTCTGGAACGCTTTAACAACTCCAGACCATTCCTGAATTTATGAGAACACAACTGTACAAATATACAAAACGTTTTTATAGCAAAACACAAACAAACAAAAAACATTACAGACCATTTATTACTCTTAGAATACAGTTTAACAAGCCTCTATTGAAATAAGGTCCAAATAAGTCCATTTAGATATTTACCAACTACTACATTAACCACTCATTATTAGAACCTCCTACTTTCTGGAAGTAATAACCATATTCATCCACTAGAGGCCAGCGTCACACTGTAAAGTCTGTCAAACTTCCTCACACAAGTAGTCCTTGTATCTCCATATAGGGGAGAGTGGGGTTAGATGAGCTATCTTTCATATTTCAGATCACAACATCAAGGAAATCATAGTTTTGTCTCTAACTAGTGTATCTGCATATATTTCAAGATATTGTGCATCCCAGCAAACCAACAGAATGAGTGTAAACATAACTGTCTTGATAATATAGCATGGCAAAAAAAAAGTGGTCTCCTATGGTCAACTTACCCCAAATACGGGGTAAGTTGACCATAGGAGCGGGGTAAGTTGAGCCGTATCCCTACTACCCCACAATTGATGTATATATATAAAAAAAAAATGTTCTTTTTTGGTCTGAACACAATTCTAATAAAAATGATGACAGACTAAATTCACTTTTTAGCATGGTGCCATGTGTTGCATTAGTATGCATTTAATGTGAGACTGGGGAATACTCTCTGCCACAGAACAATTAACAAGGTGCTGTCAGATGATGACAGACCTAATTTTGGTCTCATTACGTATGTACACTCATGATCCTTTATATAAAAGAATCATGCCACCTTGAGACACCACTGGAGTGCAAAGCTTTGCCCTCCGCTCCTGTCCTTGGGTGCCATCAGGTTGAATAGCAATTTCTGATCCATTTCTATATTTTGATTGATATCTGGGTCTTCAGAATTGTAAGAACAGAGTTTAATATGCACTCAAGTTGCATTTATCACTATGAAACACACTTTATGATCCAAATTACAGAGTGAGCTTCAGTGATCACGACATTCAGTCAGGTGTTTATCTCTAAATGTCTAAAAGAAAGTTCCTCAAGAGTCTCAAGGGATCCTACAACCATGGCTTGACACCTCCCCTTTGAGGTAGAGGACTCACAGAGCTCCAAACAGGTTTTCTTTTTTATTAGTTGTCCCCTTAAAGGTCTGGCACAGGCTCCTCTTGAGGCAGCAGTCCCTGGAAGCGGATGTAGTGAGAGTTGCAGTAGACGGGGGTTTTATTGGGGCAGGCCTGGACCTGCTCTGGTTTCTGTGAGGCAAATGGATTGGGTCCACTGTCCTTGATATGCATCTCCAGCTCTAGCAGGATCTGGAGTGAATACTTGAGCTCCAGCTCACTGTTGGGAGACAAAGAGTCCAAGAATCACTTGATATGGTCTGTAAAGTTTTATTGTCCTCAGACTGGGGCGAGATGAAACAACTGTTCAAAGACTTATTTTTAACATCCACCCACAAGAAAACAGTTTAAAGATTGTTTTATCATCAAGTTACAGCCCACAGGGGGAGTTTGCCGCAAGTGCCTGCAGCAGAAGAAATAATTATGCTCTTCAACTTGGCCTTTGTACAAACAGGAAAGTGATATTTGCCACCAGAGGGATGGAGTATGAAGTGTGAGTAGCAGTGTGATCTGGGTTGTGGGCAGTGAGAACAGCACTGAGACTGAGAACTGCAATGATGAGGTCAGGTAGGTGAGGAGATGAGAGAACAACAATTATACCATCAAGGGGGCAGGGATTTAACTTTTAAAAAATCAAGAAAGGGAGGAGGAACAGTGCAACCTCTTTTGTTTAAGCCACCTCCTTTTTTTCCTTAAGTGTTGTGGATGGCAGATGGTGAAGTTAGGATAATGAGTCCCTCTGGCACAAAGAACTTTAAACAGTTGCTGATTCTTAAAGGGAAGCCAATGTTATTATCCCACTATTTAATGTTAAAAGAGTACATAATTCAGATTTACTCTTCTGTGAGTTACCTGTACATAGTGAAGAAGGAGGGGATGTCATAATCTCTGAGTAGCAGTAGAGTGGGCAGCCAACCTTCTACCAGACCCTGGTTAGCATGGAAACCTGTGATCAAAAACACACAAAACGACGTGTTAATGTATTTCTACCAGTTTCACAGTTATAACCCCAAACAATCAAGCTATGAATATAGCTTGACATAGCTGTGCATGTAAATGTACTGAATGAGAAGAAAATATCAAGTCTTTCACTCAGTAATGAGAGGATTAAACAGATTACACTTGACACGCCAGCTGCTTTTTCTTTTAACTTAATAACTTAAGTTAATAATAACTGGGCTTGACATTGACATTTAACCTAAACAGTCAATATGATGAAGAATATCTCTACAACAAAATACAGTCAAAAATACAAAATACAAATACAATCAAAACTCAGGCTGAACTTGAATTTGTTACAATTCGACTTGCACCACAGCAGCCAAAAACTGACTGGATCTGCGTTGTGTTGGTTCATAATCCTGCAGCATATCAACTGACAGATGCCACTTTGCTCTGACTTTGCTTTACATCAGTAGTCAGTTTTTTTTTTTTTTTCCGAGCAGCACGACCTTCATCCACATGACTGAGGTTCAAGCCACCATAGCAACAAATACTATAAACCCGTCCAGCTTAAGTGTCCTTGAGTGAAATCAAAGCAGGGGAACATCAATTAGAGTATTTCCCTGCACTGGTCAACAATGCCTTGTGTTATTAGTTCTTCCAGAAATCAGTGTTATTAGAGATTAGATTCTAATCAGCATCTGGGGAGAGTTATGCATGTACGAAACATGATAGGGGGGATCTGACTGAAGTTTCAGCTGTTCTGAGGGTGTGTACTGGTCACAAGATTGTTGGGAGCGATTGCAAGTATATTACAAGGCAGAAGATTGTAAAGGCCTGATGGCAACATGTCATCCACTGCCTGCCACATCTTTCCAGAGAGCTCCTACTGCAGAAAGGGATTTTGATCTGAATAATGCATGCCGTGACACCACTGTCCCTGAGGTTACACTTCTCATCATGATAAAACATTTAACAGCATTTAGACGAGAAGACCTTTAGGAGATGAGGTGACAAAGAGTCATTGTTGCCTGGCTTGGGAATTGCCTGGCTCCAGAACAAATTTTTGACCATATGGTGCAAAAGATTGTGTTAAAGGTGATGGACTTGTTTGACTATGAATCAAAATAATGACAATACAGTTATCAGGTAGACTTTGAGTACAGGGTGCATGTTTCGTCTCTATCTATTCCTCTTGTGATAGATGATGGTCTTTTACTTTCTTGTCTTATTCTCTGAGATAAATGGACCACATTCACATGGATGTCGTTTCTCTGAATCCCTTCAGATAAGAGGTTTAAATGCTGTTATGATACTATGTTATAATGCGTAAGTCAAATAGCCCAAATGCAAAGAATTGTACTAATTGTAATTATGATGATTTCCAATTCGTAAGCAATTGAAAAGACAATAAATGATGATATAAGTAAAGCCACATGTGGGGAAGGAAGACTATTAAGTTAACATCTGACATAAGCATTTAAAGGCTTTCAAGCAAACAATACCATCCAATCAGTTATACAACACAGAGGAGTTGCAACTTCCTAGCTAATGTTTATCATTGCTAGCTTAAGGGGATATTCCAGTATAAAACTAAGGTAGGGTCAAACACACAATAACATCAAGTTAGACACCTCATCGAGAGATGAATGTTGCCGACTGCTTGCTTTCGTAGTTATACCAACTTTAGTAACAACCACAGATAACAATACAGAGAGCCACTCGTTTAACAAATAATACCCAGAACAGCACCTAACTTCATCAACAGTACATATAGGGTCCCAGCCACAGTACTAGCCACCAAACATCTTTTTAGGTTTGCCTAATTTCTTTAGCAAAGAGACTAAACACAACTCACCTACTCTCTTCCAGCAGCTGCTTGTTTGTACATAGACCTCCGGGTGAGTCCATCGACTGCAGCAGGGTGACGCAGCTCAAGGAAGAACATTTATGATAATTTCCTCATGGAAATGCAATCAGACTGAGACACTAAGGCAGAAGAACTACCGCGTCTGCAGTGCAAAATGTTTAATATGGTGAATAGTACTTCAAGGAAATGATAAAGAAATGATCATAAATGTGCTTCCTTAAGCTGCATCACCCTGCTGCAGTTGATGGACTCACCCGGTGGTCTCCGCACTAACAAGCAGCTGCTGGAAGAGAGATGAGTGTGTTTAGTCTCTTTGCTAAAGAAATCAGGCAAAGTTAAAAAGATGTTTGGTGGCTAGTGCTGTGGCTGGGACCCTATATGTACTGTTGATGAAGTTAGGTGCTGTTCTGAACATTATTTGTGGCTATAGAGTGACATTTTGGTATAGCGCGTGGCTCTCTGTATTGCTATCGTGTGGTCATTGCAAAAGTTGTTATAACTAGAGAAGCAAGCCGTCAGCAACATTCATCTCTTGAGGGGGTGTCTAACTCGGTGTTACTGTGTGTTTGACCCTTGATTAATTTTACCCCAGAATATACCTTTAAGTTATGTGTTGTCTAATTGTGGTACTTGCATCTTAAAGCTTTAATCCTAAATTACATTTTGGCCCATAATTGCCTCAATAACATTAAGTTATTTATTAGATTTCAAACTTTGATTCTGTTAAAAACAAAGAGCAACATTGAAGCCACCCACCCCGTGTGGGAAATAGCCACCATGTGAATATGGTAAATGTCTGTTTTTATTGCTCCTTAGCAGCCTTCCCCTCTCATTCCTTTTCCCTGAGTGACTTTCATACACCTTCCTTTTATTATTCCTTTCGTCATGCTTCCTGCTTCCCAATCACTTGAACAGTGCCATAATGCAGTGCCCTGCCAGCTTTGCTGCATGAAACCCAGCCAGGCACTCTGGCAGTTTACTCTCAGGATGACTGATTCCTGTATATTTAGCTCCAATGGTGCCTGCAGTGATAACCGAGCTGGGGGTTATTGGTAGGGGTGGGCTGGGGGCTTTACTGCTACTTTGCAGGTCAAAGGGTCAAAGAACTGATTCAGTGCAAAGGCTTAGGAGGGTGTAAGGTTATAGTACAGATTTAATGAGGTGGTTGCTGGTGAGAGTGGATGAGGAAAAGACAGAGGAAGTCAACATGTTATTCATCACAAAAAAGAAAATTATTTTCAGTTGCTTTTTGTTTTTGTACTAGATTTTATCCATGATTCAGAAATAACTTTTTTAAAGGCTATTGATGGGTGAGATTGTTTAAAACAGTTATTATGCATCCAGATGGGGTTTGCAATGTTTTTCAGAGTGAAACTGGGAAACCCTTTCAAAAGGAAAGCTTGCTGACATTATGCTGAGTCTAGAAATCAGCAGCCAAACTCTTTCCAAGCTGCCCCCATTTATCACCCTAACCTCCAATAAAAGCCTGGAGCTAATGAATAGACCAGATCTTGGAGTTATACATCGCCGACTCACTGTGTTCTCTCAAAGAGCTAATTGTCGAATGAGCATAAAAGGGAGACAAGTCACCGCTTCTCCAAGACAGCTGACCACTTAAGCTGAGCAGTTTCTATTTATAGTTACAGCAATCACTCTGTTCTCCTCTTAGTGATTTAAAAGTGCCAGGAGGGGAAAGTTTACTTTGTTCGGGGGCCAAGACTGGCCATGCTTGCTGTTTTATTTTCAGAAGAGTTATCTGGAGTATTTAGTGATTCATTGTCTTGTGATTTCTAAAGATTGATCATCAACTTTTATTTAAGGGGAGTTTATTTTTCTTTCTCATACTAAAAAGCTCCTTGATTTGTCAATTGTATTTGAAATTGGTTGCGACAGTTGTGAAGGCACCATGGACACGTTGAGTCTTAATGACTTTTTTTTTTTGTGTGTGTGAATCTTTTCAGCTTGTTGTTTGAGTAACACCTGTTTTATGATACTTGAGTAAGTAACTTGTGATTTTGCGATGAAATAACTGCAGAAATTGTGTTTTCCTGCTCCACAACTTTTGAAAGTTGAACAAAACATTTTTCAGCTAATAAAATAGCATGTTGGTATGAAAGCCAATGTTTAGGGTCTTCTGTTGACACCATTAGAACCATGGGGTTTGATGTAAGACTGTTAGGGGATATCCAGGCTTTGACTCGCTCACATGCACTTGTTGTTGTTACAGTCTGAGATACTTGAGTCCCCAGGGTGGAGGGGGAGTAGAGAGACAACATCCACTAGAAAGTCATCTACACTTACAGGATCTGGTACCTACTACAGATATCGGTAAAATGCCAAATTATCATCGTACCTAGTTAAATGGATTACCACTCAGCCTGTTTTCTCAAACATGATTCAGCAATACTGGACAATAAAGAAAAAACAGAACAGATGACTTTTGTCAGTAGACATTATACTGTCACGTCTCTTTCTTCATGTTTTGGCAGGAAGTTGCTCATACATACCAGGATGAAATCCAACCACCAAATCTGGCTTGGCAGCTTTGCCTTTCTCCAGCACGTCCTCCCAGAACTGATGATAGAGGCCTTTGTAGGCACTGATGTACACCCTTTTCCTGGGGCCAAATGCTGTGAGGGGAGGTCTCATGATGGGGCTGTTCACCACCTCTGGTCCCACCATGACGATCTCGATACCTTGATGTTCAGGGAACATCTTGTTCAGCTCATCAAAGTCAGTAAGTCTGGCTCCCATCGTCTCATTATGTGACGCTCCTGCTAGGTGAATTGTCAGTGGTTTTGCATATGGGTTGAGGCTATATTGTTGCACAGCCATACCAACTGTGAGAACTCGGGAGAGGAACTCGCTCTGAATGCGCCATAGAGACTCTTTGAGGTCTGTGTCATCCGGCCTGGGTCTGGTGGCATTCTTCCAAAGGGTCGACATGTTGGAACCAGATATTATGGTGTCCAGACGAGGTGAAAGGTCCACCTGCATGGGAAGCCAGTTGTCCCAGTTTCGCACCTCAGCAGTGGGCTTAGACCACTTCTCAGTGGAGATTGGGAGGTCTCCTGCATGATAAATATATTTCAGAGCCATCAGAGTTCAAGACTTTGGAGGGTTTCTAAACCATACCAGTGTTCCCACTACTGTGACTTCCAGTCCATCTTTTACCTCAAGCCCTTAATGTCTGAGAGCTTACCCTTCAATATACCATCTTACCATCTCAATAACGTAATCTCTTCGTTTTGCGTCCACAAAGAACTAGCAAGGAAATTTTAATTTTAGAAACTCTGTTTTAATTTCTCACCAGCAAACATCAGCCACTCCACCAGTCTGTCAACAGCCACCAGGCGCAACATCTTGCAGACCTTTTTGTGCTGAGGCCAGTCCTTTTTCTGGCAGTCCTTGGTGCAGTAGTAAACATTCAGGCATCTGTGAGAGGAGGAAAGCACCACAGAAATTAAAGAGGAGAAACCGAGGGATGGATTAAAAGGAGGAGTTCCTTGACAAAATTGTATTCTTTCGACTTTCCACTCCTGATCGTCTGTTTTTCACCTGAAAAGGTCTCAAGATGGTAATTTCACTTTTTCATTTAGTCATATATAGTCCAGACTGAAATCAACCACTGTAAGAAATTGATCTCACCGTTTATAAAAACTGATGACCAGTGTAGTTACTGACTTGAATGAATCATGACTTGTGATGAATATTTAGCTCTATAATCAGGTCAAAAACTCTGTTCTCTTAATCAGCAAAATGAATTTCATGTTTTTATTTACTTACTGGAGGAACTATTTATGAATAAAAAAGTGAAAAACGAATGAAGTAATGTTTTAGTCAAGAAGTTCACTTTACTTATGGATTTTAAGGTACTAGTTCTTAATGAAAATGGTAAATAGTGCACCAAGTTTGCAACTTTATCCTTGGTCCAGGACCCAGCTTGTCTTAAAGGTGGGGTAGGCAGGATTCTGTTAAAGAAGCATCTCTTTTTTTGTGGTGTACATAGATACAAAAAAGCTTTTAAAATCAGTCCATAGCTATCAGTTATTGATGACATTTGGTAATAGAACGATATTGCTGTGTTTTGTTCCGTCTTTGTAGTCAACATTTTATATTTTTTGAGCAGCCCGCTCTTTCTGACTGTAAACAAAGTCATTCTCTACCTCCCCCAACCTGATTGGTTGTGAGGTGGATGCTGCTCCTTAGTGCTGATTGGTTGTGAGGCAGACACTGCTCCCCCATGTTGTTCACGAGCCCAAACAAAGTTAGTGTGCTACAATATTGGACAGTAGAAACCAACCAGAAAGTAATGGAAATAGTCTGGATCCTCCTTTGGCCACAGCTGCCAACACAGACAAGAAAACAAAGTAAATACTGGAGACCCTGGCGGAATAATGGGTGCTTAAAAAGGAGGTAGACCAGACAAGAGCTAAGAAGCCGAATCAACATCAATGAAGCTAGCATAAACGTTTGGGATGCTTCGGGATCTTCCGGACCCTGTAATCTTTCTGCTGGACAGATAAACCGCTCTAACAAAGTAAGCCAGGTGTCTGTCACAGAAGTGTTTTTTGTCAAACGGGACCTGCTGCGTGTTGTAGCGCCGCTAAACTGTTTAACTCAGGTCCAGGAGTATGTCACTTTATCCTAGTTGTAGAAGTCCTAAAAACATTGTGTTTGCTGGTAGTCTGTTGGCATCTAAAGTAGCACCAATGCGTTTTACTTTCACGTTGACTGGGCCCCATTTGTAATTATTTGAAGTATTTATTTGCATAATATCTGAATTTAATTGGAACGATACAAGCGAGCAGGAGCGTCTGTTTGTGGGCGAGGCTTGCTAGAGCGGGGGGGGGGGGGGGGGTGGCTGAGAGAAAAACTGATTGGGAGGGGTAGAGTTTACATTCAAGATTTCTCCCACAAACTGGAACTTCCTCAGATCCTGCCTACCCCCCCTTTAACGTGGACCCTAACCTATGACCTATATATGGGGAGCTTGGACTACTATAGGCCCTCAGCACCCCTCCAGCCTGTATATTTGACTCTGTCATTCAGATATGAGCTCATGTCAGAGGATGAATTCTGTCCTGTTACAGACAGCTGCTGGTGACAAAACTGAAATATAACACTGATTACCTTAGCCCTTTTTATGAATGTGAGTTTACTGTTGACAAACCACCAAGCAGGGAGGTTATTTGTTGGATAACAGATGGTGCCATGCAAGACTATCACTAAAGGGTACCCATAGTTTAAGAAAAACCATTAGTGGGTCAATGTTTTGTGCCAGGACTCTGACAGAGGCTCCTATCTAAATATGGTAGCCCCAAACAGTGTGTGAAAACAAATGTCCTTGAGAAGTAAAACAGAACACTTCAGCAGAGTTGGATTTAAAAGCAAAAAGATCTGCTGATTCAGAATGAGGATGACAATGATAATGAAAGTCATGACACAACACTATTGTGGTTACTCTCAGATGTCAAAGTTCACAGGAGTCTAAGTTGTCAGCAGTTCTGCTCTGTGTCTGCTGCTGCCTCTGACTTTTTTGGTAGAGACTGGCAGCTGGGAATTTCAAGGGAAAGCACATTTAAGACAGCATGTGAGAGAAAGTGTGTGTGAGTTGAGAGAAAGGGATAGAAATGACAGGAAAGAGAGCAGGGAGCCTTGAGAGAGATTAGACACAATAAGACACCGGTGAGTACACAGCAGACTGTGTACTTCACTTCTTATTCTTAGTGCACTCTTTGAAAAGCTGTGTTTTGTTTGACATTAGCAGTATAAAGTCACTTTAAATACGCTGCAGAGTTGCAGCATGATGAATCATAGTCATGGCACTTTGCTATATTTGCTATTGGACAAAGTCCACCCCAGTAGAGCTGTCCTCTCTTTGGTGTCCCAGAATCTGCTACTGATACAACAGCAACTGGTAATGCTTAGCACATGACAGCTATTGGGCAACGATGCCAAAGCAGCATCCTGACCGGGCGATAATATAGAGCTAGCCCAGCAGCAGCAGTGTAGGTTTCACTCTCCTAAAATATTCTGGTAGGCAACAATGATTGATGTTAATCTGAGTTAATGCGAGAATACTGCCGATCATTCATCACTGAGCACCTACTTAACGGAGCTCATTGATGGTTCCTGCAGTCACTCAGTTTGTGGCTCAGCACTCACTTCACACAGCGCTTCAGCGTCTGTCCCTCGGTGAGATGCTCGGGGAGTTTGTTGCAGCTGGTGCAGAACTTGAAAGTCTCCTCCATCTTCTGAAACAACTCCTTGTAGTTTTGAAACTGGATTCCTTTCGCTTTCCCCTCAAGAGCCGCCCTGATAGAATTAGACACTTTATTTGCCAAAAAGCACAAGACATGAAACTCATACACTGTCAGCTCACATTTGCTAATGCGGATAAATAACAACGGCAGTAGCTGATTACCTGTACTCTCCATAGTCCGTCATGTTGAGCTTGTTGAGGATCACCTTGGAAAGCCCAGGAACATTGGCGTCCAGGGAGTAAAAGCCTGACTGGTCTGAGAAGACGCTGTCAGTCCCTGGAGCAAAGGACTGTGGTAGTGCTGGGATTTGGGATGCCATGTTGAAGCCTTTGGGATTGAAAAATAAGCATTTAATGTCATGTTAGTTTGAGATATCTTTGAATGAACTGATATCCCTCAGAAACAGTTTTATTAGGGTTAGGGACTTCTGCGGTTTGACTTCCACAGTCAAGTGCAGGTTTATGACCTCAGCCAGTATCTCTTTCCAATTAAGCATAGGCTTCACCATATGTCTTCTTGTCAGCTTTAGGTTATGATACTTGTTAATGTTGAATATGATACTGTATGAATGCTATCAAGTCTGGCTTAGTACACTGAAGGAATCCCAACATAAGCTGAGACACAAACTGAGCCGACCTTTGCAAACTATCACCTCCTTCATCTGCCAAGAGGCTCAGATTTTTAGAAACATAATACTGCTGGCTAATTTGGCTAATGTAAAACTAACATTAGCCAGCCTATCTGATAATGTCACAAAATTACTCATCCTTCTCTTTTTTAATTGTTTTTATTTTTTGCTAGAAACATCTTTGTACAGTAAATTAACGTTAAGGCCATTTATGGACTGCTACACTGAAGTACACCTGTATAAATGAACTGAGCACACTAGCAAGCTAACTTCACAGCACTTTAGCTACCTTTGCCTGATATCTACTCCATAGTTAGCTCTTTTTCTATGGTAGTTGCTAGCATACTGTAAGTGGTTAGCGCTGTAAAAGCAGCTGTGAATGCTGTTCCTCGAACCTCCTTCGAGGTACACAGCTATTTGAGGCATTTCCTATTGCCACCAGAATGGCTACAGAATACTGAGTGACATGGACACTCTATTTTTAAGTTTTACCCCATCACCAACAAAATAACTTTGAAGATACTCAAAATACTGTTAATAGTATGTCTATATTGCTGATTATAAGGTGTTTTTCTCTCTCATAGACTTATATATAATTTAATTGGTTGACAAGTTTGTATGTCCTGTGACATTACTGAAAGACATAAAACAGACACACACCACACAAACCAGGTCAAACTTGACAAATGAGAAGAAGCAGGGCTGGAAAGTTGGTGGAAGGACACTTAGTCCGAAGCTGTACTGAACTATCCATACTATGCACCCTGAGGACCAAGAAAAGCACGGCTGCTCTCACACAACAAAGCTTTAAACTGCTATGAGAAGACTCTGGACAGGATTTGAATGTAACCCTTGATAATGCATCAAGGCTGCCAGGAGCTACAAAAGCTATTTCAGTATCAATGATAACACGCCGAAGGTACACACAAAGTGAACTTCTGCACATGTTCTGCTTTGAAAATTTTAAGGATGTGGCTTCCAGTTGGAAACATCGTAGAGAATCTCTCCCACCTGAATCTGTGTTAAATTCAAGGTTACTACCTTTCCCCAAATAAAAGCTTGAGCCCTGAAAACTATTTGTGCTGCAAATCACAACCTCTCTCTCTTGGTATGGACACACATTCTGGCTCTGGTGACAGAAACTCTCATGACAGGAGGATCACCTAAATCTCAGACAAGCTTGAAGAGTTGCATCATCATTCCTTCTCCCACCCAGTGTGACCCCTGATCCATGATACTTGCATGTCACATGATTTATTTACCTGAGGAAAAATACGAGGGCAGGGAAATGTGATCATCAGGAGCGCCCACATCCTTCTCTGAAGTCATGTGGGTGCTCAGATTGACACGTCTCCTTTGGTCTTTAATAAGATTTTATGAGAAGCCAAGATCTGATTATCAAAATTTGACATTTAACTTCTGTTTCCTGTTAATTGCGATTTAAATATCCACCTATGCCTCGTAGTTTATCACTAGTTTTTAAAACTCCATACAGCATGAAACTTGGAAAAAATAAAAGCCTTACTTTATCATGCTGACACCTTCTTTTTTGCCGCTCATTCCAGTTTCATACGAGTAAAAAAAAACCTACTTCCTCACCACTTTTAGCAGCCCTGTATCTTTTCAATTTCATACCAAGTGTTGCTGGGAAATGATTCAGCCTTATCATGTCTGCAGACTAAAATTGAAAGGACTATATCTAATTAGTTCCCTGGTATCTGCAGAGAAGCAGGGAAGCTGTGGGGTTGGAAATGAACAGATTTCCCAGGAGAGGGCAGGTTTTTTTTGACACTGTGAAGTTTCTAGCATGCTAAGTCCTTCCAGTGGCATTATCAAATTTTCACTCTGCCTTGCCATGCATTAAGAAGCAGAAGAAGTAGACTTGGAGTGTGTCGCAACACCAAGGCATGAAGGGATATTTTAGCAACCGTACCTTTGGTTCCAGATGAGCAGAGTGCCTTCTAGAAAATTCGCAACTTTTCTTGCTTCTCAGGGCACAGGATAAGGAGATGATTGACAGCTCCTGATGCAGGGAGTCTTCCACTGGGTCTCTGCTGGAGGCTGGAGCCAGAGTGGTGGGGAGACGGGCCTGAAGCTGGGGGATATAGTGTGGGGTTAACAAGGGGAGGGGTGCTGCTGAGTGGGAGATGCATGGGCCAGGGAGGGGGTTTACAAGGGAGGAGGAAGATAGGATGGAAGTACAATTTTAGAAAACGATGAGTAGGGTGGAGTGGAGGGGGAAGAAGTGGAGGAACAGGAGGCAGGGAAAATAAACACACTTTATGATATCAGAGGAATATATTCTGCAAAATCAAGTGCAGTCTGCTGGAGAGAGGGCGCTCAGAGATGTGAGAGGCACTTCATGAGAGGAGCAATCAGATAGATCAGATAGAGGCTCTCTGAAATCAATACAAGTGCAGTAAACAAGTGTACCAGTAATTGAATAACACTTTTGATGTGCAAATACTTCACATTTTCATTTAAGTGTATACTCTGTCTTAATGAAATGCAGCTGTTAAACTTTTTTCACAAAGTACGACAGATGAATTCTCATGAGGCAGAAAACAAACATGTTTCGTTATGATAAAATCAGGAAAAAAAACTCACAAACAAGTGGAGGACACTGTGTTCATAATAATGACAAAATTTTACTTTTTAATTTAAAAAATTTATTTGGTCCATTGGAACCTGAGATTGAAAATCAAACATACATATTTTGTACACATATACTTATATTCCCCCCCAAGAAAAGGTCGATAAAATATATATCACATTCATCAGAGTTCCATTTCTTCAGCATTAGGTTTCATTTTTTTGTTTCTATCATACTTTCATTTCTTTTTACAATTTTTAAAAGGGTCAGTTTTTTTTCTACTTTAGTCTTTTATGTGGCTTAACTCTGCCATCTGTACAATTTACAAAGGAAGAAAGGGAACCAGACAAAGGAGAAAAAGGAGAGAGAAAAGGCGCTCTGTGTGTGTCGGCTGGTCTGTCAACCACCAGCTTTTTTATCATCACTTCAGACAGCAGGGGGCGCCCAAGATGCACAGAAGAGTCACCACCACAACTTCACATAGAGGAGAGGGTTCACAGGGCATCGGAAAGAGCCAGAATGACAACTGTGACAAAAAGTAAAGTATCAAAAAAGACGAAAAAAATCTCATGTTAATGCAAAGTGATCCAGCAATGACTGGTGCTTTTGAGGTGCCTCATCATTGCAGGTGTTTCAGTGCAGGTTTCGTTTCTTGTCAGACTAAATCCACAAAATATCACATTCCTTTTCCTGTCAATTCAGTATTTCTCAGACAAAACAGGCCTGCAATCACTTATACAAATAAATTAGTCAATTTACCTAACAGCTACATGTCTGATCACACACGCACTCACGCAGGACATCTGAAAATGGTTGTTACACATTTATGTCTCTTTGGAAAATATATTTACAGTTCTTTCAGCCGCGCATTTCAGCAGAGAAACACAGTGCTGCTCTAGTAGCATCAACAAGCGAGTAAGACTGCAAACTTAGGGTCACAGTGCTGCTATTGAACGAACAAGATAACGTGTACGAGATGATGCATGCTTCAGTATTTGATGAACACACAGACTGTATAAAAAGACGGACAAAGTGACAGCTCCAAAAGTGAGGCCAAAACATTTAGAGCTCCACCTGGCTGCAGTAAAGGTAATAAACCACATCTAGATGGGACATTTGTCAACTTTAAACTCATAATAAACCAAAAGAGTTATTTCTCACTGTTGCTAATTATGTCCAAGTGTTTATATTTTTTTTGGGAAGCTGATGCTGCATTCCAGTTACCTCGAAAGTCAGAAGTCTGAGCTGGGAATGACGTCATGCTCAAGTTACAAGCGTATCAGTTACCAAGTTGGAAAAAATGCAAAATCGGAGGCGGAAACAAGATGGCTACATCTATGAAAGTTATTTTAGCTCTTTGCTTATATTCGGAGAAGGCAAGCTCTAAAATAACTTCTGACTTCTGAGGTAACACGAACGCAGCATGAGATTTAATTATGATGATTGACAGCTCTACTGACAAACGCTGCCCCTGCTTGACAAACAGTAAAAAAAACAAGTCTTCAAACTTTCCTTTCCTCTCACAAACAAGTGCAAACTGACCCAAGAGGCCATCACGCTATAGACTGTACCAACCTGAAGGATCCTTCTCATTTAACATGAAATTAAAGCTCCTGAAAAGAGGTTTCTGCTGGTTGTGAAACAAACTACAATGAACCATTGATGCCTCTGTATGAGCTAGAAAAGCTAACAAGACCATGAGGAATAATATTGATTATTGCTTAATGAGTAATTTTTCTAAAACAGTAAAATGAGATTATTTTGTTAGAAAACACTACTCACACATGTACAGGTCAAAATAATCAGTGAGATATTATAAACTGTTTTTTTTCCACTAAGATGGACACACACCAAAAGTTGCTAACAGGAGCTTTAAATGAGTCTGGTTAGGGTTAGGTTTGGCTCCACCAGCTAACTCCGACTGCATTGACCCTGTTTCCAACATCATCATCAGCACAATGCATCCATCACAGGAAGTATTTTGGCCTCTGTTTTGTGCAGTGGGAGGAGATGGAGGTCTATCTATCTATCTTTTTATACAGTCAATGATTTAACTCAAGGCTGCTAGACATAAACGGATTCATCTCAGTGTTTTGAGGCTGAAAGATCTTGACATGAAAAATTTACTTGTACTTCAAATACAAAGTTAGATGTGTGAAACAGGATTGAAGGGATTTGTTTGTTGGCTTTCAAGTTTGTACCACATAAAAGTTAGACATCAACTTTCTCCTGATAGAAAGTCTCCCCCTTTCCCCTGTTTCCACAGTACCGCATTAGTCTTTCCCTTCTCTCTGATAACACATGAATGTGTGGACTGATAAATCCTGAGTGAATCGGGAGTAATGGCTTTTTTACACTGGAGAATTAGAAAGAAGGAACCAAAAGGGACCTTCGTAAAACAGCTGTAGGTGAACCATCCTTTGAATCCAAAAAAAAAACAAAACATGCTGCTACCTCTCAGTGTCACAACACGTCTCAGGGGGTCCCTTCTTTCCCCATTATGTCTGCACTCAGTCTGACAAAACACTAATTTGTAATCACACAAGGATAGCGCCGCCGCTGCTAATGTGGCTTCTGTGTATTCTTGAGGGAGGGAAGCCCAGATGCCAGCACTGCACCCGAGCAAACAAAAACCAGTCCCTGACCTCCTGAAATAAACTTGACAGCTCGTCTTAAAAGCTCCCTCATGGCAAAGTGACTGTTCAAACAGCTCCTCTCAGTACGCACAAGTGTAAACCGACAACTGTTTTAAGTGTAAGGAACACACAAATATTCACTGACCTTCAAGTACCAAAACAAGAGTGCAAGATGCAGCATTAACTCACTCTTTATCACGTCTGGAGGCGGGGGAAGTCGCTCCCCGCGTGTGGATTTATGAGTAAAGATATAAAGTGAAGTGTGTGAGTAAAGCCAGCGTGCCGTGCCTGAGGGGGGGAAACAACAAACTTGGTCAAGTAATGACATGCCTTCAGCATTTAGCCCCAAAACTGAGGCTGGGTGAAAATGAATGAAAGTGAGAGGCAGACAGGGAGAAAAATATAATATAGTGGTTGTTTCTCTGCAAGGAAAATAAAGCAACAGTTGGGGAGTTTATGAATCAAAGCATGCAGGTGGGAACTCTACGATCATGTGCCACTAAGTAATTCATAATAAAGACATTACTCATTACAACACAGCATGGAAAACAAAGAAGGATGCTACTCATGCTGTCTGGGCAACATCAGATAAGATTGACTCAAGTTTGCTAAAGAAGTCCAGGGCCTGGTTGTTCAAAAGTGAATCTGGATTAGACTCATTCATATCTGAAAATTCCCTTTTTTAAAGAGGTAACCAGGTTTTTATGAGAAACTGGATCTAAGCTGTCAGAAAGCAGGGGGAGGGTTGTATTAGCAGTGGTGGTTCAGAGATTCATTCGGGGAAAAAAAGGGTCCAAGCTTCGCAATGATGCTGTTGAATCAATTTTTTGTTGATGTAATTCAGTCTAAATCTGAGAATCCGGATGTTTTTGGATCAAATTTACCCCAGTCCTTACATATAGTGATGTAGGACTAGTGTACCTAATCTAAACCAGTCTCATAACCTCCTTTTCCCACTCAAACAACCCAATTTGTAGCTTTGATCTTCTCTGTTCAGATTTCTTTTGATCAACCAGGTCCTCGGTTTGGTCCTGAGGTAAACAGATGCTGGACAATACTGCACACAGTAAGATGGAGAGTGCGGGGACACAGTACAACATGAATAATGGCTTGTTCTGAAACCTCAAAATCACAAATATGGACATGACGGAAACAAGGGTTGTGTTTATAACAAGTAAGACCAAAGTGTGTATCATCAACTAAAAAAATAAGGTGTATAACTTTGAGTGAACAGGAAGTTGGCTCATTTGAAGTACCGCACAGCGAGATACACTCCCCCTGGAGTCTCCTGCTTTGTTAGCTGTGTTTCTGGACAGTACGGGGTTAAATGTCTGATCCTTGCGGGTGATTGGCTCATAGGTTGTGGGCCGGGAATGGCTCAGTAGTTACGGCACTTCACCCTGTTTGTCTGGAAGCAGGGGGTGACATCTGTTCCACGTACAGCGCTAGTACCAAAACATTTTTAAGTAGTCTGAACTGGATCTTGGATGAAGAATGTTCCGCCTGCTTTCGGCCCGCTTCCCTTATTTCATCCGGACATGGCACATCCACTTGGCAAGGGGGGAGATCTTGCAAGGTCAGGAGAAAACTCGAGCATTTATGGAGCATTACAGCTCAGAAATTCTGCCCCATAATGCTTTACATTCAGGTGTGTGTCATCCATCGCTCTCCGTGTCTCAGACCTACACACACCGCCCGCTCGCTCTCCCTTGCCTTGATTTCCAGTGGTCTGACACTTTATTGGACTAGAGTGTTTGTGTGTGTGTGTGCGTGTGAGCGGTGGTCATAGCGGCCGGGGTCGGTGCAGGCCGTCAATGTCCGGAGTCAGCTGGGGGCTGTGTGTGGCCTTTGTGGGGGTCCAGTCCCCCAGAGAGGCCTGGGCTGCCTTACGGTGAGCCAGGCGGTGGGTGATGGAGAAGCCGGCGTTTCCTTCCAGCTGGGAGAGCACCACCAACACCTGCCTGCAGGGGGAGACAGAGAGCATTGAAGTAGTCAGGAGGAGCAGCTGTCATCAGTTGTAAGCCTCTAGGAGTTCAGTTAAGGTTGAGCGCCACAAAAAACACGACACAGAAATATGTTGAAATGTGGATATAGAGGGCGTGCAGCAAGAGGTCATGGCTGGGGATTTAACCAGGGACTGCTGTGATGAGAACTGTCGCCACACACAGAAAACAGAGATAGCTAATGTGTGCACCAGGAAGAAATCAAGATCACACACTCCAAGCTGAGGACAACACTATCCGTGGTCATGTACAGACTATCAAATTAATACACTGAGTTCTTCAGATCAAAAATCAAAGACCACTATATCTGAGACCAAGATCCTCATGGACGAGCCTGAAAGCTGCATCCCCAACAAAGAGCTGCACCTGCATCTCAGCGTGATAATCATTTTGTGTCACAGGAATCTGTGTGGTGATATAGCTGTAATATGAACACCAATTCTTCTTCTTCTAATTATTTTTCCAGCGCTTATTTATTTCTCCCCTCCTCATATTAAGTCCTCGCTGTCTTGTCTCTGTAGCTTAGACATATCAAGGGTTCAAAAGGAACTGCTTCAATCATGTTAGTTATCCTCTTATGATGACATTTGTACTTCATTTCTCTCATCTTATTGTATTATCTTCATTTTCATCTTTGAAAATACAAAGCAGGTGAGTGGCTGTGTGTGAAACATGCTGTAAAAGAACTGCTGTTTCTGTTCTGAGAGGGAAGGAATGAAAAAAATAAGTGACTTTCTGTCTTCCTCTTTTCCTCATAAAGTTTCTTACAGTCTCGTTCACTGATCCTGAATATGTTTCTTAGTGAATTAGTAAAGTTAAATCTGGGATTTACAGAAGAAAAGGTGATTACTCAGCTCTCTTTTATAGCCTGTTTTCTGATTTAGTCTGTTTTGGAACAAGATCTGGCAAAAAATTGTGACAGAAATTCACAAATAAGTAAAAGTAATCACGCTTTTACAGTCCTAAGCATTCAATTACTTAAATCCTATTACCTAAGACCTCACTAAATAAAAGCTATCAAAAACATTGGAACATAAAACAGCACTGAGTTTATTTTAAGAGGGTGAACTAGTATAATATGCTTATACGATGGGAGAGAATAAAGCTTTGTGAATTTTTACGGTTTCTCCTTGCGTGAGACAAAACTGAGGGAAAACGCAGTAAATTCACAAAAAGATGGGCTGAAAAAAAAGCCTCTATATGGGAAACAGAGGGTGTCCGAAGATCCAAAATTCAGAAAACTTAATGATCTGTGGACAGCTGCACTGTGCTCTGAGGCGAAGAACCTGCAGTATTTTTAAGCTCTTCAAAGCATCTACTCAGATGTGCGGTAAAAAGGTGGACCAACAGAGACAATGGAAGCTACAGTTATACTGAGACTAGATTCACAAGAAATATAGTGTATATAATATAATATGAGTGCAGGTAGAATCTGAACTGAATGTTTCTGAAGCATTTCAAAAGAGAAAGAGCATTTGTACAGAGAATAAGGTGCATGTGTATTTAAGTGTGTGTGTGTACCTGTGCAAAGGAGGCACACTGTCGATGGTCTTCAGGCTTCCCCGTGTGGACACCACGTTGAAGCTGTCAGTGCAGTCGCAGGAGACGTGGAGGTAGTATTTGGGGTGGCGGTTCTCCACCACCACGATGAGCCCCGCCCAGCCATGGGTCAGGTAGTAGCATGTCATGCCCTCACGCCCCTGGGAGCACACACACAAACAAGCAATAAACGAGAGGTGAGTCAGGACCTCTTTATTGAAGATTTCTGTGAAGACGGTTTGTTTGTGATGGTGTGACATCGCTGAGTAAACACTGAAAAGAAAAGAAAGGTGTAAGAAAAAAAAAGTCACAGCGTTCCTTCATTTTGATTCATGAACAAAGTAAAGTTTGTATTTTTGATGATTACAGCTGCTGATGAATCTAAGGAATATTCTGTTTGTGATTCTGTCTGTCATGAATATTTAAGCTCATGTAAAGAGTTTTTTTTACTGTTTATGAAACCAACAGAAATAAACATTGGTGCCTCAACACGACTTACGAACACAAACCAGAGCACCATTTCTAAAACTGACGATGTCTCAGCACTGATTTTTCGCATTTTGAACCTCTGCAACAGGATTGGTGTCAGACATAACATTTCAGTTTACATTGCCAAAAAAGCCTTTACATGTGTCTTCTATGGCAGACTTTCACAGAGTGATTAGTTTGACTGTTTAAACACAGCAGGATGAGGTTTCCATCAGAAACACTGTTTTTTGTGTCAGTGAGTCATCAAAGAGGTGGAGGTCCTGCTTTGTCCACAGGGGGGCACCAGATGAGTTTAAAGTAAGGATCAGGTTGTAATAAAAGAGGCATAGCTAATATAATTCGGTCTCTTGTGTGTGGCAGTTGTCATACTTTTATTTACAATATGATTTTTGAATTGAGCCATTACTCGGTACAAAATCTGCAGTTTTGTGAGTGCCCATCTGGATCCAATAGCTGAGACCGCCTCAAACATGATGCAGTCTTTGTCACGTCATTCAATGGTTTCTGGAGATGCTACAACTGTATGGCAACCACCATACTGGAAATCCAACAAACAGACAAACAGAGCCCATCAAAAGTGCATCCAAACTGGTCTAAAAGATGCTTGTAAAGTTGTTTAGCTTTGCTAGGTTTGCAGCTTTAAGTGGACACTGTCAAAAACTTCAAGTTACTGTCCTTCAAAGACCTTATTGAGTCATTTCTATTTTTAAACATAATTGCACTGTCAAATGAAGACCTTTATAATTACACAATGTGCCTTCAATTGCTTTTGCATTGTGAGTCATGTAAGTGGAGAGTGGACTTGGTTTAGGAGCGGATGTGCACAGTTTAGTATTTGTGTCTCAGTCTGTATGGGTTCACCTTGTGTTGTTAATTTTTCCGTTCATCCTCCGATTTGTATTCTATGAGCAAATTTTGTATGTGCACACACTGTTGGGGGTGTAGAGCGTGATGTATCTTCTGATAGTACACCATGGTTAAAGAGGTTTTTCTCTGATACGGCATATCTAAAGGCAGCACTGCATTCTGGTCCGTTGAGGCTTCTATCTGCGGAGATTGATAGGTTTCCGGCGGTAAGACTCTTGAATAAAAGAGGAAAAAAAAGCCGTCTCCTCTTAATGGACCAAAAAAAAAAAAAATGACACTCATGTGCTCCTGTTTTATAACTCAGAACTGCTCAAATTATTTATTAATACGTCTTTCAAACCCCGCTGTTGAAACACTGCTCTTTTTGTGGTGTCAGCCGTGTATTCCTGAGTGCTCAGACCACCTACCCGGAGCGGTGGATTCCTGGAGAGCTCAAAGACTTAAAACAGATGATCTCAAGTGTTTAAAAATCTCTATCATCCTCTAAAATACCAGCCACTTCCATGGAGCACTGTTCAGGAGAGCCAGAATAATTTGTGGCTCTGGCAGTGTGTGTGTAGGTGAGATAATGTGCAGTGCACGCACCCTCATGTGTAAAAGCAGAATGGGATTCAAGACTCCGCTGAGGAAATCTAAAGTGTTATCTCAAAGTGGCTTACAGAGCTGCAAGCGTTCTCCTTCTTCACGAGCAGATATAATATATTCCGAGATGAACAAACTGTGTGTGTGTGTGTGTGTGTGTGTGTGTGTGTGCGTGCGTGCGTTTGTTTGTGTCTGGGTGTGAGACAGGGTGATGTGAGGGCAGATGCAGCAGAGAGAGCTGTAGAGTGAGGAAGCAATAACAGATTTTTGACACAAGCCAGGCTCGGTTTATTGCTCTCACCTCGTGTCTCTCGCCTTTGTTTTCTGTCAGGAGGATGATGGCGTCGGCCAGCGTGGTGGCGGTCGCCTCCACCTGCTCCACCATCACCTGTCTGGAGCTGTAGATGGCGAGGATGTAGCCAGGGAAGTCCTGGCTCGGCCGTCGTGCTGCTCCGCTGGTGGGGCTTGAGACTGGAGGAAGACATTAAACAATTCTGAGGAGCTTTTAGACGAAAACTTTGAATTATTGTACGTCAAAGCTTGTGTGAGAAACTTTGAGTGAACTGAGATTTACAAAAGGACATTTTTTGCTGTTAATTGTTTGGTATTTGACTTAACAGAAGGCAGTAAAACTTAGTGCAAAGTATCTATTAATTTGGAGAGACACCTATTTTAATTTCAGTTTCTTTAACAACAGGCTAAAAAACACTTATAGGAGCTTTAAAGGCAAAGACGCCTCTACAAAGCTAAATGAAGGATCTGTCGCATTAGCTCTGCCATTACAATACTGGCCTAAATGTTCACTGATGCTCAGTGGTCCAAACAGCATTAACTTTAAGACACATCTACTGTCTCGACTAACTAGGGGTGGAATAAAAATCTAGACAGCATAGTATCATGATATTTTGTCTGGTGATATCGTATCATCTCATTTACCAAGGATCGATTTTTCTAAGTAATTGCTATGATAATGGAAAAATAAAACTAACTGTTTGTCCACTGAGGTTGGCAGAGGTGACATCAAAGAGCAGAAGAAAGTTAGAGCAACAAATATATAGAGGGTTTGCAAGATGTGCTACATAAAAATAAAATACAGCGTAAATAAGACAAACAAAAGGAAAGCCACATGCTAAATTAGCTAAAAAGTTGAAAAAATCGTATAAATTGCAATATATTGTATTGCAATACTCACTGTATTGCAAAATGTTAAAAATCACAATAATATCATACCGTGGTCCAAGTATCGTGATAATGGGACCACTGCTGATTCCCACCCCTACTGATAAGGTTAATAAATAATGAAATAAAACAAACTTCCAGGGTAAATTAACCAGTTTTAATAGGAGGACACAAAAGCCCTGATTATGCACATTGTGTCAGAACACCTACTAGGCGTGGGCGGACCTCCCGTCGCGCTAACATTCATCTGCCAGTGGTTGAAGGCGCAGCAGACGACAGCATACTCCCCCGGCTCCAGCATCACATCACAGCCGACAAACTTTTTCACCGCTCGCTTGCTGTGTGCCAGCAAGCGGCCCAGAGTCAGCTTGTTTCCACTGCCCAAGGAGGCACGAAACACCATGATGCACAGGTCCAGCAGGTGGCTGTCTGCCGTGTCTGACCGCCTGGAGAAGAGAGGAAATCAAACGTGAGCAGTCAGTGATAGGAAAATTAGAGTATGTTTCATATTACGACTAGGAAAAGATGAGAAGCTGTGAATTCAGATTGATTGACAACATCCAGTAAAGCGCTCAAACACACTGCAAGCCCCGATATAGGATTTTACTGAGAGTGAGGATTTAATATTTTATGTGCACTGAAATTCAGAAATGTCTTTGAATGGTGTATATTGAATAAAAACACGTAAAAAAATAAGTAAGTTGGTTTCTTATTTACCTGCTTCCCTCCTGAAATAGAGCAAACTCCAAAGCCGTCCTCTCCAGCACAGTCAGGGCTGTGACGGTAACCGGCCCACTCGCCTTGCTGGGGAAGCAGCCCTGCAGCCTCACTTCCTGCCAGTCTGAGTGGATCTTACAGATGTCCACTGAGTCAAAGTACCTGTAAGAGAAGATGGATGAGAAACAGAGACATTTTCAGCATACATACGACAGATTTGACCTGCTGCTTCTCCTGTGAAGTCTCTTTGTATGCATCACAGCTCTTTAGCAGCAGCTTAGCCTCTGTAGGAGCTGCTACACTAACACCATTTACCTCACTAACATATTAGACCTCTTCCTTCAAAGCCAAAGCCCTCAGGAGTGTGTTTTTTCCCCACACTTTTAAGCTGTTTTCCACCGTTTCATCACTTCCTAACCTTGCTCTGACATCCGTCTTACATGGTGCTTTTGTCTTCTTGACAATCAGGAAAAAAAGAAGAGAACAAGGTTGAAGTTTAACAGCAGGTTTTGATCCTTGCAGATAAATAAACCCTTGTCTTTCTGAAATGGTTTTAATAATCGACATCAGTCCTATTTGTCTTCTTTGTGCATATGAGTCAGTTTAAGTGCCTTCATGTCCCTCCAACAAGCTGAGCACATTTTCTCTTTCAAAGCAGGCTGTAGGTTTGTCATAAAGCACAGAGCTCAGATTATTTTCCTGTCAGAGTGAACAATAAACACTCAGGAGACTGATGGGATTGTGGTTTAGAACAAATACATTTTCAGGTTTGAGTCTTACAGGAGGACAGCTTTGTTATTGATCCCTCTTGGACTTATTGCAACTCTGATTTTATTAGACACAGGGAACATAAATAACTGACACAAACACTTGATTCATTGGGGGCAGCCTTACCCACATGGTGGACTTTTCAAAAACAGTCATGTTAGTTCACTTACTGCTCGTATGAAATTGCAATAGATATCTTACATTTATCCAATACTCGATTCTGGTTGGCCAAAACCCAAAACAAGGATAATGGGTTCTCAAAAGTGACAGTGACATCAGGGATAAAGTCATCTCACTCGTCATTTTAAATCAAAGGAATTCAGGATCATTTTACCACAGCCTGTTGACACTGTGGCAAAAACGCTAGAAAGGGAAGAGAGACAGTTACCAAAAGCAGCCTCTAATAGGAGACCTCGAGTGAGATCCTGTCCTGCAATCCAGACACTGACAACAGAGCCAGTAAATGCATCTCAAAGATGCTGATTGCTACAAAGTCACTTAAATCCCATTACCATCCAAGGAAACATTCAGCTCAATGGGAACTATAGCAAACAAGTAAGCTATTGTTTTGCCTTTACCATGAACTACATTTTAGTGACATATTAATTCATCCTCACAAAAGGGCTGATAAGAGTGCAATAAAAGCTTTACTGACCGTAAAATTGTAGAGACGTATTTTTTTTTTGGGAGTTAAAACCACTTCACTTTACATCAGAGTCTTACTCACCCTGTGGGGATTCTAATCCGAATAACCATTCAGGGTTCCTATGCAAGTATGGAAAGTTTAAAAAAGTATGGAAATATATATTTTTTAAAATCAATTTCCAGGTCTTCAAAAGTATGGAAAATGAAAAATAAAAGTATGGAAAAATATTTGTTTACAGACTATTACCACAGTTCTTAGATACTTTTTTCTAAAATAGAAAAGTAGGTATTTCTAAAAATATTTTTAAAAAGTAGGGTATGGAAAAGTATGGAAATTCCAACTGTGTAGAAACCCTGACCTTTACACATTACCCCTAACCTCAAAGTTCAAAATCTTCACATACAGAAAGAAGATGAATCCTCCAGCAATGTGTCACTGATGCAACAATGAAACTTTCGCACTTTACATAAAAAAAAAATCTTTAATTTAACAACAATTAATTACACTTCTTAAAACTTTCTTTTGTGTTGCATCTTTCACACCAATAGTGGAGTCCAATTACAGATATTTTTGTGTGTGGTTCACGAATCTCCTCTCCTTATCATTAAAGATAATGTTCCTTTGGTGTTTTGCACTCTTGTATTAAGGCAACTATCTGAGTGTAGAGTTTTGTTTGTTTGTGTGTGTGCTGTTTGAAGTGTTTCATAAAAGACTGAAAAAGTGAGAAGAGGAAAATTTGAATGATCAAAATAATTATTGATAATTAATGATTAGACTGGAAAGAGAAAACAATTAGGCACTGTTCCATAAAAGAGAGTTTTAGTGAACAATTCTTAATCCATAGTCGAGTTAAAGAGGTTGGTTTTAATTACAGTGAAGTTACTCTTTTCCAAGTTTATTCTTGGACTTTTATGCTTTCAGTGAGAGGATAGGAAAGTGGACCGAGTAACAAACTGGGAGAGAGAGAATGGGATTTGACATGCCACAAGGAGTCTCGATTTGATGTCAACCTTGGCCTCTCACCTCGGTAAAAACATCCTACAAAGATGGAGTATCTTAACTTACCTGAAAAGATTTTTTTTTTAAACTATTTTAAGAAAATGTTACCTCTCTGTAATCAGATCTAATTCATGCACAACAAGGTGATACTAAAAGGTAAGGCTAAGCCAGTATGAGTGTTCATGTATCTTGAAGTGTCAGCATGCAGCTCTGTGTCGGGAGGATCATATCAAAGTGAAAGTGAGCTGTTTGTGTAAAATCTGTTGAATTCTTTTCACACTGAGGTTTAATTTTCTTATATTTTCCTTTTCCACTTTTCCTCCTGTGTTTTCTTGAGCCTTCTCCGTTTCTTTCTATATCAAGGACATATTATGCTAGGAAAGGACACAGGAGATAATTCTTTTCACTCTCTGGTCACACTCCATGTTCAATGATTCCCACAAGGTCATTTATCGATGAAATCTCATGAATGGATAGAAGGAAACAAATGCTTGCACACAAACGCAGGGGAACAGGTGGACAAACCACAACTCAACACAGAAAACTGAAAGAGACTGAGTGACAGAATTAATCTAATCTGACAAGACAGACTGAGAGCCAGGACAAGTCTGAACCCTGGCCTGACAAATTCTCTGACAGCAAACCCAACAACCAGAAAGAAAAAAACACAACAACATGGTAATTCTATGACAACACCATGATGCAAGCGACAAATATATGACACACATGTCTACCAATGTACTCGAATCAACAACAACAATTCTGCCACTCCGTTTGGTGTGGATGCCAGATGGTCAGCTAAATCCACACGGGCATAGATTACCAAGCCAATCATCGTCTTTGGCACATAATGGGAGTCCATCATGAGACAATTACAGGACATTTGGGAAGTTTAGAGCTATGCCAGGGAAGTAATCTTTTCAGGAAGGGATTATGGAGATTTCGAAAACTGGGTAGTGTGTGAGCATTGGCTGAGGTAGAACCCATTTCATTTCAGATGATGTGCAATTTACAAACCTGTAGGAAAGTCGACCACAACAAGTTTTTATAAAGGAACTGTTTTTAATGATAAGCTGACATTCAGGAAATGAGCTGCACACTTACTTTACAGCTTCAGCTTTTTAATATAGCATTACAATTGTCAACACAAAACATGCTATGAGAGACTTTAATTCAATACGACATTTTATCTTGGTTTTGGACACAACTCGTTTTGATGTATGACTGATTTTTCTGCTATTATGATGAGTTTGCATCACTACTAAGGGGGCTGAAGTAGGGCTGTTCCGATACGATATTGATATTGGATATCGGTCCGATATCACCCAAAAAACAAATATTGGATTATATCGGCCTGCATCTAAAATCTCCAATATCAGCACTCTGATACAAGCAGTCCATTCCAGACTCCACTCCAGCACCTAGCGGTGCCCAAATCCAGCATACAGAGCCCACAAGATCACAACAACAGTGTGTAGTAGGTACAAACAAAGTAGCAACGAGTACGAGTGATGTCGGCTGTGTGGCAATATTTTTCGTTAAAGTCCAAAAAAGACGTTGTAGCTAAGTGCAAAAATTGTCATGCACCAGTTTGTGCCAATATCGGATCAAAATCAGTATCAGCCAATACTGAAGGCTACAATTTCGATGTCATATTGGAAGTAAAAAAGTTGTACCAGGAGGACACCCCTTGACTAAAGTGCACTTTCATGAGGTACTTGTCAAAAGTAAGTGTTTTGGCTACAGGGGACACAGGCTAGCTTTCTCCCTTAGTTAAGAAACCAGCTGGGGAACCACAATGGAAGCTCGGGCTTGGCTATTATCCACTCCAGAGAGGGTCAGGTCTGCCACGAAATTTTACTGATTTCAACCAACAGCTCCAACAAAAGAAGCCCTTCTCTTTTCCTTTTCAGGAATTCATTAACGGTAACCTTGCCATCATTTGTTTTTCCACTGTATGCAGATGCAAGAGTGGTGACAGCAAGGATGCTAGATGACTCACTCCTTAGCAACTTAGCTCCATAACACAATGTTGTGTCCTCTCAGAGCATGGAAATTGTGCAACTGTGCAATCAAGCAATTGATGATCAATTCATAATTTTCACTGATTTCTATTCACATCTACAGCTGAATGTTGCAGTTTTGAAAACTTATGAGAAGTCTGCTTTTTTGAGCACCTTTCAGTTCCACTGGTTAAAAAGAAGTAGGTGTTGGAAATGATGCAGTTAACATTTCCGGGAGAGACTTTTTTGAATTAATCTCAATAAATGTTTTAGTGAACAACCAAAGCCTCTTTAAAGCTCAATTTAAAAGTCTATTGAAAGAACAATCTGACAAAGGAGGACAGAAGAATTGTTGGAAATAAAGAGGTTCACACATTTATAAATGAAAAACTTGTGGGTTTTTATCTTAAGGTTTAAATGATGCCATAATCAGTAAAAGTAAAAACTGCCTCGTGTCAGACATGATTCTTACTTTATGAAGTCAGTGTACTCCATCCAGAAGACGCCCTCACTGCTGCCGTGTGCCATCAGCTCGTGACGAAGGTGCTGTGGCCAGTCCGTCCACTCGTCAGACCAGCTGCCGTTCCACGAGAAGCGACCCCACGGGTTACGCAGCCGCAACAGCCTGAGGCAGGCACGGAAAATGATAGATAAGGAGAGGCAGGTGTTAACAGAAAGTACAAGCCAAAAAGAGGATCTAGTTTAAGTGCACGCTGTATCCAGCTCTCTGCAGACTCATATTGCTCCTCTTATGGATGATTGCCTACTTTCTAACAACCCATTTCATTTTACTGCCCCCTCCCTGCAGAGAAGAACTCAGGAGTTACGATGGAAAACCATGGAGGAGTCCCCCCGCTCTCCAAAAAAGAGGAAGCAGGTGAATCACTGTTTCCAAGCTGCTTTTCATGTCCTCTGGGCTGCCAGCAGGAGGACTCCAACTCATTTAGATCAAGAGCTGAGGCCCAATCTTCCACTCTGAAAGCTCCCCGGCAGTAAATTAAAGTGGCTCTGTGTGGCTCTTGAGCGAATTGTGTCTGGGATTCACGGCTCCTCTCAACTTCCTCCCACAGGTAGGACAGAAGACGGCTCCATTGTGTTGACTCACAATGCTATCATGATCAAAGCCATCAGATGGAAGCGGCGTGCACCTGTTCTCTATCGACAAGACGCCTCGAGCTTCGTTACCGCGGAGTCATTCAAGAAATCCCCTCCCTGAGCATGCATCTGTTCAATCCATTTAAAATTTAGGATGTTTTATTAAATATGAGACACAGATTCAAGTCTGAGGAAAGATTTCTTTAAATCTAAATCTTGATGATGAGGTTTCTTTTGATGCCAAAAAAATTCTAATGCGATGATTAGTTTCCAATGAATTTTAAATGCGCCATGATGAGAGATGTAGCCAAAGCTCATTATCTGTTTGTCTCTTCCCTTTTCTTCATGAGAATATTTTTATTGAGGTTGCAAAAGTTGTGTTTTTTTTCTCCTCACAAATCAATTCTCTCAGCACATGAGCCATGTCTTGAGGTAGAGGAGGATCACTGGTGTAAAAATAATTAGAAAAAGACATGATGTCGCTGGTAAAATGTGTCACTCAAAAATGAATATTTGCTGCTGGAAATAGTCAGTCATGGCCTCTGATATCTTACCCCTTTTAGCAGTTTCAGGCATTAATAAATACCACATAGAAATAATCAGTCTTATCACTTCTAGTCTGGTTTTATTCTTTTAAGTCATAAAGTAGCATCAGTGCCAATTTCAATATGTTTCACAACCATTTAAAAACTCCTCACATGAGCTTCAAGAACGCTCAATATTTAGCCAAGGGGCTAATATGAGCTGTCATATATTTTTGTTAATCTTTTGCACTGATGGTGCAATTAGGAAAAAAAACATGGCCATCAGATCACAGATCACAGAGCGGGAAAGTGCTCCAAGCTCACACAGTCTTTGAAAACTATAAATGAGGCCAAGTTGCTTGTTTTGTTTCAAGTCTCTGCTCTTAAAAAAGGCTGTTTTGCTGACGTGAAATAACTCCAAGGAAATGTGTGGGGTAATCTGCCACACATCATTTAATTTTACATTAAAGTCACAATCCATTCTGGAAACAAGAGTGGTAGCTTACCACACAAGGAGATCAGGATGAGTAAAAGACACTAAACGATCTGATAAAAAGATGCTAATCGTCTCTTCTTGTTTACACTCCTCACTTTCTTTGTTCATACCTGTAACCCTGGACATCCCGAACATCTAGGACGGAATAGGCATGTCGGGGCCGCAGACCGAGGGACTCATAGACGACGTCATCTACTTTCATGTTTCCACCTCCACAAGATGCACCCATCAGAAAACTGAAAAAGAGGTGAGACAAAAGATTCAATGAATATTCTCACTAAGTTAAAACATTCTCTTTATTCAACCATGAGTCCAGTTAAAGCAAATCTTTAAATCTGTTAAAGCAGCAACAAAAACAATATGTATATATTAAGTACTTGTAAACATATCTCATATGGTTGATTCTTCTTTTGTCCTGATGTAGCCTTTTCTATAAAGTCAGTGTGAGAAATGCTGTGATTTTCCAGTTCAGCCCCCTTTGATTTATTGAATGAAACTACAGGTTTTCTGGCAGAGTGAGCCGCAGTTTGGCCACTAATGATTTGGCCTCTTTAGACTCATAATAGTTGCCTCCTGTTGCTTTGGGAGTCTCACAATCAAACAGCTGTTTCAGCGACCTCTTCTATTACTGAGGAAAGCTGCAGATTAGCATTCAGCACCTTTGTGGCAGCTCAGTGTTTGTAGTCGTGATCACAGGATGTTAAATGACTGTTTACCGTTTCTTGGCCCCTGAACTATCAAATCTGCGATGTCTATGTTCTCTGTGATCTGGTTCAAGCATTAGACCGTAGACCTCTCTCTCTTACCCCGCCTCCTTAGAGCTGAGCATCTTGGCCCAGATGAGGTCAGTGTCGATGGGTTCCTCTCGAGGGTTGGTGGAGCTGACCTGCAGCATCAGCGAGTCACACGGCGCCCCCGTCAGAGTGGCCAGGCCCTCGATGGCGCGCCCCGCCTGCAGGGCAAAGTAAGAGCCGTGGAGTTTGGCCAGGGCCTTTTCAATCAGCGCCACCCATAGCTGCTTCCTCTGAGCCTGGAATGATGGGAAAGAGAAGAGGAAACCTTAGTCACGTCTCTGACATGTTACAGCTCATTTACAGGAGTACGCTTGTAACAGGAAGCACTTTGAAGGTGTTGGCTCTGAATCTGTTCACTGTGACTCAAAGGTTTAAAAATTCAACATGTTTGTTTCAGTTATCTTATCACATTACACTTTACTGTTCTCCTCTCTCTGAAATGCTTTGCCATGATAGTAAAGGAGTTTTCTTTTACAAGTCCCATTGCCTCTTTTTCTTTCTTCACTCCCTTTTTGCTTCCTCAAGAGGTACTACAGGTAAGCGATGATGTTTAAAAGTTTCTCCAGATTTGTTTCTTTGTGTGTTATTTGTTAAACCTCATTTGTCCTGCAGTTGCCTCCTCTAAGAAATCCTTTGAGACACACTTATGGTAAAAGCTACTAAATAAATACACTTGAAATTACTGAATATACTTAATATTGCATTAATGCTGCGCTCCAGTTGTACTCGGAAGTCGAAATTTCTGAGCTTTGAGTTGGAAATTCATCTGGAATGCACCCCTGAAGTCGGATTTCTGACTCGGAGGGTCGGACAATCCTCACCAACCCCATCTTGACAACAACGTCATAATCAAAGATGGCAGCGCAGTGCATCAACAGTTAAGAGTAACAGTGAAGGCTCTTGTAATATATTACTTATTAGCACTTCTGTTTTGTTTTTGTGAAATTAAATAAGTGGTGTATGTTGTACAGCCCAACGTCTAACTGTGAACACGGTGCTATGGTGTTTGTAAGCGTAAAATACTGTGTTATGCGTTGTTTACAACTGATATAGCAAACAACAACTAAAAACAGCTGACAACGGCTAACGACAGCTGACAACTGTAAACAACAGCTAACAACAGCTAACTGTAGGTGTTCATCTTGGTTTTCCGACTTGTCAACTGGAATGCCGTCAAGTTGGGTGTAACGTCATTTCAAGCTCTGACATCCTACTAATGAGGTAACTGGAATGCAGCATAATATCAGGCTTTGTGTTCTTTCTTGTGAAAACCAGATGCTTACATTACCCACAATGCACCTACCACTGCCAACATGATTCAGGCGTTGTATGGCAGCGTCTAATGCATCCTTACCTCACTCTAGTGTACCCTGAGGTAGCTAACCTCGAGCAAAGACGTGGAGCAGGCCGCGGATGTGTGATAGTCTCACTTCTCTAAACTTGCAGGCTGAGTCAAGAAACATCACTTAAAGCTACATTTTCTGCACAGCTCTGACAGGAGGCAGAAAGCTTTTCACAACTTTTTCCTTAGCTGTGCTGCCCCAACTTGTACCCACACCTAAACTTAGGTGGTTTGAGATTATATTAAGACATGCAAAAGGATGCATACAACACAAAGTCTGCATGTTTTTGCATGTTGCTTTGATCCTCAATTTCAGTTTGTTTCAATCAAAACCATCTCTATCATTTCGTTGTGTTGAACCCCTGGATATTCCCCTTTCCTGACCTGGGAGAACAGGAGGTAGCCATAGTCATCACAGGGAAGCATGTCGTCCACGAGTACCGTCGTCCACGTCCCGTCTTTGCACAACCGCACTTGGTATGCCCCCTCTGTGCAGATAGTCCTGGTGATCATCACCCTCTCCACCAGCTCCGGACGCTCTGCCAGCACCGCCAGTGCGCTCAGAAACCTGGGGGAGGAGAATAAAAATCAATGAATCGGAAAATGAAACACCGGAGCAGGCGGGACAGATGGATGAATGAGAGCAATGCGACTGAAACAAAGACAATCTGAATCAAGCAGTGAGACAAATGGGAGCTGAAAAGGCATGAATGATCAGCTGATTGTGACGGACAGGTGGGAGGATGAACGGATATCTGCTTTAGTCGACCAAAACAGACAGGCAGAGGAGGAAGTCTGGTATGACGACGCTGTCAGAGGAAGGAACAAAAAGAAGCGGACCAACAAGCTGTAACAGGACTGTGAATGCAAAATTAAAACTTCCTAAATCAACTTATGAAAGACAGTTTTTGTATACACATAATTTGCACTCTTTGAAAATCAAGCACATTTGAGCTGAGCATCTATGCCTTCTGGTTGCTTCCCCGTAACATTTCATTCACCCTGCAGCAAAGACAAACCCACTCGCCTCTGCTAATTAGCTCGCAAAGAAATTAGTTATTCAAAAATCCTTAAACTTCTGAAAATGCTAATCCCTCGCACGGGGGAGAGACGCATCTGGGGACAACTGGATCCAACTTAAAAGGAATACATTTAAAAGTGAACATTAGTTCATTTCAAAATGTACAAAGTGATCCAACAAAACTGATAACACAGCTGAAAAATGTGAAGATTTAGGATGAACTGCCTCTTTCCACCCTGATCTCTTGTTGCAGAAAATTGTTTGAGTTGTTCAAATGAGACCTAACGAAGATGCTTTTGACACTGTAAGCAAAAGTGCGTCATGATACTGTCACTTTGGTGAACTTAAGACCTGTTTAATTCAAGTAAATCATCAGATTAGTTTTTTCTGGTTCATACTGCTAAAATAAACCACTGTGACACCTTATGTCCTTATCACTCTGTATTTCTCCCCAACCCAGCAGCAGCTTGGTGGCTGTCTAACATGAGTCTGGTCCTTCCCAAGGTTTCTGCCTGTTAAAAGGAAGTCTTTCCTTGCTACTGTCACTCATGTTAGATGAGATGGGTCAAATCTGTCCCATCTTAAGGTTGGGTCTTGAGCGTGGTCTAGACCTGCTCTTTTTCTTTGGAAAGCATCTTGGGATAACAACTATTGTGAATTGGCGCTATATAAATAAAATTTGATTTGATTTGATGTGACTTACTATTAGAGGTGGGAGGAAAAAAATCGATACAGCATAGTATCACGATATTTTGTCTGGTGGTATATCGTATCGTCTCATTTACCAAGAATCGATTTTTTTAATTAATTGCTAATATGAAGTTAAATCTATGATAATGGAAAAATAAAACCAACTGTTTGTCCAGTAAGGTTGGCAGAGGTGACATCATAGAGCAGAAGAAAGTTAGTGCAACAAATATATAGACAGTTTTCTAGATTTGCTACATGAAAATAAAATTCAGCATAAATAAGACAAAGATAAAGGAAAGCCAAATGCTAAATTAGCTGAACAGTTAAAAAAATTAGATCAATCGCGATATATTGTATCGCAATACTCACTATACTGCAAAATGTTAAAAATCACAATAATATTGTATCGTGGCCCAAGTATCGTGATAATATCATATTGTGGGGCCACTAGTGATTCCCACCTGTACTCACTATTTACTCACTGAGACTCACCAATTGCTACAACTTCAAGTGTAATACACAAAGAAGATTATCTTTATTTTGTTGGTTCTGGGAAACTTGCTTGTATGCTGATAACTCCCAGCTAGATTTCACAGTCTATTAGCGCACCTATTAATGGCATAACTCATATTTAGGCAACTCAGTAGGTACTTTCCCCCGGTAGAACTTACACTATTATCCACAGTTGACAGTAATAATCCCTTTCAGTACAGCTGTCAATGTGTGTTAATACGGCTGAGGTTTAAAGACGGGGTCTCTTTTGTGTGCACTCAGAAATGTGTATCATTAAAGCGATATTCCATCTGTTCGAGTGCCAGCTGAGCAAGGCCGATCAGCCCTTTCAGCCCTCTGATGAAAAACCAATCAGCTACAATAAAATCAAATAAAAATCCAATTAGCCCTGTCATTACGTGACTCTGATGTCGGCTTCTATCGGAGCTGTACTCAAGGACGAAGGCGAGCGGTGCTACTTTCTTCCACTGCCATTGGCTGGCTGGCTGGAGGAAGCTGGGTTTGTTGGCTGGTTTATTAGGACAAGTCTGTGTGTGTGTGTGTGTGTGTGTGTGTGTGTGTATGTGTGTGGAGGAGCGAGGGACACACATGAATTGGGGTTACATCCTGTCGCGAGTGAGAGGCATCAGCTCAAGGGAGGGTTATTTTTGATAAGCTGTGTGCGCCGGCGATGAAGCGAAAAGTTGTGTTGGGACAACTTTGTGAGCAACTCTTTTTTCTTGTTGGATGGCAGCACACACACATACACAAACGCCCAAAAGGACACATAAAACAAGGGCAGAGAGATAAAGTGTGTCCAGACTCACAGTCCTGTGAATAATCTCCCTGTCAGGTGTATCTGTGCATCTGTCTAACTACACCCAGCTCCCTTCTTACATTTACCGCTCTGCCTTTCTGCCTTCCAATTTCTCAGTTCCTCGCCTCCCCTTTCTTTACTCACTGTTTCACCGCCTCTCTGTCACTGTCTCCATCTCCATCTCTGCTAGCTTCAGGCTGTGGCGTTCATCTGGAGCAGACTCAGACAAAAACCACCGCAGTGTGTAATGTTTTTTGTTGACTGTTTTATGTCCGTCTGACCTTTCACAGGGACTGAACTGGCTGAAAAATGTCTCTTAACTTCAGGCGGTCTTTTGCCATTCTTGATAAAGGCCCTCGGTACTGGATTATCCTTTACTTTCCTGCCTGTTTCAAAGTCTGCTGTAGCTGCATTGTCTGTCTCTGGATTGTTTTCTTTTGTCATGTGATGTCCCGGGTGTGAGGGTGTTGGATTCTGTCAGCTCACCAGCAGTTTCCCAACAGGCCTTGCAGGATGTCGGAGGGCCGTGGCGTGCGGAAGACGGACCACTTGACGCCCCGGTCTTTGAAGTTGCTGCAGTTGATCTCATGAGGACGGAGCCACTTTTTGATTCGCTGCTGGACGCTGTCACCCTCTGGAAAGCCGACGGAGCGAGGTCCTGGGGGAAAGCTGTCGTCCACAAAGTTCACAGTGTTCTAAAGAGGGACAGAGAAACAAACGGTCGTGTTCGAATATTAAAATGAAGACTTCAAACACATATGGTAACAAAGAGATAACACTCATCTAAAACACTGAAAATCTACTTTCAATCTTCCCTTAAGGACTACAAGAGAGCACTTGAATAAAGCTTTTTGCTGTAGTAATGCATACCTGAAGGACACATGCCGCTTTGAGGACTGTTCATCTCCACTCTGCATTGCTTATGACATTTTACAGGTGAATAATGGATGAAACAGGACACTACAAGCCACCACATGAGCCCTAGATTCTTTGGGGTAAGACTTGCTGCTTGTAAAATCTAGTCGGCTACACCACAAGTAACTCTTTTGGCTCCACCTCCAAGTGAAATGCAGAAAGATGAGCTGCAACAGGGTTGATAAACCAAAGCCTTCTCTTTTACAGAGAAGCCAAGCCAACGCTATAATTTGCACTGAAGTTATTAGAACTGCCTTGTTTAAATAGCTGATCCAGTGCACATTTTTCATTGGGAAAAATATCAATATTTAAAATATCACAGCGTGTGCTTTTCTGGTACTTCTTTATCAATTAACAGATAAGCTACCAGAGAGTTAATAGAGTCAGAAAACAGCAGCACTATCACTATGAGACTAAGAAATGTAGATGACTATCACAGCTGCTATTTGAAGCACTGTTATTACCAAACACTGACAATGGCAAATAGCTACCTTCCCTATCTAATCGTGTGCAAACAGACATTTCTTTCCGGCTGATATTTCTTCTTTCTTTGTATCTAAAATTGAAGAGTGAATAAAGAAGGCGGACTCAGACAGTGAACAGTTAAGACAAGAACCCTGATACTGCAATATTACACTGTTACAAGGATAGGAGATAAGCACCCTAAATATAATAACAAAACTGGGAGAATGCAACAAAACCAGAGAAATGACTGTCAGGAATATTGGCTTTTAAAAAAAAAAAATGGTCCCGGTGTGTAAGGACCATTATGGTCATGTTTACTTGAGTGGGTCAGAGAGGTGCATCAAAATACATTTCAGTCTGTCTTAAAATCCACACAGGAGCTTAAAAAGACAAATATAAGCAAAAGAAGATGATCAAAGGGTTAAAAGATAAGGAAATATGATCATTAGTCTGGAGAATACTCTGCTAAATCAATAATTTAGATGGAGGATTATTGATTTAAGAGGATTAGAAGATGGGATATGTGGTTGAATTCATTAAAAATGTGTGTAGGGAAGGTGGTAAGCCCAAAAACTAATACTAGTGTGATAAAAAGAAAAAGTAAAAAAGTTGAGATGAATTCCTTTCAAGGTGACTGTGTGTCACACATGTGCACAGCAGGACGTCAAACATGGCTCCATGCACCAGCCAGGATAAAGGACATAAATATGCAAATCACCTTGAAACATTTCCAATGCTTCACTTTCTGACACATTCCCCGCAGAGTGCCGAGCATTTAAAAGGACATGGGGGATTTAATGTAGCCGTCTCTCTACTGTACACAGGCCCTGGTCTACATGATACATTAACAGATCAGGAGACACCCAATCTGTCACACTATCTGCCCATCTAAAACTCTGCTGTACAAACCTGAGAGGGCCGACAGACACACATGCACTCGTGTCTGGTTTCCTCTTTGTGGTGTCAGAAGCGGGCTCGGCCTGTGGATGTAGTGTGGACACCCCGCTGGTGGCTCACAGTGAGGCGAATTGATTAGTGGGCCAACCCCCACGATCCAATTCTGAAACCTGGATGCAGCATTAGTCACCAGACTGAATCATTTAAGCAACGACTCGACGCCCAAACCATCAAGGTCTCAACGTAGCTTAGCAATTCTGTGCTTCACTGGCTTATATGTGACCTTTGTGCAGGCTTTTATTGTGTGGGTTTGGGGGTCAGGGTGGATTTCACACAGAGGCAGAGAAAGAGTTTCAGCCCTGGACACATATACAGGCTGTACTTTGAAATAATGCAACTCTCAGAGCACAGTCTGTACAGTTTAACTAGTGGAGGAGAATACAGGGAGAGGAGGACATGGGTTAAAGAGGAAGACTCATTTAGAGCAGATTGTACCTGGAGAGCTCGCCTAATAAGCGGTAAGATGATTGCTACAACTTCTCTATGATCAGGCAAAAAGTCAAAAATACACAGAACTGAACAAGTAAAGAAACACTTTGCTGTCTCCCAGTATTAACTATCTCTGTTCGACCTGCACCCTAAAAGTTCCTCCTAATTTGAGAGTTTTGGGGTTTGTAATAAGGCTGGGCAATATGGCCTAAAATCAATATCACAATATATTGAGAAGTTCACCTTGATAACGATAAATGGACAATAACTACTCCACAAGCTGCTCACCTCCTCCCTACATCAGCCACCGCTCCAGCCGCTACAACTTTTGAACCGTCCTCCATCTCCTCACCTGTCTCTCCCTCTTTGTTATGGACTGGATGGGGTGGAGTCAATCTCTGACATAGGAAAGCATCTTAAAGCAACATGAGACCATAGCCTACCTACACACATCTAAAACCAACTTTTATTTATTGATTTTTAGACACCGAATAAACCAATATGGACAAAATGATGTTGGTTATTGTCGTAAATTTCAGTATCGGTAAATTTTCGGTTTATCGCCCAGCCCTGGAATGTAATAAAGGTGGGGGTTGTTAACATGGATTGTAGAATCACACCAGGAGAAGTCGGTGAGTTTTGGATCAATTAGAAGTTTCTGTCATGAGGCTGCTGATGCTAATTTGACTGAAAGGGCTGTTTTGACTATGTTCACACAGCAAGAGAATGCTTATTGTTCAGACCCTTTTTTTTTCGTTGTTGGGATGTTCACGTTACTTTCAAAATGAGGCCATTAGAGTCCTGAGTGAATTGACCCTAATGTGCAAATCCACAACAGCAAAATCATTACAGCACAAACTAGTGAAGTAAACACGGTGGCCGATGAACAGGCATGGTTTACAGTTTGTTGACAGCAGTCGTGGTGATAGAGAGAGGGACCAGGAGAGAAAGAAGAGAGTCTGAATTTCAGTTATGCTTTGTATTGGGGTTCCTCCTCAAAATCATGGAAAGGTGGAAAAAACACAGGTGTAATGGAAAAACACTTTGATTGTAGAATTTATTCCAGTCGGCCTCCTAAGATACTGTGCAAAAAATGTTTCACAAGACGAGCAAAATACTATTTACAAGATTTCCAACAGAAAAGCTGGTAATTACACTATTATACTGTAATAACATTGTTTTAACATGTAATAACTGTTACAGCTGTGATAAAACAGAATAAACCTGAGGACAGCTGTGGCTCAGTTGTAAAGTGTGTTGCCCCTTAACTAAAAGGTTGGGGTCCTGCTGTCTACATGCTGAAGGGGCTAAAAATCTGCTGTGTAAGCAGTGTGTGAATGACAATTATGACACTCCAGTGTGCACGCATCCCAGATCTGAAATTGCTCTTCTAATGGGTAATTTTTTAATGTCCTATACAGCAGCCAGGCACCATGCAAGGTGCTCACTTTCAAGCCTTTAGTATTGAAGGACAGCGTTTTATTGGCTTAAACTGGTCCATCAACTGCGGCCTTGGTTTGATCCAGTCATGAATTCCAACCTTTCTGCAGTAAATTCAGCCTGAGATTGGAATTTACTTGGCTTGGTGTGGGTGGGAGTAAAGCAAGGCTCTGAGCTATTGCAGTCAGGTAAGCTGGAGCTAACGGTTTTTCTTAAACTCCTCCTTTATGGTTGATTTTTTATTAAATGAACACTAATAAGAGTGGACTGCAGAGAAAGGGCTGGGTGATATGGCCTAAAATCAATATCATAATATATTGAGCAGTTCACCTCGATAACGATAAACGGACGATAACTACTCTACAAGTTGCTCACCCCCTTCCCACATTAACTTCGTCTAATTCAGCTGCCGCTCCAGTTGCTACAACTTTTGAACCGTCCTCCATCTCCTCACCTGTCTCTCCCTCTTCGTTACAGACTGGATGGGGTGGAGTCACGTCTCTGATGTGGTCCCATCTGAAAGGGACATGAGACCATAGCCTACCTACACACATCCAAAACCAACTATTATTTTTTTTTTGACACGGGCAAAATGACATCAGTTATTGTCATAAAATTCGGTGTCAGTCAGTTTTTCGTGTATCGCCCAGCCCTACCTATGCAGAGACTTTGAATAGATGGCTATGGAGTAAATGTAAATGGAAGAGTTGGACCTTGTTTCATCCTGAAGACGAGCCATTTCTGCAGACTTTTCTACAATCTATTCAGTATCCCGAGAATGACTTCACTGTTTGGCAGGTAGAAGCTTATTTTCACACTCTCTCTCTCTGCAGGTTAAAGGCAGCTTCACTTGATGAATAAACCAAGAGATGAGTGTACATTTCAACAACATATGTGCAAGAAAACTCCAGCATATTTCAAACCATCCTTTTCCTTCCTCACCGAGCTGATGCTAAAGAGTACTCTGCTACACCCAGAAGCATATTCTAGAGGATTGTTTTGCATCACCTTACAGACATGACAATGGGAGAAAATACGATCTGCTTCACTCTGAGTATGAGGAGAAGACTGAGCTTTACATGATTAATTTATAGTATTCATATCTTTTAGTGCCAAGGGTGTTTTGTGAGCAAAATGTTTGTATCCCCTTACCTCATTGATTTCACAGCCTGAAACACAATACTTTAAATCCACTCCAGACTCTTCAAGACTCAGCTGCCAGGCTTTTGACCCAAACTCACACCAGCTCACTTAGTTTTAGTTTCTTAATGATTACCCCTATCTTTGACCTTTTAATATCACGAGTCGATGGGTATGTTGAGATGCTCAGACTGGGGTTCGTTGCCTTTGTTCCAAATGCCAGACTAAAATCTAAGGGAGACAGCGCTGATGCTACGAAGACTACAAAACTGCTTGAGGAGATCAGGTCAGCTGAGCCAGGGATCTCCTCCTAGTCTCACCTCACTCTCAGCAGCGAGCTTTCCCTGACTGTCTTTTAGGATTCCCTTGAATCGAATAAAAAGTGTTTCAGATAAAGTTTTATGTCCTGAAATAACTCTTTATCTTTGCTTTGTTTGTGACCTGCCTCTGCCTGTTTTATTATCAATCACAGGCAGAGAGGACATATCTTCCTGTTGTTCAGGTTAGGTTGCTGTGTCGTCAGCTAACACAAGCCTGGCTGACTGACTGACTGAAGTAAACCTGCTGCTGCCTCCGATCCGGTCACTGAGCATACACACCAGAATGCAAACAAGACTGTGGCAAAGAAAACCTGCTGCATTCCAGCAATCTTACAGACCACACATAACTAGCCGACTTAAAAAGCCTGTTTGGAAGATTGTACATAGCTAGAAATCTTGGTCAAAGATGATCTGTTGATATCTAAAACAAGGGGCAACAAAGGCCGGAGAGCAGGGCGTCACAGTGCAGCGCTTATTAAAGCCAAAACAAAAGCGTCCAAGAGCAGCCTGGTACTTCGAGCTCCGTCCAAAGGCAGAGAGAACCTGTCACTGCCAGCAGTTGCAACTAACACTCCAACATGCAACCCTCCCTGAAAATAAAAGGGCCTGATTAAATCCCAACTGTGGCAAAAATCCAAATGACAAGTGCTTTAAAGAGTGTTGAGATGAAAATGAAACAGAAAAAAATCTGTCTGTTGCCTTGTAGCATTTTTTTGTTGCTCTCGGAGAGGGTGACACGGGGTGACAAACAGAGGAACCACATGTACGGTTCACAAGCAGCACTGATGGCTATTAGTAACATTTACTCGTCTGGCACAGTGAGTAAGCGGACACGCTCTGGGGCGCTGCCATCAGGCAAGCGCACACCTCTCGCTCTCCAAAACCATCAGCGGAGTGTAGAAACACAAGGCGGCGGGGAGGAGAAAGGAAACTGCACTAATGGTTTCTCACCTCATGGTTGGGGTTTTCACTGATTGCTCTAATATCTCAGAAATATACTCCTTTTTCATAGAGGCAGCATCCTCTAATATTCAACAAAGTTCAGAATAAAGCATGTGTTGTTTAACTCTATTTCACTGCCTTGTCACTGCGTGAACCACAACCTTCTGTCAACATTAGACTTTCACCTCAAAGCACTAAAACCTCGTGCTAACCAATTCCACCCCACTTCATCCCTCTGACCCCTGAAACTGGGCTGCAGCACTTGATGCTGTTCGTGATTACATTCACCATAGGGAAGCGGATCATTTCTGCTCCTCTTCTCTCTGGCTCTGCTGCTAAAAATAGGCCAGCCCAGTGTTCACCTTAGCACACACACATACACAGAGCCAGACACACACTGACGGCTACACTGGGGAATTGAGTGCAGTCGTGTGGAGAGGGTGGAAAGGGGGGGGGGGGAAGGTGCGAGGAGGGGAAAGCATATTTTGAGATATTAGCAGAGAGGAGGATAAAAAACAACAGGATGAGCGTATGGGGATAGATGTGATGGAGGGAGAGGAGATAAAAAAAGGAGATAAAGAAAGGAGGGAAAGTCTGCAGAGTGCTGAGGGGCTGATAGAGAGAGGAGGGTCTCAAATATTTGTAGGGGAAAAGGAAAAATTAAAAAGAAGAAGAGGCTCAAATGTCTATCTTGTATCGGGTAAAAAACTAGAGGGAAGTTAGAGGAGAGGGGCTCTCTGATATCCTTCCTTCCTACTGAGGGAACTTGCCTCCCACGCTCGCAGCAGTGAGCCCTGCGACTTTCAAAGAAGTCATTAATAATGTATTCAAAAGCTCACTTCAAGCAATTGTAAACATGGCCTGTTAGGTGCCATGCAGATGTAGTGAGCAGGCACGCATGAGACGCCAAAATAAAGTCAGGGAATAAAAAAACCTGCCCCCGAAAATAACCTCAATCTGAACAGACGTGGTGCAAATCCCTCATTTTCAGAGGTTTAATTAGCCTAAGCAGGTTAGCCTCATTAGCATAAAGCCTTAAATGGTCTCAAATGAACCTTTCTGACAGCCCTGAGAAGCATTTCCATGGCAACATAATACAGGCTTACTAAAGGTTCAGCAATGCAAGAGATGTGATACAAATGAGCACCATGAAGGTTGTCACATGTTGACTGTGGTTGCTAGGGGAAGACTTCATTGTGTTTCCAAACAGCTGTGAATAAGTAAGAGAGGAGGTGGGTTTTTTGGGGGGGAGGGGGTGCAGCAGGGCATTTTACAATCACAGCAATCAGGGCTCATGAATGACACAGCTAACCTCAAAGCCTTCTTGGTCCATGAATATTAAAAGCAGACATGCAGGACTGGGTATGATGCATCATTATTTGAGGGTTGTCATGCCGACAGACCGGCCCTTAATTACAAAAGTGTAATTAGTTTTATGTCCCCTATGAAACAAAACAAAACAAAACAAAAAAAAACGCTTTATGATGAACGTTTGTGCAGGTTAATGAAAATGCTCCATTCAACAAGGTGTTTGGCTACAAAAGGAATCATATGCTGCCTTAATCCCTTAATAACTTTGGCAGGACTGATACAGTGAAGTTCACTTTAAAGAGAAATTACATTAAGAATGATAAAAAACTTTTTTAATCTCTGGCAGGCAGGTCTGCTATGATACAGTGAAATGAATTATGTAGTCTAATATATTCCTCAATAAGATCTCGGAGTTGTGGTTGGTGCCATCTGAGGACAGGGAAAGAAGAGCCTGACTCCAACTTTGCTATCAGTGTTAAAAAAAATACCTCACTACAGCGTTATCAGAGGAAACAGCAAAAACTGAACTCATTAAAACCTCTCAGTAGTTATACTCTGACACTGACTTTTGAAACTCTGGATCAGACTCCGGTGAAGTGACTGAGGGCAGGTTGAGCTAATACGATACTGAGACACTGAATCTGCAGCTCCTTTCAGAGGCAAACATCCACCAGCCGGTCATTTAAAAGTCTGCTAACGCAGCAAATGCAAACAGAGCAATGACAGAGCCTATTAGCATTTCTGTGAAATTAGAGAGACTGAGGGAGTGGGAACAATGCCAGTGTATTAACAATAAGAGGAATTAAAATGAGGGAAGTTTCTTCTGAAAAACCATGTGTATCCTGTGACGCAACAGAATAAGCTGATTTTCCACCTCTGCAGATGAATTAAAAATACAGCCACATCTGTTAAGCTACTTCCTGTCATGTTTTGAGCCATATGTTATGAAATTGTTAATATTCTTGTGTTTCAGAGCTACACCCTTCTCTTACTTCTCTGCAGAAGCTGACGATGTTTTCCCAGAGCTCCTTGGCCTCGCCCTCGTCGTTTCGGCGACGAGCCTCCACATGCATGCTTTCCCTTCTCTTCAGAGGCTTAACCACCTTACGCAGGGTGAGGTACTGCTGGGGCGTGTGGCACGCTGCACAGTTCTTCGCCTTGATGTCGTTGAGCAGCGTGCATGCTGGGCAGCTCCACTGTGCGATCTTCTCCTGAAGGCTGGCCGAGGCAGAGGAGGAGGAGGAGGAGGAACTACAAGACGCACCAGCAGAAGAAGGAAAGGGCCGTGCCTGTTTCCGCGCTTTGTGACCCGAGGAGGATGAAGACGAGGAAGGTGTGCAGGAGCAGGATGCGGTGCCAGGCCCCGCTGGTAGGCCACAGTGTGTACAGCAGCGGGGCAGCGGGACCTGCTGCTCCTGAAAGCCGTGCAGTTTGGAGGAACCGCAGGCAGAGCACTTGGGTGCACCAGTTGGGTTGCGCAGCGTGCACTTGGAGCAGGCCCAGGTGCTAAAGTCCGGGCTGGAGGGGCTGGCCGGGGTGAATCGTACCGTCTCACAGCCTACCAGATCAATGAGGTCAGCACCAGCACGTGATGATCGGCAGGCCTCACATTTGGAGGAGTTTCCAGGGTTGGGCAATGAGCAGCTTGGGCACTTCCAGGTGGGGGCGGCTGAGGAAGCAACAGGGAGGAGGGGGTTTAGAGGATGGTGCTGAGAGTCCTCTTCCTCTAAGATACTGAGGCGTTTGCTGGGGTAAGAGGGTTCCTGGGGTTGGGCGTGTTTAGGCTTGGCTGGCCGCTGTGGGCCGGGCTGCGGGGGCACGCTGGCTGCTGAAGGGGAGGTGGGACTAGGGGTGTTCGTGCCTGGATTTGGTGGGCGCCCAGTAGGGGGCACCTCTCTCCTGCTGCAGGGCACGGGGTTGTTTTGGAGAGAGGTGGAGAAAGAAGTGAAAGGGGAGGAGAGGGTCTGTGAGGTGACATGTGGGGGTTCTTGAGGATCACAGGGTGGAGCTGGAGGAGAGTCATCTGTAAGGTCTATAAGTAGTGGGGCGGCCCCTGCTGTGTGGACGGGAAACCCCAGCACAGGTGTGCGCACCTCAGGCACCACCAGCGCCTCAGGGGGGATTTTAGGCAAAGACAGTTTTCTGGGACCCCCACAGGCGGAGCATGACAGCGCCACAGGAGTGTTGTGAAGTGTGCAGCGAGGGCAGGCCCACCCGGAGTGCTGACCCTCCAGAACGCACACCTCTCCGTTGCTCTCAGACCGCCGCAGCACCTCCTCCTTAGCAGGATGCTGTCCATGTGGCTCAAGTAAAACCGTGGGGGTGACAGAAGGCGTTGGGGGTTCAGTCGGAGCAGGTGGGAGGCCGTTGGCAGTGGCAGCGATGGTGGTGGTAGGGGGTGTGTGGGTGGCGGGGGACGGTCCAAAGCCACAGACAGAGCAGGCTCCAGATCCCTGTGGGTTGTTCAGTGTACAGCGGGGACATGCCCAGCGGTGCTCCTCGGTGCTGCTCAGCCGCAGGATCTGGTTGAGGTCCGGTTTCTGGCGAGGCGCCTCGCAGATGGAGCAGCGAGGCGCAGCGCCGGCGTTTAGGAAGGTGCACCGTCCACATGACCACTCACTGCCTCGCACTGCTGCTGCCATGGAGCCAGGAGAGTGAGAGTGGCTGCAAAACAGAAAAAAAAAACAATGAGTCAAAACAAATTCAAGAAGAGAAAGAGTGAGTAATACATCCTGCCACATACCTGAATTTTCATCACAATAACGCATGCATATTAAGTACACCACTGCTCAATCATCTGAGCTTTTTCCATCCCCTGCAGAGCAAAGAGGGAAAATAACTAAATGAAGAAAAAGCTACAGGATGAAAACACGGATTCTGTTAACCCAGGGTGACTAACTAAAGGAAAAGAGGACAGTGGAAACATCGCAGACTGCAAGAGGAAAAGAGACAGAGTCGGAATTAGGAAGGAAAAATAGAGGGCGAGAGGGAAAGATTAGCCAGAGCAGGGGAAAAATCAAATCTCCCTCCTGGGGGCTCTCAGGGCAGTAAATCCATACACAATGGCCACATGATTAGAGCCAGGAAGACAGCACATGGAGAGGAGGAGCCAGCGAGTAGGAGAGGAAGATGCTTTTGCCTCAGAATATTAAGAAAGTGTTCCCTGACTCTTCCTGACTGAATTATTAGAATGGAAAGAAACACAGGGGGATCTCTTTGACTTCACTTTAGCACTTCACTCCACTCTTACACTGCGAATGCTAATGCAGGGCAGGCAGGGGCAACTTAAGGTCACATTAATCCCACGCCCAAATGACTTTCCAAATGAATTTTAAATACATGAGTGTGTTCATTCTGGCAGTGCTCATAATTTCAGTGTATCTTACTTCAAAACAATCCATTCTGCCGGAGAAAGAGCGGGTCAAAACAACTACCATCCACACTGTGTCAACAACAGTGCAGGAGAAAATGTGAGCAGAGGCGCATTAATGAACTCAAGAGTTTAGATTCACAGGCACAAGGTGTACCTGATCTATCTTGTCAGGCCGCTCGGCTGATTTTCACCTCCTCCACATAATAATAACCTGAAAGCAGTCTGTTGCTGTGGATTGACTTGTCCAATCCATCCTGTGTGCCTGCAGTTTAATCAATCAGGCATATTGAATGTGGATATATTAGGGCCTTAGGGGTGGGTGGGGAAAAACAGCACAGCTGGATACCTCCAGAGGATCAGGGGACGGGGTTTCGGGGAGGTACTTCTGCTGCTGCTGTCTGGACAGGCCAATAAATGTCACTGTCACTCAAACTACTCATGTGTGAACAACAACAGAGAGGAGGTAATAGGGGGATTGTAGGTTAGGTGCAAAGAGCTGGGATGCTAAAGATGCGATCCACAAAATGACTGCAGAGCTTATGGATCTTGTCGTATTTATCTTTTTTTTCTATTTTGAAGGGTACAAACCCTCTGCTTTTATGAGGAAGAATAGGTTTGTGGGTATTTGTAAAATAACTAAAGTCCCTGTGGATTTTGCAAAGAGGAAATATTCTACAAGCCCTTTGTTGCTTTTAAATTACAGCGTGAAAAAATACGATCACACAGCCCATGCGGCTTTTTTATGCCACTCATGAAGTATAGAGGAGTCTTAGAAGGGTGTCTGCTGGTTGGCTGGCATAGGCCCTGCTTTTCCTCCAATGCAGCATGTGTCCTGTCCAGCTAATTTCCCTTAGTTCAACTCCATTAAATCTTTTCAAACCAGGCGTGTCTTCAAAAGCAAAGGAACCCTCCTACATACAGACAAGCTCGCCCTCAGCACTGTGCACTATCCCTCATGTCAGCACCCCTCCCTGAGGTGAGGAGAATTTCAGCAATGAGCGATGCTAATGTGCCTTTTTGGGTGTCTTTGTGTACCTTGGCCCTTGCCTTTGGGTGTGCTAGCATGTAGCTACATTTATTTGTGGGCATACTTGCTTGTTTTGTGGTTCAGATACATTTGTGCCTTCGTTTGTGAGCCCCTTGCCCTCAGGGGAACAGAACTATGGAAGTCAGAGTGTTTTATGTCAGGAGCCATTAGTTCTGCATTTATTATTCTCCTGAGCTCAAGTCAGCACTCCATGTAAATCATGGCAATGATAGACCCAGCCTTTTAATGGTAACAATCAGCAAAACACCGCTAAACACAGAGAAATCAGTATTCAGCTCTTTATTTTGTGCCTTTCTTTTATCTGACACTAATATATGCCAAGTACTCCAGGTAGCTGTAAAATATTAATGCTGTTTTTGAAGTGTATGCCAGAGAAGAAGGATTTATAAAAACATCCTGATTGTTTCTAAAATGCTGTCTTTAGTGCTCGATGAAAAATATCACATCACTCTCCAGACAACCTGTGTGGTGTCAGCAGACCAAGAAAGCACACCCCTGACAAGTGCTTAAACTAAAAATGGCTGAATTACGAGTTAGCCCAATGCAAATCTTCATAGCACGAGTTCACACTGTGCTTTGCTCTCAATATCAGCCAATCTGAGGGATGCAAACAATAACGACATCAACAACAAGTGTCAACACATCACATCCTCATGTCAAGTTCTTCCCCGTGGCTATTTTCATAACTGTCAGACCTCTTTCATCTCCAGTGAGAGACAAAGTCACAATGTCAGTCACACTGAGATGTTGTCAAGGCAATTGATTTGGTAGTCAGAGTAGAACAGGGGTTGGAAATGTACAGTCATTTCATTATGTTTGTGTGTGTAGCAGCTGGCTTAGAGTCTCGAAATGAAACTTCCAAGGCCTGATCATTTCAGGCTTATTTGTGGTATTTGAAGTCTCCAAGAACAGTATGGGAGGCATATCCTTTCAGGTCCGTCCACAAAAAAATTAATCTAGGAGTAAACGCAAAAGTTTGTATTGATGTTTCATCCACACAGAAACAACGTTTAGGGCAACTATAAACAATACTTTTAGAAAACAGGCCCCAGAGTGCATAAATCAGTATTTGACTACTGTTTCATCTTCGTGTGGATGCTTCATCTCTCGTGAAACAATAACACCACACACAGTGCATACCCATACTCCGTATCAGGCCCCTCTCCTATGGAACAATCTCCCACTCAGCTCAGCACATTTAAAGCAATACCACTGTCTAGTCCTGGTCTACAAGCACCAGATGAGAATGGATTTATTGACCAAAGTAAACCTTGGTCCACTTTAGTTGGTTGCAATATGCCCTCTTTCAACACCCAGCTGACCTGTGAAGACAAACTCGTTAGGGAGGCCAACAAGAACTTTACAGTTCTGTACTTTTGTTATGTATAGTACCACTGCTTTGTCTTCTGTCAAGGCTTTATTTACTAACTGGCCTCCTGCATTTATACTCTTCAACTCTTGGGTCAAAGCCTAACGTCCAATCTGAAGAGCACGGGCACAGACCAGTCTCAGTCTGCTTGAGTACATCTGTTGTGTGTTCCCAAAGGTAGTAGACACTCTCTTTACATTCAAGAATAGGCTTTCTGATTAGATCTGGCTCAGCCTTTGTTTGGATCAGCCACTGGTGAGTTAGTTACGCTGCCATCGGCTTAGACTGCCAGGAGAACTGATACCAAGTCTCTGTCTCTTCCTTCCCTGAAGTTTTTGCGCTCTCTGGCCTCCCAGGTTCTCCCGAGGATGTTGATGAGTAAACACTGCTGCTGTAGATCTCGACTCCAACTGCTACAATCACTTACTTTACAAGTTTCATTCTTTGTCGTGTAATTACACTTTTATTCTTGTCTTATGGCTATTAACCAATGACTCTAGTCCTGCTCTAGGTCTCAACAAAGGTTTGCCTTGCCTTTGTTGACCATGGTAGATTTATAAAGGGTCCCCCAAGAAAAGATAACATAAAGTACTGTCTACTGCTACTTTTACACGTCTGTATACTTGTTATGAGATCACTTTTTTATGGTTTAGCAAAAATAAAGGTTTATTCGTTGATATTGGTTCACTCTCTTATAAGCATCTATTCTTTACAACCCACTTTTTAATGCAAGCACCACATAATGAATGGTTATAACCTTGGTTCTGGCCTTTCATCATAAGGATGCTTTGCAAGTACACTGCATTCTGAGTTTGTTCACTACTGTATATGTACAGTAAAAGCCTGCAGCATATGATGAACCATTACAGCCTGTGATCCCTGGACCCTACTTAAAAGGATGCTTTCCATGTACATTCTCCACTCAGTCACAAGAGAGTGTACAAACACACTTACACGCACAGGCACGCACACACACCTTTTGTCCTTGGCCCCTGTGTTCAGTGGAGCTGCTCTAAAAGTGCCCACTTCAGCTCCTCAGTGTCGCAGACCTGGGCGGCTGGCCAATAGCTTACAGCGTAGAGAGGGAGAGAGAGAGAGAGGAGAGAGGAGAGAGAAAGAGAGAAGAGAGAGAGGGAGGGAGAAACCTCACCTCTATAAAACCCATCCTTTTACAATGAGGTCCTCATTGCAGCCTGCTGCCTATAAAGTACCTGCTTCTGGTCCAAATTCACTCAAGTAAGACTGGCAATGACCCCTGACCAATTTTTCGATGCTTCAGTGAGAGTAAGACAATCAAAGAGCACTTCAAAAGGCTATTACAGAGAGCTCTGCAACTTTCAGTAAAGCAAGTAAACCGATAAAATCATTGTGATAGTAGAGATGGGTAACATTAATGGCCACAACAGAGATTTGAGGAGGAAGTGTACAGGCATTACAGACAGAGGCGACAATGAGAAACAGTACCCGCAGGACGACAGAGTCTGTTGATGATGTGCAGGCCACCTATGCTTTGCTACTTGGGTCCATTCCACCCACTGAACTTAGTAGCGAAACACAGTGAGCAAAGTCTGGCCAGCGTCTCTCGGCCCCACTGCGAGACATTTGGCCTTTGTGCAATAGTCATTTGTACTGCCCTTCCAAGGTTGGCCCTGGGCCCAGGGCCGGAGGGGCTACCAAATTCAGCCATTGGAAGCAGGTTTTATCTATTTTATGGGTTTAACACAAAAGCAGCTGTTAACACAGAACTGTCACTTAGCAAGAAAAAGGTTGTCATGTCTTATAAAATACAGATTTTAAATATTTATGGAGAATCTGATCCTTGATGGCTACAAATCACTTCAACACTGGCCACACATTTTCATCCAACTGTATCAAATCTTAAAGTTACACAATTACTTTAGGTTTCAGTTGATTAAATATGTTTTTATCGAATGAGCTCTTAGGGTTTAAGTACTTGACACAAAATAAAATTCTGCCTCAACATTTAAACAGTAAACTGGCAGTCTAATGCATTAATCCTGACATCAGACTAAGCTGAAACACTGACTGACTCAGTCAGCACTTCACAGATATTATATAACACATGGTCTGTCTGTCACTCAGCTTACAGCAAGTGTCACACAGGGTTTCCATGACAGTTTCTCTACTGGCTTGCTGTTTTTTTTTTTAGCAAAATTGCAAAACACAGGGTTCCTGACAGTCTGCACTGTCAGCGCTAAACTAACCAGATCGTTGTTTTTATTCTGCACATACTGTTTACTCAACTTACTCCAATCTTGTTTAGTGTGCTGGCTTGATAACCAATAATGACAAAAAAGGACAATTCCACTGCTCTTATCATGAGTTATCAAAAGACATTGGTCCTTTCTGCCATGGCTGCTTTTGTTGTGCCTCCTTATTCAGTCAGCTTGGATCCTGATGGCTGTTGTTTCATCCCACATAATCCACAGTGTATCTTCCCTTGGGTCCCCACACAACATGATTTCTGATTGTACATGATTAACATCTACAATATCAAATCAGGGTGGCTTTGATCATCTTCTTTGCGCACAGGGGACAAGAGGATCATTATTACCACACCCCATGCCACAGGAAAATCTGGCAACATGATTTTTAGAGGTCTTAAAAAATCGGACCTTTGATAAAATTTGTTGGAAGGGGATATAAGGTTCAAAATTGGCTGAATCATCTTTATGTATATCTGGTGCCTACAGGTCTTTATCCTGATGACCTCATCTGCTTTCTTTGTTCATAAAGAGACACTAGTATTAAATTAAGTCTGTTTATAGCAATCTAAAAACTCCTCACAATGATTTGAAATCATTTTGTATATAGCCTATATTTGTTTACAGCTGCTTTTTATTAATCTACTAAAAAGAACTATGCCTCCAGATTTGCTGTTTTATTTCATTATATTTTGTTTTTTCTTGCTTTGATTTTTAATGCTTGTTTTATGATTTTAAATGTTTTCTTTCAATATGTTTTTCTGACACCGGTAATGACTCTAATTAAGTCCTCTGTTAAGCACTTAGAATTGCCTTATTGCCAAAATGTGCTATATAAATAAACTTCCCTTGCCTTATAAAGTACTGGCTGACAGCAGATGAACACTAGTCATCGCAGTAGTAATCAATAATGTCTACCATCAGATAGTGTCTTTCTTTAATGCTACAGCAGATGTTGCCTCGCTGTTATTTTGCCATTTCTTCTTTCTTTTATAGCTTCTCTTAAGAGTTCTGTTAAGTTACTTTTACCACTATCCTGTTTTATCCCAAGGCAATTAAATTTCAGGATAAAAATCCATCTTCTGACATGTTTTCTCTTCAATTGTTGATAGATAACCTTGTTTATTTCATGGAGGATTCTTTCTTTGGTTGTTTGACCTTGCTCTCCAGTCCAGCATCAGCAATAATCGGTAACTACTAATAGGCTGCGCTAAGCTGGGAGATCTAGTTAAACTGACTGTGTGAAACTCCCTTTGCGAGGCAGGCTCCAGATGTAGTCCCACCAACTCCCACACAAACACTCACTCATATAAAGTGAGTCACTCCTGTGATAAATATTTACAAGCTGAGTTTTGTGTGAGAACAGGGGCACAGATACTGTAGCTTATAAAATGTTTATGCTAGACAAATGTCTCGGTTATTGCACACTTGATGATGAACCTGTTTCATAGCTGCGACCTGAGATGCGACAGAGACAGAGATAGTGATGCCATAACTTCAGGCTGCAAGGACATTACCATGGGTTTTCAGAGTGTTGACATTTCTGCTTTTCATGTGTTTTATTCATCCAGACAAACATCTCTGGCAGACGGAGCGATGATGCCAGCTGAGTGGTGATTCTTGTTAAACAGAGCAGAACGTGTTATTAAAAAAATCAGAATTATCAGAGGCCAGCACGCCCTTGGATCAGAGAGGCTGTGATGAAAAGAATAATGAGTGTTGAAACATGCTGCTGCATCTGAACACACCCAAAAAAACTTCAGTTGTGGGATTAGATCAGCACTGTCACACATTCTTTAACACACTCGAGGAACTCAAATGGAAATTTATTTCACCCTCTCAGTAATGAATGCAGTCTGTGTGCAGCAGAAAGGTTTATCACTTCATTGTTAGGATTTGTTTTGCTAGCTGGATCACTTATGAGCAGCTTTGCCCCAGTAAACGTCCCTCCCTGCTTTTCTAAGGAGCTGATGAGTCAGGGTCAAAGACTTGTGGGAGGACTGTTAGAACTGCCTTCCTACCTGGTTTCCAGGTAATGTGTTGTGGCATGACGATGACTCTTGACTCAACCCGGGCACCTCAACAGACTTAATTCCTTACAACAAACATCATGAAGCCGTGCCAGGGAAGGCTACTTATCCAAGTGAGTATCTGGAGCCAGGAGTTCAGTGGCAGATTAAGAGTTACTGCTGCGACATGTTGACACTTGATGACGTAAGACAAGGGATTGATGACAGCAAAGCTTTAGTCATTGTGGACAAAACAACAAGATAATTGGAGGAAGTTTCAGGCAATGAGAAATGACTCACAATAAAAGGTAGAGAAGGGCCTTGAAATATTACAGTATATTACACAGAAGTAGGGCTGGGCAATAAAACGGTAACGATATATATTGAAAATTAATTTCCCTCGATATCCATATAAAAATGGTCAATATGCTTTTCGATTGTCGGCATTCTGGTGTTCTGGTGAACTATATGAATAGCCAGTGAAAAGGGGAGTTGCTCCGGATCTGCGCTCTGAACCAATCATGTGCTGAATTAGAACCAAGTATCAAGCAACTGCGTAGTAGCAGGCTGCAGCTACACACAACCATAGCACTTTAACACGTGAAGCTGACAGCACTGTCCATGAGAATAAAAGGAAATGAGTGCTACCCCCGGCAGAAATGCAGATAAAGGCTCAACAGCTGATGACATCATTGACAACACTGGGACGAAAACGTCGGTGGTGTGGAGGTATTTGTTTTTTTGAGGTTGGACATGAAGCAGAGTAATGTGCACTGCAAATTATGTCAAGTACATTTTCCTACAAAGTCCGGGAATACCTCAAACCTTTCACCACCTGGAGCAGAGCACGCACAATGCAAAATGTTACAAACCCCGAGCGGAGCAAGGAGCCCATGGCGCCTGTGCAGTCGAAACAGCTGACCATTCAGTCCGCTTTCTCTAGTACAACACCTTACGACAAAATGTCAAAGAAACAAAAAGACCTCGCAGATGCAGTAGCTGATTGTATTGAAAAAGACAAGCTACCAATAAGCACTGTTTAAATTCATTTAAGAGTAACAGGGAACATTCAAGAAGTGATTTTTTTATATTGTGATATATATCAATATTGACTGCTATTAAAAAAAAATACTGTGATAAACTTTTCCTATATTACCCAGCCGTACACAGGAGGTCTGAAGAGAAGGCGCCCCAAGGTCAAGACATTCCTCCAGTAAGCATTACTGAAATTACTCAGTGAGAGCAATTTAAAAACTGAACAAATAATCCCCTGTTTTGAATCTGGAACATAACTAGTAGGGTGTGATACAGTGGAAACAAAGGTGATGTTGTGTAACTGTTATGTGTCAGGGTAATTCCACGCCGGAGAACTTGGATCTTGCTTTGATTTGTAGGGCGCAAAGTTCAGGAAAGAATAATACTGTTGTTGCTCTTATTATGCAAGCCTGGCCCTGATGATCTCAAACCAGCAATCAAGGCCTCTTAACCCAGAAAAATGATCAAGATTAGATGTGAACCAACAGTTTGCAAGTGCGAGTAAGGAAGGAGTTCAGTACCTAAGAAAAACAGTAGTTTCTGACCTCTAAGCTTTGCCCTATGTGAATATTGCACAACCAATTTTGACGAGTGGGTCCGTCAACAGGGGAGACAGTTTCAGACATTTGAATCTTTAAACAGAGCAAACTGTCTCACCAGGTTTTGGTGGACATCAGTTGCACAGGGCAAAAGCCAGAGCAAGCAGGAAGCTGCCAGGAAAGCTCTGGAAAAGAGAGCCGAAGAAGAGGAAGAAATGTCAGGGGCAGGGCACTGCTGTCGCTGTGCTTCAGCGCAGTTCCTCCGGGCACGCCACCCTCTGCTGACACAGCACTGCCTTTCAGCCTAAGGGGGAATCCTCATACAGAGAGCATGGAGAAGAGTTCTACTTCCCGATACGAGACACACATTAATCGCTTACAAGAGCAGGACGGGTTTCTCCTTCACTTCAATGGCTTCGATCTGACATCTCTAAACAACTACATGAATTATCAGCAGGTTGGATGGCATCTCCGTGCTAAAGTCACTGCCAGGTTACCATGTGTGGTCTTATCTAGGGCCCAGTGAATTAGGTTACTGAACATATGCTACAGATTTCCATGGCAACAAGAGTGGGGGAATCTGGTATCATGTCATTGCAGTGCCAATAGGCTAGCTTTTTTTCTTTGTCTTGCAGCATCAGTGCTGTTGTTTCCAGAGAAAGCCTCACTGTGAGACAAAGCCTGACTGCGGGCCAACTCTATTCTGAAGGCTTGGGTACCGTCCTGACGCTGCTCTGGTCTTCACAAGACACGGGCCGCAGCCAGAGAGGACGTGCTGAAATGATTCAGACATAAACACGGCCACTGACCATGCTGGTCAAATCCAAGTGGACCCGTTTTAATCCAATTAAAGGGAGGCGAGCTGGTGGAATAGAGCAGCAATAAACACTGTCATCCATCATGCTGAGGCAGTGGAGACGCTAACATCGACTCTGGAGGGAGGAAACAGTCACTTTAAAGGGGCTCAGGGCTCCAAAAGCCATGTGCAACTGTGTGGCTGGGATCAAACAAGGCAGAGGCACATTGTTAACTCAAACAACACTGGCATTGGAATAAAACTGCTCTGTGCTTTGGGTGAAGAGATTGAGATTTCCCCTCCTTTCTCTACTGCACATGTTGTTGTCGAGAGTGAACCTTCACAGTCAAGGTGCAGCTTCATGTGCACAAACACTTCCCAAAGTCAATGGGTCGCGGCCAGATGAAAACAAATTGAAATCGCACAAGGACACGACTGTTCAAGCAGCCCGCAGGCAAAGGAAAACAATGGAAAGAAAATGTTTTATGTGAAGATAAAGTAAAGAATAAACTGTATGAGTTAAGCCCTGCTCGTGGTGTTCCGTTGTTTCTACATTTCATGCTCTGTCACAGCTCAGCAAAGCTTGCCTAACATTGTTAGGCTCACACAGCAGTGCTTCTATGCGCTGAAGACTGTGAGTGAGTGTGTGTGAGGGAGAGGGGATGGGGTAAGATAAGAGGGCAAGTGCCACTGCAGTGTCTCTAAAGCGTCTTTTGTCAGAAAATGAGTCTGTGTGGACTGAAACGGCATATTCTGTGTTTACTATAGTATAGGTGGTGAATTCTGATTGACTGTCTGCTATTTAAGGAGGATCTGACAAGGATCCAGTCAAAGCCTTGGTTTACAATGATTTTACACATGAAAACATCACCATGTCTTACATCTTAATGTCTCTGTCCCTTATGCAGGTTGTTATAGACTCTACCCATCCTCTGTTGGATCTGGCTCAGTGCTGCCAGGTCTCACAGGGGGAAACAAGCTACTATGTCTAGGGCTGGGTGATAAACTGAATTTTTAATACCAAAATTTACGGCAATAACTAATGTCATTTTGTCTAAATCAGCATATTCAGTGTCAAAAAAATTAATAAATAAAAGTTGGTTTTGGATGTGTGTAGGTAGGCTATGGTCTCATGTCCCTCTAAGATGCTGTCCTACGTCGGAGACTTGACTCCACCTCATCCAGTCCGTTACAAAGAGAGAAAGACAGGTGAGGAGATGGAGGACGGTTCAAAAATTGTAGCAGCTGAAGTAGATGAAGTTAATGTGGGAGGGGGTGAACAGCTTGTGGAGTAGTTATCGTTCATTTTTTGCTATCGAGGTGAACTCCTCAATATATCAAGATAATGATTTGAGGCCATATCGCCCAGCCCTAGCTGATAGGTCTCACAGGGGAAAACAAGCAACTATGTCTATGAAAACAAGCTGGAAAGAAGAAGCTTGGTTCCTGATCTGGCCCTCACATAGTCCACAGCAAGAAAAAACTTTGTAGACCATTAAAAACCAAAGCACTTAGCACCCTTGATCAGCAAAAATTACATATGGATTGGTCCATAGCCCTGTTTCAAAGTTCTGATCCAGTTAACCGCGGTCTCTTCTGCAAACACTGCTCAGTAACTACAATCTCCTGAGACTCAAACGAGAGTTATGTTAGCTTAAGCGGCATGTCAGGTAGCGTTAGCTCACAGTAAGAGAGTTTACAACATCTCAGATCTGCGAAGCCATTTACAGTCTCTACTTCGGAACCCAAGTGACAGGGACTAAATATGAAAGATGGAAAACTTCCCTGCTTGGCAGAAAAGAGATAATTCACATCAGCTACAACACCAACTTCACCTCTTGGACCCCTATGACAAAACCTGTGACACCATCCTGGCATTAACAAGCAGCAGCACAAGCAGCCCCCAATATTTAACACTTTGCCCAGCCTCAACTGGCAATCACGACAGCTAAAGCCAAGGTTTACGATCAAGGTTTACAATCTAACTGTGTGATTTGGAGTAATGGCTTTGTGACATGGTTTATATGTTTAATCTGAGTAACAGGCCACAAAGCAGACAGAATTAAACTGACTGTGACTGAACTCAAACAAGGACTTTTAAATGAAGAGCAAGTGACAATAACAACCAATGTATAAATGTTAAGAGACATTATGAGGAGGATTAAAACAATGTTTGGAGATGTTTTCATCTTCAACAAGTATTACTTTTCTAATGTGACACACAAAGCGCTGCCATACAGTGTTTTCTGTCTACTTTTTTAACTGACTTGAATTTTGGGACCTTGGGAAATCAACATTTTCAGTGCTAGCAGGGCTTGGCAAATCTGATGAAGGTAGACAGACACACTGTCTTAAATGTTTCTCAGTTATATTACGTAACAAATTACTTGAGTTTGCTTTGAACTGAATCAATTCCTGCTGGATCAATTCAAATCGGACGAAACTGTTCTTTATTTTACTGACTTGATCTAAGCTATCAAGGATCAAACTGGATTGAAACCTCTTGAAAAGGAGTTTCGCAGCCCTGAGAATTATTGTAGCAAAAATGGAAGTTTTCCAACTCAGGCTGGTTTGTAAGAGGTGGAAATAATGATGGCATTCAAAGATGTGATGCAGTGCTTGTGATTACTGACATGTCAAATCCAAGGAGAGCTGTATGAGGACAGAAATGTCAATATGATATTCACCTTGTCTATCGTTACTGAAAGTGCTCCTTTTGATTTGAATCAAAACAAATGTGCAGGCTTTATCGGATGTTTTAACATTCAGTTTAATGTTAATTTGTCCAAGAAGGAGGATTATAAGAATCTGTTGTCAAGCAAGCGTTTCCAATCATGACCGGAAAAATTGCTACAAGAAAGTCTGATGCAAAGGTACGACAGAAAAGTCTGTTGGCCCTTGTTGGTTATACATTGGGTTATACATTCTTTACTATAAAATAAAATCTGAAACTCATAAAAATAACAAGTGTACGATGTCCTGACAGTGAGTGAATCTATACATGTGTTTTATTCAAGCATGAAGCTGTGGCTCAGCAAGGGTAAAAATCAGCTGTGTATATCTTCAAGTCTTATCACTGGCAGCCGTGACAGCCTTAACTGTTAAACGTAGTGCAACTGCAAGGAAAGCATTGACAGGAATCAAGAAAGATGAAAGCTCGACCGGAGACCGATGTTGAATAAATAATGACATCCTTTGTGGGGAAATGTGATCGCGCTCTCTGAAAATCAATAACTAACAACTGGACCATGATGCCCTGAGTGACTCAGCAACTACTTCAATACACTACATGCGGTCGATATCAACCGCCTTGTACTCGTTCTGGGAGACATGACCCAAAAAAAGGTGAAAGGAAACTGGACGCGCATCTGAACAAGTTTCTGTGCGGGTGGTTGAGAAGATCATCTTTTGGAAGAGAGTCAGTGAGGACTGCTGGATGAGCGGCAAACATTCAAACTGAGCTTCTTACACACCGCTGACAGGCCTTTTACTGTGTTGACAGTGATTCAGAAAGCACTAACTGGAACAATGGATCAGTGCAGAACACACTTTCTTGTAGATACAGTAAGTGAATATATTTTCTGCTTGCAGTCAATGCTGACAAAACAGTGTGTATGAATAGCATTGCTCTACTACAAATAGTTCTCTGTGCAAGAAGTAATCCTCACCCAATTACATGGCTGCTACATGTGCAATAAAAGGGTGTTCTTAGAAAAACTATAACTAGATGTTTGACTCTAAAACCCTTTTTAGGACTTTCAAATAGGAGAACCTCAATTCTATCTTGTTATCCTGCAGGAGGTCGATACATGTGAATGAAACCAAAGATGCACTCAAAAGCCCTTTTTACACTGCAGGCTTTCAACAGCACTATGATGCAGCATCACCATTACTAAACCTTTATACTTTTTAAATTACATTTCTCTGACTTTTTATGTCTGTATTTGGAGAGAATGGGACAGTAGACATGGCAGAAAACAAAGAGAGAGTGGGAAAGGGGCCATAGGCTGGAATTGAACCAGGGCCATCCACTTCAGACTATGATCGCTGTACATGGGGCAAATGACTTAAAATACTCTGCCTCTGTATTCTTACAATAAATCTGCCACAGCTGAACACTGGGGTCCCCATGTTTGAATTGGCATTGTATTACATGAGTGTAGAAGCAAAAGGGGTGCAATCTCTACAGAAAAATGTGAGTTTGAGTTTCACTCACAAACACACACGCTCTCAGATGTGCACACACACACAGCCCTGTTCTGCCCTGTTTGCTTCTGTTACTAGAGTCTGTTACTACCTCTGTTGCTGGCTCAGTGGCAGGACAACTTTGTTTCGCTAAGATGGCTTCATGACATTTACATTGACAGCATGGAACTGGCAATGTAAATGGAACTAAAGACTGCTTAACAACCCTGGCTTTCAATTAAGGGCCCAAGCACAAGCTGCTAGGACAACCATTGCCTCAAAAGTTGTTCTGAAGCAGAATAAAAGGCATGTCTGTAAAACTCATCCTTCAATTACCCTTAGGCTATTTTATACTGGGTTCACACAGGTCAGGGCAGTCCGTCTGTCCAGGCAATCCACTCAGCGCTGCGTAATTCACAGCACATACTGTACAGCTGTGCAAGGAGGAACCAACAGGGTGGGATTTTTGCCTTACAAATCCGGCTTAGCCAGATTTTTGGTGCATGATAGAAAAGCATCAAAATACAGGCTTTGATTAGATAAGCTTTGATGAAACAGAGGATTTGATCCATTGCTGAGAGGTTATTGAATCTGCAGCGAGCGTTTCGAATTGGCTGTGAAAAGGAAAGCTGTCAATTTCTCAAAACAACACTGCTGATGAACACTTCAGGACAAAGTGCACATCACGCTCAAGAGGCTTAAACTCATGCCAGTTGGTTCACTCAAAGCTTTAAATGAAAGCATAGCGGTGTAATACAACTACACTTCTATCCTCGTATGACTACCCAAACAACAAGTCAAGCCAGGACAGTTTACCGCTTTCCCTTTTTGCCCAGGGTGCAGCCAGCTGGTAAAAGTGTTGGCTCTTACCTGCGCTCTCTGTGGGGCAGAGGGTGCTGCTGCTGGCGTGTGATGAAGGTGGTGCCCCACACTGGGCTGCTGTGGCTGTTCCTAAGCCAGCCGACAGGGGGTGAAGACGGGTATGGGGTGCTGCGGAAGCCATGGTCGGACTCTGTCTCTGCGGTGAGAGACGAGGCTGAGCTCCCCATCACCACGGCGATAGGGAATTAGTCTCTCAGATAGAGGGGGACTGTTTGTTTTGGTTCTTCTTAGACTGCAGAACTTGACAAGGGATCCACAGTTCTATTCAGGGAAACAAACTTGGATACACTGAATAAAGGGTTTGTTTGGACAGCAAGACCCTTTATTATGTGTGCCTTTCTGTAGACATCTTAGCTTCCAATCTTAAGAATTTCTTCCTGCAAAAGAAAGCTTAGGGTGCTACAGCAACACAAGATCCAAGTTAAGAGTACTCAAGAAATCCACATCACTTGCAGGTGGCCTAATATGCAGATCAGGGTAGGTATCCCACCGTGCATGGGGAAAGAAGTTCTCAAATCAGACAGTAATTGGACACATGGAGAGCTGATTCCAATTCAGCGGTGTGTCTCAGAGAGAAGAAAATACAACTTTCTTACAGCAAAGGTTTGTGATTCGCTCTCTTGTACACTTCAAACTTGTAATACACGTCTCATTTTCTTGCATAGTGCCACTCATAATTCCTCCCACATTCCTTGTGACACATCTCCCCAGTCTGTGCAGTCTCATGCCTGCTGCCTCCTTCCTTTGCTCAGAGCACACCTCCAGAAAATGTGAGGTTTAAAACGTGGAGTAGAAACACACAAGACATATCCAGGAAACTTTAAGAACAGCATGATCCACAAAGACAGCTGATCCTGGTAAATGTTGGTGTAGACAGACCTCGCTTGAATAAGAGTCATACAAAGTATATCCACAGTTATTTACAATGCGGCAACTGGAGGGAATCAATGCATTGCATTTCCTGGGAAGGGTGTTGGCAAAACTACAAGCATGCTAATATCGAAAGTCTCATCTTTCAGTCTGAGTAACAGCTGCTGTGGAAGTTTACAACTGAAACGACCCAGCTGCACTTCTCCCACTGGACAAAACTCATGCTTTGGAGCTGGTTTCTGAAGCATATAGACCCCTTCTGCTCAATGTTAGATCTCAATGTGGAATAAAGCAACTTACATTTATTGGACTAGAATGTGAACTATTAATGAAGGTGGGGGTTTTTGGTCTTTAAACTTGAGCTGCCACAGCTGTGAGTTCTGCGTAATATCCGACAGAAACACCCAAGAGGAATGCTCCTCTTCTGGCCGCAGTGCTGGAGAGGGTCCGAGTTCTCTCTGTTTGAAAAAGAGGCAATTTAATATCTGATCCCACCGCCGAGGCCGGTCAGTCCAGTTCATCAACTTGTGCTGGGATATATGTGGACTCTCTAGCCTGTCAAAGCAAGTCTCTACTGGCGGGGCAGCTGAGAGGCTTTCAAACCACATTTACATGCATGTTGACAAGTATCGACAGCTTGTAAAACCCCGAAGCAAAAGTCAAATGAGGAAGATGTCCCGTGGTTTAGTTGCACCTCCTATCAACATTAACTCAGTATTATAGAGACAGCGCAAAGATCACGTGGAGCTCGAATTTACTGTTTTCAATGAACGCCGCATGATGATTAATCGCTAATAAACACAAAAACGTGCATTTTCTTTTACTTTAGATAATTAAAAGCACAGTAAAGCGTTATGTGATGCGAGTCCGTTTCCTCATAGCGTTACAGAGGCCAAGGAGAGTCTCGTGCAGCCTGAAGGAAACGTCAAAATATCCAGGAAGGAGCGGCACATTTCACAAATATATCCATTCCGCTCGGTCCACCCCTGCCCAGCCTGTGTTCATCTCATATTCCTCCTGTAGATGCTAAAGCCTTGTTGTTCTCATCTTAAGACACATCCTCTCTTCAGGTCCCGTTGTCGCGTGCTCATAGTGCAAACCGGTCCACCCCAGAATGCCGGTATTTAATGACTCCACTTAGGTCCCATTATGCGCTGTTATCCTCCCATTCTCCCTCTGCCGTTGTATGTTTTTCCATGGGCTCTAATTCTTCCTCACTGATAGCGTGAGCGCAGTGCACGGGGATGCAATCTCCTCCTAACCGAGGATTACTGGAGTGTCAGCAGGGCGCATGCGCACTGCGCCCCGGCAAGCAGAGAGGGATACAAGGGAGCTGCGTTCAAGAAATTTTAAATTTTATCCTCAATGTACATTCTCGCTATTTATAAGAAGAGGATGCCATAAAAATAGCTCGCAATGGAAATCAGAGGCAGTCTGAACAGACAGTGAATGATTTCTTGACGATAAAAACTCCCTTGATACAGCTAATAACATCACTTTTTGCAGAGTTTCTAGCAAAGATCCTTTCAGGCAGCTTTAAGGGTCACTGCCAGTGAAGGGAATGCATAGTTAAGTAGAAGACGGTAGTGACTGCAACACTCATCATTGCTCAACTGTCTCTCCACATTACTGGAATGAGCCTTCAAACTTTCCCCTCTGCTCTCTCCTCTCCTCCACTTCACATCACTTCGCTGACCTCTTTTCCAATCTCTCTCCCTCACTCCGAATTTACAATGGTCAACAAAAAGCACAGCCCTGACCATAACATAGAACACTGCTATTTTCCATACCTAGAAAACAGTGTGTTGACTATTACATAGACAGATCATCAGATAAGTGTGTGTGGCATTAGCAGTTCCATTGAACTGTGCTTTACCAGTTTTACGCCAGCTGCGAGGGTGTGTACTTATCACAAAGCTGTGAGCATGACTCCAGGTGTTCTTCTTTTGTTGAACATGTTGAAACTGTAAGGTTAACAGCCAAGTGGAACTGGTTTGTCTGGTAAACTTGACTCTAAAGCCTTCAATGTAGTGCTCAACATAGATGTGGATGTAGCCTTTTGTAAAATCCAAAGCACAGCTGTCACTAATGTAGCCTCATACTGAAAAGTTAAAGCAGTAAAAGCTTGCTGCACTTATTTGAAGTGTAATAAAACTCAATTTAATATTTAAAACAGTTTCAGCAATGGAGCTGGAGGACTAGGAAGTTTGGAGAATGAATGGTGAATCGAACTACAGTATGTCATAGAATATCACACAAATAAGGCTTGAGGCAGCAGTGGAGACAGTTATCTGTTTGTTTTTTTGACAATGAAGAGATCATGAATGTTGTTTTAATGTGTGTAATCAAGCTTACATACATTAAGCAGTTTTGGGGCTTGTTTACTCAAGCATATTCACATTGATTAATCTTGTTTATGATCACAAATGCCCCATACAGGATGTTTCTAAATTTGAGCATGGTTTGCTTTGTTCTGTTTTTATATTTATGCGAAAAAATGTTTGCCCCAGTTGGCAACAATATCCCAAATCTTTGTTGTCAAATATGTAACTAAAAGATTTATGAAAGTAGCTCGTAGGATTAATTAAAATTACAACAAAAACAAAGTATGAATATTAACCACAGCAGGAGTCAGAGGACTGCAACCCTTTGTTAAGGGTGCACCTGTCCAAGTGCCACCTGTCCCTCTGCAAGTCAGCACCCCGAGAGAGATTCAGCAGCTGACACAGTCAGTGCCAGAGAGCTTTGGAGGAAGCGAGATTAGATTTCATTTCTATTCTCTGGAGACACAGAGGAGAAGGAAGGGAAAAGGAGGAAGTGAGCCGATTTCACGGTACATTGTTACTTGTCATTTCTACACCATCCAAGAAATGTCCTGACTCTCACAAACCATGTTTTCCTCTCTGGTGGGTGAGCTCAAAGTACAGCACAAAAGATGAGATTGGACAACTTTTTAAGTTGGCTCTTTGAGGAAAAAGTGTACATATATTGGTCTAGGTGATACTGTGATGTTAATTTTACAGCTTTGCATAAGGCAAGCCCAGGGCCCCAGGTTCCCTGTCATCCACCTGCTGAACTGCCAGCAAGTGGGCATGTCTACTGTAGATTTAAATACAAGTTTATCAAACCCGTGTTACCATTTGACCTGCCTGACTCCCAAGAAATGAGAATTAGTGGTAAATATGTCCATGGTGGCATTGCATGTTACCTGTTTAGTTCAGTTAGATGACGAAAGTAACAGAAACGCATTAGCTTTTCTGTGAAACCACGATTTAATTCAAGACCTGGTCACATAATCAATCTATTTGTGGACAGACTGTAAGCCTGTGAGTCCTGTCACCAACACTGACATTAGCTATTGAGCGCAGCAACATGAAACTCTCCACAATCCCACTGACAGTGCTCTAGACGAGGACGCCGGGGACCTTGTAAACAAAGGCACTCTTATTCATTGCTTTGGTGGACACTAGTGTCGCGGCCCCTTGGTTCTGGACTTCAAGAAGTGCACTCCAACATCAGTTATTCTTACCTCGAGTCGCTTCAAGGGAAATTATTCCTGTTTTTCACCCGCCTGTACGTTAACTTTTCGTAGCCATCGAGACGATAAGTTCCTCCTGGGTTGTACTTTAGCCTCCGTAACCTCCCCACACTTCAGCTTCGTGCTCTCCGCCGCCGCATGTTTCCTTCATTTATGACATAAGCACACGACTACAATTAATTTCTACTCTGTGGGGTATTAATGAGACTGATGCGATCGCGTACGTTTACCTCAAACAGCCCAGGAAGGAAGGGGAATCTCCAAGGAGCAAATAGAAAGCATACGTACGTCAAAAACGTAACAGCGTGACGCTGGCTGCTGGTGAGCGCAAGTTAACGTACGTAGAATGTACTTGAGAATAGGAAGGTATTAAACTACATTTCCCATGTTCAACACGGACATTTTCACCCGAGGATATCCGGGTACGAATGTCGTCATCAAATGGAAACAACAATAATAGTAGATACGGAGCCTTCTTTAAACATTTCTGAAAACAGGCGATTTCGTTTTCTTTTTGACTTTTTTTTTCAAATAGGCTCATTAGGAGTGAAATAAGATGGATAGATATTTTTAGTACCAGTCTTTATAGATGTCCCCACAGTTTCCTGCAGACAATTTTCTGATAATGGCACTCTAGCGTCATCTAGTGGCACCGAATATTAGCCCTAATCACAAGCTAAGATACCCAGTCAACATTTTGTATTGCTGAGTCTTAATGCATGGGTAAAAAAAGTTACCGTCAAAGGAATTGTTAAGTAG